CATCGGCCAAAAAATCTATAACGTTATTGCTAAACTTAAGTTTCCAAAACTCTTATCCAATTTTCAAAATATGTTTATCGATAAATATACCTAATTTATTTCCCGATGCTCCAGAAACCCTCACGTATTTGTGTACACGTGAACTTTAACACTCCAATAAACTTCCCGGAGAAAGTGACGAGTTCCTCAACTCGAAGAAACTCTCCTTCCAACGAAATATCGACAATATGCTTATTAATCGCATAAAGCGATTTCCCGCGGAAATATACCTACATATGTAGGTAGATACATTTTGATCTAATGGGATAAGTCAAATGAAACGTAACAAACGAACTTATTGATGCCGAAAACGGGGGAAGTTCTTTGATTACCATACTGGTGTTTCGGGGAAAACATCTCGGAACCTACGAGTCAATTTGTATGGTGTGAAAATAAAGGAAAATTACGCATCGTTACAATCTTCAATTGGTGTACTCGCGTAATTTCGATTCTAAATTCGCAGGAATAATTATAACTGGAATTGCGGAAAGCTAATTACGAGAGTAATTTAATAAAACATTGCACAAACGCCACACGGCTTTCAAAAGCTCCACCAAGTTCTCTACAATGAACGAATATCTATGTTAATTGTATAAAAAAAAGTACGAAACAAATTTATTCCTGTTGCCGGTCAAAAAAGGGGAATTAAAAAAACTTAATTGTAATTAGTTTTGTCGCGGGAACGTTACCCATCGGTTTGGAAAACAAAAAAAAATCGCCGCGGAACTAATTTTAAAGTAGGTAGTGAGATAAGCGCGCACAGCCAGTTTTACGAGGCGAAAAATGTTTGCATGGAGGAAATTAGATTAATAAGTGGAAAAACAGGATACTTCATAGTTATCCAATTCATTTGTTGTTGCTCATATCAAAATTCCTCTTCTTCCCCTGATGTTTTTTAGGGTTTATTTTTTATTTCTTTCTTTAAAATTTCAAACAATTAATTCCTTGTAATTTATTAGGTTAAGTACATTTAATTTATGGGTAGATTTATGCAGGATTAATTGGTATGCAACTTTTATGTGCTTTAATTCAAATTAGCGCATCTATATCACAATTTGACGCAAATTGTAGGGAAACAATGGCCGCGAATTTATACAGGGTGTTTCATTGGGAAAGGGCAATATTTTAACCCTGTATAGAGGTCACCCAGGGGATTACAAAAAACCCATATACTATGGGTCTTGCGCCCTTTATAACCGAGTTACAGGGTGTTTTTTGAATTTGGCCCATTTCTTTCGACACCTATAACTTTTGAATCACTCAGTATATTTTTTTGATATTTGGCATAGATATTCAATACCTTTAGGACAATTTATTGCCACATTAAAAAATTACAAAATCCAGGTCCGGATTTAGAAAAATTAATAAAATTTGACCGACCCTAAAACAACACCCTATACATCATATTTTTAAAAATTTAATTTCAAATTCAGAAAGAGCATAAAAAACTGAATGTATTCATCAACTTTTTATTTTCCCGCATGCCGTTTTTCTACCAAAATTTAAACGTTAAAAGGTACATTATGAGATTTTTGGTCCATGTAAATTGTAATTGAAGGGATTTTAATTATTTTTTCTTTAATAAAACCAGATTTACTTAACACTTTCATGAAAATTCTTGAAATAGACCTATTGAACTTGAATTAACATTCACATAAACCAATAAAAATTACAAATACAGATCCGCACTTAATAAAATTAAAATGATTTCAATTCATTTAATAATTAATCATTGATTAATCAATGTTTACATTTCTACATGAGAAAATTCTAAACTTAACTATGTAATTTATTAGCTTCTTTACAAAAGATACTAAAAGTACTCCTTTCCACACCACCAAGAGATAGAACACATTTACCTAGTAAGCAATTTTAAAGAATTAAAAAACAATCCCAATGTTCTTAGAAGATTTATTATTTGCAACTTGATTAGGAGAGCTAGATTATGTATCAAACAAAATGGAGAACATTTTGAGCAATTGTTAAAATGACTTTTTTCTGGTGTTTTTTGTTGTTAGTTTGTTAATTATCATTTTGTTATTTATAATTAGTATTAAATTAGTAGATATTAATTATTTGGTTAAAAACCAAATTTCTTGTTCTTTTGGCTTTAGAGTTGTTTTTTGTTAATTTTTTTGTTTATTTTTCATATTTTTTATTCATTGTTCCATTTTACCAGTTCGTGTGGATTAGCCCTATTGGGGATACCTCATTAGAAAAACGTGCCTTGTGTTCTACCTCTTGGTGTTGTGGAAAAGAATACTTATTCTAGTATCTTTTTTGAAAAATCTAGTAAATTACTTAGTTAAGTTTTGAATTTTCTCACGTAGAAATGTAAACATTGAATAATCAATGATTAATTATTAAATGAATTGAAATCATTTTAATTTTATTAAGTGCGGATCTGTATTTGTAATTTTTATTGGTTTATGTGAATGTTAATTCAAGTTCAATAGGTCTATTTCAAGAATTTTCATGAAAGTGTTAAGTAAATCTGGTTTTATTAAAGAAAAAATAATTAAAATCCCTTCAATTACAATTTACATGGACCAAAAATCTCATAATGTACATTTTAACGTTTAAATTTTGGTAGAAAAACGGCATGCGGGAAAATAAAAAGTTGATGAATACATTCAGTTTTTTATGCTCTTTCTGAATTTTAAATTCAATTTTTAAAAATATGATGTATAGGGTGTTGTTTTATGGTGGGTCAAATTTTATTAATTTTTCTAAATCCGGACCTGGATTTTGTAATTTTTTAATGTGGCAATAAATTGTCCTAAAGGTATTGAATATCTATGCCAAATATCAAAAAAATATACTGAGTGATTCAAAAGTTATAGGTGTCGAAAGAAATGGGCCAAATTCAAAAAACACCCTGTAACTCGGTTATAAAGGGCGCAAGACCCATAGTATATGGGTTTTTTGTAATCCCCTGGGTGACCTTTATACAGGGTTAAAATATTGCCCTTTCCCAATGAAACACCCTGTATAATAAAATATATTCAAATCAAAGTAACGAGTCCGAATCGGATGTTCTCTCAATAACAAACAGCCGGAACTGGGTTAAATTTATATCTAATAAAATAGGTAAACTAAATGCGTACAATCCGCTATTTCGTTAAGCTATTTTCATGTACCATTAGCACGTATTTCACTGATTATATTCCTGCAAAATATTGACACATGATGAAGTATTGTTTTGCCACCGGTTTAGTTAAGTACAAAACTCTCTTTATTTGCAAAAAAAGCTAATGATTTATTAGCTAGATGCACAATTTTTACAATTTTATTCATCTCATTATTCAGAAATTGTGTGATGTGCATGCTAAAATTTTAATTAATATCTGGGAAAGGTATAATGTGTAACGGCAAACTAGAGAACTCGAATCAATAAGGCGGAATTTCATTAGGTAGTGTCACCAGCAGAAGCAAAAATACAAATGGCTCCGCTGGTGTTTCGAAACGCTTGTAATATTTTGTCAGCGATAATAAATGCTCGCAACATTGCGATACTTTACGAAACGATACATTTACGTTTACAAAATTCGTGCATTACGAAAATAGGACCTATTCGTTTCAATCGATTTTAATTAACCGCGTGCGCTTTTTTCGCGAATGAAACTTCAAACTGGATGAGTGGAAAGATGGAGTTCCGGATGGTATCGGAGGCAAAATATATCCCGGTGGTAAAACAATTTCCATCCGACCGAGACGGTCTTTGGTAAACTTTGCGCATTGTTAGAGATTGTGTTTCTCCGGATCGAATTACTCTTTTCCATGAGAGTGTTTGGCCGTGCGAGTAAATACCCACAGCGGCCACATCGCATTTGGTTTATTGTAGTGATGTTTAGTTCAATGGCTTTTTCTTTTATTGTAAGCTCGGATATTTCGAATGCAAATTTTTTTATACGAATTTTCTCTATTAGACATAATTTTCTTTATAGTGAGTAGGATAAAGAAACAAACAACACGATCGATATTCTCTTAATATTTCCCTTGATTCATCTCTCCCTAATCATAACGTGTTTTTTATGAATGTACCTAATCAAGAAGAAACTCCTGCAGATTACGTGGAGGTTTAAGGATTTTTTTGGAGGAATGAAACGCCTCAAAAAGGCAGGAAAATTTAACACCGTCCTGCCATCTATTCTTGAGAGACTGTATTAGCAGGAACAGCAGCAGTATCGCTTTCAGAATTCGATTAAATGGTGAGTGTAATTCGGTCGTTATTCAAAAGATGAAATACATCGGAAATTATGCCGGTATTTTTTCACAACTCAGCAAAAGGTAGATCATTTGCATGCATTATATTTGACTTGCAAAATAACATGAGTTACTTGTATTAAAAATACTTTTTAACCTTTAATAATCATTCAGAAATGGATATAATTGGTGTAGCTACATAAACACTTAAAAGAACGATCATTTGCCATGCATTATATTTGACTTGCAAAATAACATGAGTTACTTGTATTAAAAATACTTTTTAACCTTTAATAATCATTCAGAAATGGATATAATTGGTGTAGCTACATAAACACTTAAAAGAACAAAAAGGACAAAATTGCAAAAAATTATAGAAGAAAACTTATTGATTTGAAGGATTGAAAGATTTGTGGATACACAATACATGATACAGGAGGAAGGATGCAGGTTGTGTTAAAAAAAATTAAGAGAAATCTCGTGAGAAAACTTTTATGTAAACCAAAACATTACTCTTTAGTCAACAAATATTTATCTAAATAATTCGTAGAAAATGTTTAATTATGCAACGTCTCCTAAAACCATATCAACACAATGATGTGTGCATTCAACCTTCGTTTGTGTCGAGTGGCTGGGACACCATCCAAAAAAGGAGCATTTACATCATCGTTAGCAATAACATAAACAAATTTAAATTTATCGGGTCCTGTCCGTGGATTTTAGCGCAGCTTTTTTGCCTACACCGCGCGAAATCGACAGTATCGACACTTGTTGAAAGAAGAGAACGCGGAGATTACAAAAACGGTAGTCAAAGCCTACAAGTCGCGGTCGAAGCATTAAATTCACCGACGGTGCGTCGGCTAAGTGTATGAATAATGTTCATATGTTCATTAATTTGGGCCTATCCAGGCCTGGATGATTGCTAGTGGTTTTTGGTGTAATGCACGTGAACGGGACAGCAGGAATTGACCATTTGTTAATTGCGCGTTAAATTAGGTAGGTGATCAGTGGGAGCGAGAATACCAAGCATTTTTTAGGAAAACATCGTGCTAAAGTAGTTTTTTGTATAAATTATTTAAATAATTGTGCTGAAAATAGACGTTCAATAGGGCTGTTAACGTTATATTTTGATTTATGTAACTATATCGTTGGTGGTTTTTAAGAGAATTGTTGATCGAAATATTAACAGGTATGATTATTTGCTGTAAAATAAACTGAACTCAATTCGTGAGTCATCGAAAATCAAAATTTGTTTGCTGTTTAAACTCCAATTTACTTCAAAAATTAAAATACCTACACCAAGATAAAATTGTTCCATAGTTGACTCCTAAACTAACTTACTATTTAAGCAATTTACTTTATTATTAGACAATTTCTCTCGATTAATTTCTCTCACTAAAACGTAACTATTTATACGCAAACCAGTTATTGTTAACATTATATCGATTTGTTGTTTAATCAAAATGGCGGGCGTGTATCTCCAATTCAATTTATCATCTTGAAGCAATCGGAATTATTCGAAAGGTAATTTGTTGAAGATTTATTACATACTAGTAGTCAGTAAAAAGTAGTTAATGTAATACCGAGAGAATGCAAGAATTCAGGTAAATGAACGCATATTAATAACGAAGTAAACCGGCCACTTCTGTTACCTTAGGCTATTCTATTACTGTTCGTTTTTGTGTGAATCAACAGTCTAAAAATGCGTTAATAAATGCCGAGTAAGTTCAATTGTCCTTAATCTAAAATGATGTCACTCGGCTCTTTTATCACTTAATATGCTACTGCATCCGGTGTAAACAAAAATGCGGATGGTCAACTGTGGTGTTATTTACAAACAGACTGCTCTAATTTGAACGCCCAGATTTAATTTTCTCCATAAACTTCACAGCCGAAACAATTCCGAGCTTTCACTCTTTATATACCCTGCAAGGAACAGCTCCAGAATGCGCATCTGCAATGTTCCCTGGATAAGTTAATAAAATACCAATTTTTGAATATGTAAAGCGCCTTCGCTTTTCGCTTCCCTCAAAGTCGAGCCGTGTGAAATTTTCGTTTACCTCCAGATGCTCAACGATGAATAATTCATGGGCAAAATATTGATATTGTACAGAGCGCCTTGTGATTCGTAATTGGATCGAGCAAACAATAATTTAACAGCTTTTCTTTGTAATGAATATTTTATATGTGTGTATATTAATCGTGTGTTTGCCTGCTGTTTGAGTTTTCTAAAAATTGCCAACTAACAAGTAGATTTCGGTAGATTTCTAAAAAAAGTGAAGAATATGGCAATTAAAACATTGCGAAATAAAATAGGATTTGTATAGACAAAAAAATCGAGAGAGTTTGTTAATAATGGATATTAGAAGGGATTAGAATTGATTTTTAAATAACAAGGGCGTAATATTATGCTTATAACATAACATATTGGTCGCACAAATACAAATCGAGTGCGCTATTCAATTATGATTATCTATAATCTGTTTGGTGAAATTTATTTCTCCACGGTAATGATGATTGTACCAGATATCATACATCAGCTTAGCCAACAATAATATTTGTATAGAATAGTTCTAATCGAAATGAAAATATCGATTACATCAAATTGTACACGACCATTAATTAATTAGATTGAATAGAGGAAGGTCTTATTTTTGGGTTCATTGAGTTTTTTTTAATTTCAAAGGCTTCATAAATGAATCCGAACTATTTTATTTGTTAAGGTAAATTTTTCTCATTTTTATCCGCAATTTCCTTTATTTCTCTGTATTAAAATAAATATTTTTCAAGGCATTTAGATCGAAAAAAACATTCCCTATTAGTATCGAGCGGAAATTAATTAAGTATGTAAATCACAGTTTCGTGACATTTGCATATGTATGGTACTTAACTAACGGACTTTTAGGTAAATGTAAATGGTTTATTCCAACACAATAGATTTTAAGCACCCATTTTATTTTAGTCGTTGAAGCACAAAGTTGTTTTTGTGTATTTAGAGAAATTAGAATCAGGCCAAACAATCCAGATTTTTATCCCCATTTTACAATCCTTAGGCTGGCATGTTTGCTCGAGTGTGGTTTAGAAAAAAAACCTTTTTGATCTTTCCATATGATAAACATGCTCGGTTTTACGATCGATTTAATTATTAAAGATCAGGTTCTTTGTGCTAAGCTAATTTTACACAATTAGTAAAGGTCATTCAAATTTTCCTATGTACTGATTATTCCTAGATAATTTTCTAAATATTGTAATGTTTAATACCAAATGTTTCTAAATTTATTACTTCTTCTATTATTTTCCAGGCCAAAAATGTACTCCAGAATGGACGGCTCGAAAGCATTCTCCAGAACCAACAGCATCTGTCCTACGCCGGAAGAAAAGCTGCTGGAATTGGTCCTGAGTAACGACACAGACGAAATAGAAGCCACCGCTACTAAAAAATTATTGAACCACGTTTACACTGCAGACGGCAACAAAACGATCCTCCTGAGAGCCTGCATAGAAGAGCAAGTAGAAGCTGGAACTATAGAGACATTAATCAAATGCGGCGCAGATGTTCGTTACGCGGACGACGATAAATGGGAAGCTTTGCACTTCGCTGCCAAGCGAACCGATCCAGAGGTTCTAAAAGTCATTATCAACGGATTAAATGCGGCTAATGTGAATATAAATTCGGTACTGGCGAATGGGAATAATGCATTGCATGTACTAATACGGCACGGGAACGCGGAATCCGAGGAATTCGACGATTGTGTAAAACTCCTGATTAAAGAAGGAATAAATGTTAATTTAGGAGACTTAAAAGGAATATCTCCTATTTTTTGGGCAGCTAAAAAAGATAATAAAGCAGCTGTTAAAACTATCCTAGAATGGGGTTCGTCAGTGGACATCGATTCGCACAAACTCAGGAATGAATCAGCAAGAGACTTAATAATTAAGAAGAATTTATACAGTGGTAAATTACCTAACAAAAACGATAATAACAACCGTTCCAACTCTAAAGACATCATCGACACGCTTTACAACTACATTAAAATACACGGTGAAAAGGATTTTAAACGCTTCTTCGACGAAAATTCTTGCGAAGTAAATTTATGCGATGACGAACAATCCGAATGGACTCTACTGCAATTATCAGTCGATAAAGGTTGCAAACAAATCGTAGAATATTTAGTAGACAAGGGAGCGGACGTGACGAAAACCACCAAAAAAGAGCCCAGGACCCCTCTGGAAATCGCCGCCGAGCACGGTTTCCACGAAATATTCGCCATCCTACTAAAAAAATACGACCCTAATTCAATCATCCCCAATTCCGTTTTGATCAGTTTGGTCCAATACTTCGACTGCGAACCGCACCCGGAGGCCGGCATCGATCGAAGGAAGTGCTGCGAGCTCCTCTTAGCCAAGAATCGCGAAAAATCCATCGAACTGGACATAAACGGCTCGGACTCGTCCGATAAAAACGCGCCGTTACATTACGCGGTGCGCTACGGTAACGCCAAAATCGTCGAAGATATCCTCGGTTTGGGCGCTTCGTTGGGCTCCAAAAACCGCTGGGGCATCATGCCCGTGCAAAACATCGAGCCCGAGCTGCTGAAGAAGCACCTGGACGATTGCGTACAGTTCGACGTCAACGATAAAAAAGATAAAGAAGAGTTCGCTATAACGTTTAATTACCGCACATTAATTCCTCCTGGACTGGAGAAAGCTGGCAAATCGGATCCCGAAGCGGGCACTAACGAGCACCTGGTTCACGAGACCGAAGTAATCGCCTACATGAGCAAAGCTCCGGAGTTTAAGCACCTGCTGGCGCATCCTCTAATCGTGACGTTCCTCTTCATGAAATGGCACAGGATCAGATGGTTGTTTTACACTAATCTAGCTTTTTACGTAGCTTTCTTCGCTTCTCTGGTAACGTACATATTTTGCTATTTCGCTAACTTCGATGAACCGACTTCGTTTGAGAAATTCATGCGGTATTTATCGTGGTCGGTGTTGTTGGTCACATTCGTCGCGTTGGTGCTCAGGGAGTCCTTCCAGATACTCGTGTTGTCCATGAAGTACGTCAAAAACTTCGAAAATTTGATCGAAATCGCTTTGATAGGTTTATCCGGAGCGATACTGTTCGCCGATTCGCCCAGCATCGACGTACGCAAGCAGATCTCTTCTGTGGCTATTTTACTGGCGGCGTTGGAGTTGATTTTGATGGTAGGCCAGCATCCCAAGCTCTCCACCAACGTGGTCATGCTGAAGACGGTCAGTTACAATTTCTTCAAATTCCTGCTGTGGTATTCGCTGCTAATCTTCGCGTTCGCTATGAGTTTCTACATATTGTTCGCCGATAAGAGCGATAAGGACAACAAATTCGACGATCCGGTTTTCAAGACAGTGGTGATGCTGACGGGGGAGTTCGAAGCCAGCGACATCGAGTTTAAATTTCCCGTCGTCGGTAAGCTCGTGTTCGCGTCGTTTATCTTCACTATAGCCATTATTCTGGTGAATTTGCTCAACGGTTTGGCCGTGAGCGATACGCAGATGATCAAGCAGGACGCCGAGCTCATCGGGCACATCTCCAGGGCGCAGCACATCCGGTACGTGGAGGTGTTGCTGCTGGGCGACATCGTTCCTAGCAACTTCCTGGATAAAATTGGCGGGGTTTTCGGTTGTTGTTTCCCGTCGATGAGCTGGAGTTGGTCGGTGTTCAAGTCGCTGGCTAGGAAAGTTTGTCTGTTCCCGCATTTGTTCGATAATTACGAGATAACGGTGTTGCCCAATAGGGCGGGTCAAATAAGGTACCTTAAAAATCAAAAGAGGCAGAAATGTTGTTTGGGCGGGTGCCAGAACATTTACTTAGATAAGGAAACGGTGCAGAAAATCAACGAAATCGTTCGGAATAGAAAGGAACAAAGCATATCTGATAGGAACATATCCGATAGAGAGCTGAGAGAGTTGTTGGAACTTGCGTTGGAGAGACTTTATAACATAAAACCGAGTCAAATAAACTAATTATTGTTTTTCAGTATTAATTGTTTAAAAATAAATAATAAAAATAATAAAAATCGAAATGCCTATATTAGTTTACTGTATGAGTTTGAATGAAATTATTTAATTTTAATAAATAGAAAGTTATTTAATCTGGTGCGTAATTTTTCGTTCAACTTAATGACGGATGTTGATCATTTAAACTTTCACTAGATATTCTACTTTAATTACATCATTCTGATACATCTACCAATTTTTTTAATCTCTTTTAGAATTGGTCCACACAGACACAAAAAACGATTATACAACGGATTATACAAGGATTTATATCCATTATAACATTTGTAGACAAGTAACGTGACATACCAAGCTAGAAGTTTCCAGACCTTGGTTATGTAAGGCCGTAATTGACATTTGACAGCCATTTAATTTCTTCTTTTATTAGCTAATAAAAAAAGAAGAAGTTTGTAGGTTAGTGATTATTGTCAAATAAATCAACAATTTTTTGGCAATTAATTTAGAGGGTTTGCACACGATTATAAGCCCGACGGACCCTTTAGCATTACCTACGATGCACCACGAGGAGGAGAATTCTGGAAAACTGGAAAGTACATCCATAATCCATCTTCCGCAGGTAACGTAAGTTTGTGTCAATATTTGGATTCTACTATTTGCCAGGCAATTATAAAATCATAGGTAGAGGGGTTATAATGATTGTGGGAATATTAAGTAATCAAACGGTTTGTTATAGATTCCTCTTTAAATGATACGAAGTATGTGTTGAATCCCACGAAGTTGTCCAGACCTATCGATGGATCGTTGTACATCCCCTGTATAGTAGGCCTAAATAACATTAAAGCTAATGATTACTGTAATGCAGTGTTGCAGGTAAGTCGAGTTAACCGAATGAATTTGGTTATTTCTTAATTTAAATGCGCAAAATTGCAGGCTTTGACTCTTGTTAATCCGCTTCGGAATGACTTCTCGAGAGAAGAAAATTGCAGTAATGTAAAGAGACCTTCCATCTACTCCTGCAGAGGTTCGGCGAGCTTATGAGGAAATTGTGGAATCCCAGGAACTTCACAGAGCATGTGCGAGTATCAAGAAATTCTCTCCAAGCTGTTGTATCGTGGAGTTAAAAGAGGTTTCAGTTCGCTCAGCAGGGTTAGCTAGTTTTATAATGCTTAATTATTGTTATAATTGAGTTATTGTTTGTAGGAGATCCGATAGATTTTTTGTCTTTGGTTCCTGATTGCCCTTGATTGAGCATTGGATGGTATTAAGAAAAATGACAGTTCAATAATCTACGGAAGTTGAGACGGAATCGCCCCTTTTTGTATCTATCTTGCGATCTACGGCCTTCGCCATTTTGTTTATCGATGAATTTCTGAGAGAATATATCATTCCTCAGGTATGCATTATAAAGCGTTATGTTATAATAGGAGTGTATGTAATAATTTGTGATTTGTAGGTGAATTTGTATCGACTCTTAACGAAATTCAACGGGCAAACCGAGAAGGAATACAAAAGCATAAAAGGAAAATTTCATGAAGAAGTGCGAAATAAGTGTAAGAATTGAGATCGACACAATGATTTTACTCCTGTAACGTTTTTGTATATTAATATTTCGTCTCTATTTTGTTGCATTTAACGGTAGTGAGTTTATTGTAAGAAAATAAAAATATCGTTGAAAGTGTTTTGTTTTATATATTTTGAAATCGCCAATTCCAAACCAGTTTTCATGTAATTAGCAATTAAAAAATGCAGCAGTTTTGTTAATTTTTCAAAAATTTTAATGTATAATGCATTTTTTATAAAAAATCGTTCATACTTAATCATTTCTAATGCATTTCTGGTATCTTAGAGGTATATAATAGATAAATAGGTTGCCTACCTAATAGTATCCGTAAATCGATTTTCGATCAATAAATGTAATTCTGGTTGCCTATCTATTGTATTAGTAAGGCGCGAGTAATAAGTATCAGGAGTAAACCTCTTCACACATTCTGTTCTCCTACTACGAAATTTCAAATTCGCAAATTTTTAACGAGAAATTTTCGAACGATGTACAAAACTATTCTTCCGATTTTTACAAATTGCGTTGAAAAAGGTTGCGTTTTTTTTCAATAAACTCGACAAAACTTTTAGCATTCGGCTTTCTCATCATTTCTACTATAAAACAATAATAATGCCCAAAATGATAAATTTCATCCAGGACTTTCCGTAAAAGTACCTCTCTCCATATAATAAATATCTCCTGTTACTAGACTTCCTTGCATATTCTCCTTGCCTAATATCCGAAATTAATCAATGGAGATCTACGAAAACTTGTGCTCAAATCTCGAAATAAAACGTGAATTTGAAATTTCGTATTAGGAGAGCAGAATGTGCGAGGAGGTTTACTTATGACGCTTATTAATCACGCTCCTGTTCGATTACAAATATGTACAAAGGCAACCATTTAATCAAATTTCGGTAATTCCGGTTGCCTATCTATTGTATTAGTAAAGCGCGAGTAATAAGTATCAGGAGTAAACCTCTTCATACATTCTGCTCTCCTAATACGAAATTTCAAATTCACGTTTTATTTCGAGATTTGAGCACAAGTTTTCGTCGATCTCCATTGACAAATTTCGGATATTAGGCTATAAGAATATGCAAGCAAGTTCAATATCGGGAGATATTTAGTATATCGAGAGAGATACGTCTAGGGAAGGTCCTGGATGAATCCTGATGCGTTAATAAATATTCTAAATGTTTCGTCGTTCTTGAAAACACATTTTCAAAGATAATTTAACATTTTGGGCATTATTAATAATTCTTTATTACAAAAATGATACGAAAATAGAATATTAAAAATTTTTTATGACATCCTTAATCCTGATTTTAGAATTCTTAGTATTTTTCGTTCATTAAAAAAACGCAAAACTTTTTCAACGCAATTTGTAAAAATCTGGAGCTATTAAAGCAAAAAGATCGGGAGAAACAAATATTAGGAGTTCGACTAGTTTGTGTCAAACGTATGAAAATCTCACGATAAAACGTGAATTTAAGAATTCGTATTAGGAGAGCAGAATGTGTGAAGAGGTTTACTCCTGATACTTATTACTCGCGCTTTACTAATACAATAGATAGGCAACCAGAATTACCAATATTCGATTAAATGGTTGCCTTTGTATGTATTGCTTTGTGCAGGAGCGCGATTAATAGGCGTCATAAGTAAACCTAGATTAAAATTCCAAATTACAGAGGTTCACATTCACAAGTTTTCGAAATATTAAAACGTTTTTTTTTAATTATCGGTTTCTAAATTCTTCCTTTACCTGTCAGCTGTTTTCAAATCAATTCTGGCCTCTTACTTTCTACGTATTCATTTCAATGTGAAATGATTTTATTCGCGTTATTAGATAAGAAAATATAATAGTGGAAATTAAATATCATATGACGATACAATAAAGTAAGAAAACGACCAAAAATGCTACAAAAATAATTTACTTATAAATAAAAATTAGATTTACACCAAATAAGGTAATTCACGAAATTTTTCTTGACGCTCCAGTGGCGCAATTGGTTAGCGCACGGTACTTATAAGGCAGTAGTCGTGAGCGATGCCGGGGTTGTGAGTTCGAGCCTCACCTGGAGCACTTTTTTTGTACACACCGGCTACTTTTTTTATCGCTTAAAATTAAATGAATAAAACACTTGCAATAAATAATATATTTACATTTAATACAAAAATTGATAGAAACAAATAAAAACAGGAATTACGATGGTGTACTTAAATGACTGTATTAGTCTGTTGTTGATTTCCAGAATTAGATCTCGATACAAAAGATACAGCATTTTGTAGAACTTGTTTTCGAATAAAATCAGATGTTATTGAAGACATGCTTTGTTTACTTCCCACTTTACATCTTATGTATCCGTAAAGATTAGAGCCACTCAAAACTAGCGCAATGACAACTAGTACCTAAAATTGAACTCACAATCAGTTTTGTTTTTGTATTAGTTATAAAAAAAATCTATAACTCACCATCCACCTAAAATCCAATCCGATTAAATTACCAACAAAAAATATAAACCAAAAAACAGGTGTCAAAATGAGTGCGACCCAGAATATTCGAGCTTCCCTCTCGTTTATCCTATTCTAAAATATATTCATATGTACAAATCATCGATTACTTTCAGATAAACAAATTTACCTGTTGCGACTCGAATACCCAATGAGATTTCCCTTCCTCGTCCACGTAATTCCACCACCTGAGACCTACCATTAGTCTCCCCGTTATATTTTTCACTATCCAAAAATCCATCGACAGAAACAGAACTACAGTCACAAAACTGGCGATGAAACCGGCATTAAATAGCCCACACAATAAATAAACTACCATCGCTGTGCCTTTGAACAGTAAATGGCAGAGAGTAATGTAGGGATGTCTAAAAAGTATAAAAGTAATATATAAATATTTACTATATTGTCGTTACTACCTTAAGGATCCTTTTGAAGCACCCAATTCGCCTTCATCTTCACCGAAGGCTGCAGTGTCTTCCAAAAGGGGCATCTAGATAAAAAAAAAAACACGTTAATCGATATAGAGATGTACGATAAGAAATACTTATAATACCGTTGCTGATGACATCACTAGATAACACGTTGCACGTTGAACAATACAGAGATAAAGATATTAATTATTTGTATTATTTGTATTCATTTTTTTATGATTTTGATACTTGGTTTTATTTTGATTACCTTGCTGCAATTCTGTCAATGTCAGATGTCACTGTCATATTTATTCTTCATTTTTTTTCGTCTCATTTCCTTTGGTGAGAAATTTATAGACAAGAATGATTTTAGCATAGACATTCTTCATTGAAACTAATTGTTCAGTCTAATTAAATTTTAGAAGATTCTGTTATGTAAATTTACAGCCTATTTTTGATTTGAAATATACAAGAAATCTGCATTACCGACTTTTCATATGTCATATTTAGTTAACATTTAACCCGTGTCAACTAAGTGCGGCAGCACCATCAACCTGTCAATTTTTAGTAAAGGATCGAACTATCTATTTTCTTTTTCTATGCAGAAACGTAACGCACCTTTATAAATTTTCAAGTTTATTTTTTTTCTACATTATTGATTGATCTCATGTTGGGTAGTTTCGCATAGTTTGCTATAATGTCGTTGAATGAAAGGTAAGTGCATTTAGACGGTCATGCTCGGTGATCAAGTTTATTGTTTCCAGAGTACAAGAGGAGCTGGAAGCTTTAGAAGCTATTTTAATGGATGATATTTCTATAACATACGACGAACAGTAAGTTAATGTACATTCGAACTATTCCATTGCTATTCCATTGAACTTGTAGGAGTTGTTTAACGCTAATCAAATCCACGATATTCCCTTCGACTGCTAACGAAGTAAACAAGCAGTATGTTTGTGTAACTATAGAAGTTAAACTTCCAGAAGATTACCCCGATTCGGAGCCAAACGTACAATTAAGGAATCCCAGAGGACTCGACGACTCCACTGTAAACGATCTGTACAAATCTATCAAAGAAAAATGTACTGAATATCTCGGACAGCCTGTGATTTTTGAACTAATCGAGGTACCTTTCTATACTGCAAGGCAGTCACTATTTTTGGTTAATTTTTACCTGTATTTTAGCTTATTAGAGAGAGTCTTACAGAGAGTAATTTACCCACGTGTCAATGTGCTGTGTGCTTATACGGATTCTCCGAAGGGGACAGCTTCACAAAAACGCAATGCTTTCACTACTTTCATTCCTACTGCTTGTACAACCACCTAGAAACCACTAAAAGGCATTACCAGGAAGAACAAGAAAAGTTACCGGCTTGGCAAAAGTCTACCAAAGGATTCCAGGTTACTCGATATCTACCAATCGAAATGTGCTAAACATTAAAGAGATATCTTCTCGCAGGCGATCTGTCCGGTTTGTCGCGAATCCATAAACTGTGATGTCGAAGAACTGAAAACGGCTCTTCCTCCCAAAGATTTAGAAAATGCTCAAAACTTCGAAGTTACCAAGGACTTGAGGGTGTTGCAGGACCGAATGAAGCAGCTCTTCTCTTACCAGAAAAGCAAAGGCGGCATTATCGACGTCGAGGCCGAAGAAAATAAATTGCTGTTGATCACGGAAACGAGCGATAACGGATCTACAGATACGAATGAAGTACTTAATTTTATTGCGAGATTAATATTAATTTGTTTATAATGTGTGTTTGCAGGATCCAGGGCCCAGCGATGGTGCTTTAGAATCGGACGCACAACGAGGCCAAAGGTTTGATTATCGGGTGAGTTCCGGGCTGAATAACAGATGACTAAGGCATTTCAAAATACAATTCAAGCTCTCCTCAATTTGTGTCATAATTCAATACTCGTCTGCGTGTAAGTTCGTTTTATAGAAAACCTTTATTTTTAAAATGTTTTTTATTTATTTTTTGTTTTACTTTCAAAGTTACTTTAAGCATAAGTATGTTGATGTAATAAATGTATTCTGTTTTCAAGTCGTTTGTTGATTGTGTGTGGATAGGAAAGAAGACGATTAGCGTTTTATAATAATCGTATATTTATGTTAAAAAAATTCGATAGACCTAACGGAAATATTTTATGCCGACGACGACCATGAATTTCTCGATGAAGAGCTCCGAGTCTAAGACTGCGATGTGCGCCGCCCTGCCGATCAGGGCGTTGGCCGTGTTGGGCAAGGCGTGGTGGATGTCGTACCGCACGAGTTTCACCTCCTTCTGGGCGATGATCGGGGATATTATGTTGTGGACCATCTCCCTGAAGATCGTGCCCTGGTCGGAGGTGTCCTTCAGCGATTCCTTGCACAGCTCGATCCTGGCAGAATGCAGCGGAACGTACCTAAAAAGATCGATCGTTTGACTAGCGGTTTAGTTAATGGAAAGTTGCAGTACCTATCTTGACCCGAGCCGCATAGAAGTATGTTTTTAAAATGGTGCAAGGTGCTCCTTTGGCTCAAACGATAGAGAAAAGTGTGCCGTGGGTCCACCGAGTCCTTCAGGCACAGCTGGAGCAGCGAACCGGATTTTTTCCACTTTTGCATAAACCACATTCCTACAAACCAATACCTTAAAATCCTTCAATTCGATTGTTATAACGCGAAACTCACCCATATTAACTAATCCACTACTGTTGTACAATGTTCCTAAATGTGGTCCAGAAAGTGATAAGAAAGTATGCAGTCTTGGTAGAAGAAATTTCATCTGAGGCCTCGTCAGAGCCGATCTTATAATAATATTACCCAAAGAATGACCTACGAAACTTATCCTTGTTGGTCGTATACTACTAGTATCTAAATATTGAAGAATTTCGCTGATTAACCTACAAAAAAATCAACAATTACAACCCATTAAATTCTCTTTAAAATATAAATTTACCGATCGGTCATTGTATCGAAATCGCTGAACGTGTCGCCTTGGTTCCTCTCGGACATGAGGAAGTCCAAGTAGGCACCGGGCAGGCCCAATTCCAGGTAAGTCTTGACCAGCCGCAGATCGGCCGAATTGCCGTCCAGGCCGTGCACGCACACCACCAGGTGCATGCCCTCCGGCGAGAATATCCGGAACTCGTCGCTTATGTGGAAATAGGGGATGGTCGAGGCGAAACCGTTCAGGTCCGAGTACAGCAGGCCGGCGACGTTTAATTGACTTTTGAATTCCTTTTTCGCTTTGAGGAAGGTTTTTAGGGAGTCGCCGTTCAGGGTCTTCGGGAAGTTGTAATCTAAAAGATGATAGTTATAATGGGGCAACTAGGTTTCTTCAGAATCATTTAGGTTGCTTAGGGCGAATCAGAATTGTCGAGAACCATTTAAAACTCTTCAGGTTCGAGTTGGAACTGCCTATTACAAAACCTGAGCTACCTATTTTATTTAAAAAAATAGCACTAATCGAACTCTTTTACAAATACTGATTCACTTTTCTGTTAAAACTAACACACTATTTTTCTTGGTTTATTCCAATTGATTATTCCGTACCTTCGTTATCCGGTTGATTCAATTTAGCTAAATCGAATTGACTGGACCTTCTTTCTAGCGTGGTTCGAGTATCGACCACGTGGTAAAGGAGATTATCAACGGCGTTAATTTCTTCCTCGTTAACACCGTTGGCAACCGAGCTGGATGGCGAATCTAAATCTCTAAATTGTTTGGGTGGCGGAAGAGCGATGTCTTCGCATATATTGTTTTGATTGTATTCACAGCCTGAAAATAAACCGTTATCCTCTCGTTATTCACTAATTCTATACCAAGAGTACCTTTAAGTAAGAATAAATCGCCATCCTTTTTGCTTACGCGCTTAAAATCGTTATTGGAACTATCGCTATCAATATAAAATTTGTTTGATTTGTAATCGCTTCTTTTGTCTTTGCCTTTCTTTCCTCCCAAGTTCGCTGGAAGTTTCTTATCAAACTCGAGGAAACTGCGCTGAGCATTGGCCATATCCATACTAGAAGCTAAAATAACAATATTGTTCATTAGAAATGGTGGTAATGTTACAGTATATCTTACCTATAGAGCTGCTTCTGGATGTAATCCACCCGCTTTGCTCGCTGGTACTGGATGATGTGGAGCTGCTGTAGTACTTCATTTCCGGATAAAGCCTATCCTCCAATTTCGAGATGATATTTGGCAGTGATTCGGTGCCTGATAAGGTGCGCGAGGCGGCTTCGTCGATCAGACAAGAGGAGCTCTTCACCTTTCTAATAGCGCTAACGTTAATAATTAAGGTCGGTTTTTCGTCGCGCGTTAACCCTGTTTTGAAAGTTTCTTTTGATATACTATCAGTCGAGCTGCTGGTCGACGGGACGTCGAGGCGATCGGCGCCGTTCGACAGGCGGCTTTTTGTTTTCTTGGTCTTGCTTTCGCTGTCGAAAGTTTTGATTGGTTTTTGATTGCGTTGCAGCAGGAGAGAGTTGAACTTGTTAACAGTGCTGTTGGGCTTCTTGCCCTTGGGCGAGAAGCACTGGACCGAGCTGGAGCGAAATATGTTCTGGGCGCTGTCGTTGGGCGTTTGGCTGGCCGATTTGACCAACGTCTGGTACTTGGTGGCGTTGGTGAGGTTTTTAATGTTGAACTGCTTGTATTTCTTCTCCGGAACGTCGAGGTCGATGTGCGATTTCCTGGGGAGCTTTATCGAGTGGTGACCGAATGAGCAATTGCAGATGTTCTCTTTTTCTTCGTTTAAAAAGTATTTGCGGTTTCTCATGTTGTGCTCGCTGGCGACGTTCTTCAATTTCGGTTCGGTTTTGCAGAAGAGTACCTTCTCCCTGTTTTGGGTTTGAATGCCAGCGCTGGTCGAGCCTCTGCTTAGGCTGTAATGGAAATTCGTCATTGAACACATTTGTAGATGATCCAGTGATTTGCTGTGCCTGGCCGGAACGCTGAAGCTCGCCGTGTCCGCTAAATTGTACAAATCTAGCGTCTTCTCCGAGCCTTTCTTCGATGTCCACAGTTTGCCTAAGCTGCACGAACAGTTCGTTTCGTCCACTTCCATTTTCGATGTTTTCCTCCAAACAGTCAGCTCTAATAAAACATAAATTTAATAATCTGTATAGAGAACGAACGAAGCACATACCGGGCGTTATGGCCAAGCTAAGCTCGCAAGCTCTTTTTTTAGCTTCGAATGGATCTTGGTAATGATCTTCGAAAATCACAGGCATGGTGGCGCATTCGCCATCTAAGGCAATGCAATGTACCGGCAGAGGGGGCAGCATTTGCATGTACTTGGATCTCCTGGCAACCTCGGCTATGACGAGGTAATTTTGATAATTCGTATCGTGACACCCGAAGGCCGAGCTCCGGGGGTTGTAGATGAGGAAAAATAATTCGGCGAATCGTCGCACCCTCAAGTGGTGGTGCTTTTTGCTCAGGTACTGCTGGATAGCCAGTTTGCAACTGAAAGTCAGTAGAAAATAGTTCCAGAGCTTGATGTTTTCGGCGCACACTTCGGCAAGCCCGGAGTTTTGTTTGTAAGGCCTTTTTTTCATTAGCTGGAAACGAAAATTATTCACCAAATTATTATTCCACTATGCTACTGAATTATGTAGGCTCACTTTAGTGTTATCGTATTCGTTATGTTTGACGACGAGCGTATCGTAATCGTCCGATACGAACTCCTCCCGTTGCTGCAACAACGCCTTGTATTCCTTGATAGTACCTTTAAGATTATTGCTAGAATCTATTAAGACATTGTAAGCCTCTAAATGCATCTGCGGTGATTCATTTATTCTGCTATATACCTTATTATTACTACTCACTGTCGGTAGGACGGGATCAGTTAATGGAGAACGTTGCGTCGTTCGAATTTTGTTCCACGATTTCGAGTGTTTCGGCGCACTGGAAATGAATATTTCATCGAATTTAATTAGCTATCGATTCGATGGTCTCGAAGGATTATTCAGTGTGCTTACCAACTTTGCATGTACCGAAGAATTCCTTTCCTGGAAACCACAAATACATTTTTTTATACTACGTTTATTGGTGGAGATTAATACTGAGCAAAATGATGATGGTGTAAAACTCGGATTCATTTTACCCAGTACTAAAATTCTGTAAGTAAAGTAAAGGAAGACCTACTTTATGGAAGGCTGATGTAAGGCAGTCAGCGCTGTATGGACAGTCAGCGAAACGGCCGATAGGTGAAAGTAATCGAACAGCACGGGCAAATGATAGTGTAGGCCATCAATCGGCGACATGTTCAATTGGAGGATCCTCTGGGATACCATCACCATCGAAACGGGCGATGTATCGCTGAACCATAGCTCTAAGGCCAAGGAGAACTCGGCGCGCTCCAAGGACTCTCTCAAATTGTTACCGTCTACCAGCATGTGGCATCTACACAAAAACAGTCCAATATACCATCTAAATAATACCGTAATAAAGACTTCTCCACTTTTGAAATGGGTCAACTTATATTGGTAAAATATTGAGTAGGAAAATACCTGAATAACACGACATCTTTGAGGGTGACCTCTTCGTTTCTGTAGAGTATTTGGAATGGGCGACATGCTCCGTAGTTGCCCAAAACGATGGCGGTGCCCAATCCCGTTGTAACTTCAGGTGTGGTGACTTCGATTTCGACGTTTAGTTTTGAGGCCACGCGTAGAGCGCATCGAACTTGGTACATTCTGCACGAGAACGATAAAACGGGACAATGATTAACCTATTTAAAGGTGTCGTGCGATCTTATTGCAATTTTATCGATCAGAGAAGTCGTGAAAACATGTTATTTCGCGCTCATTCGGTAAACAAACGCGGGGATTGTGCGGCGTTTACGGCGCTTTAGAGGAAATTGGAATTTATTTGAAACTGTGGAAATACTCACCCCCTTTGAAATAAATCGACATTGTAAAATTTGAATAGTTCGACTGAGAATTCTATTGTCGACTGCAACTCGCTCATAATATTGAATAGGGTTGATATTTAACTACATTCCTGAAAAAATAAATTCGTTAGAGTAGGTACACTGCGATTGGTATAGCTGGAGACTTGTTTTAATATTGCGTACTCGCATCTATATCTATTCTCATGGAAATTGTGCAAAAAAAATTGTAGGAATGTGTACACATAACGAATTTACAACGTGACATGATATGTGATTCCAAAATATCCGGGATAATCCGGGTAAATAGCCGCGCGTCGAGTTCCCTCGCGTAATTTATTCAATTCACCTGGCCTAATGAAAATTTCCTGCCTTTCCGATATTAAATTTCACGGCAAGTTTCGTGTTCGGGTGTCAGTCAAATCAATATCGCCAAACCGCCCGATATTATGTTTACTCCAACTGAACTTTTCTTATTATTCCGCCGGTTAGATGTTGACCTTTTCCTTTTACGAGCCCCCGCTGATGTTTCGTACGCTGCACGTGAATTTCGGCTTTTATTGAATATGAATAATTTACAGGACGTCCCGTTTTTATATACGCGAATCGTTCCCCGACCAACGCGGATGTTTTATGGATGGGATTTCGCCTAGTTTTGTAGTTCGGAATAGAAGCTTTGTTTCAAAAATTTATTTATTCATTTAATCAATCGTAGATTTGTTGATAATTGGATTTTTTATTGGGAATTCGAAAAGAAATCTAAAAATATAGGGTTGAGAAAATTATGAAAATAAAGAACCTATTAAAAAATTCATTATTAATTTAAATATGAGAGGATTAAAAGAAATTATTTTATTATGTAAGTATCGAAAATTAAATTTTAATTAGAATGATTAATAAATTGTTGCCAACTAAAATAATAGAATTTTCCAATTTAAAGACGCGTTATTCATTTCCGTTATTCACGAACCTACAAATCAATCATATCAATTAAATCGACCGTGAACAAAAGCACACCAAACAACTAGCTACTAGTAAATAAATAAACCAGCTAGTAAAAAACTACTATAGAAAAATCTACCATCAATCTCGCGATCTACGATGCAGATCGCTCGTAACGCTTAAGTAAATATAGAAAACCCGAAAAGCGAGTCTCGCTAAAAATACACTCACCTCCGTCGAATCGACACAGTTTTCCCTTTTCGAAAGCGATTTTTACGCACTGCACACTTCCCTTTTGTCGCACTCGCACCGTCCGAACTCGCTCATATTCCCTGCCGAGTGCCCGCCGTTCGAACGATGCAATTTGCCAATTGTCCCGTCGCGATTGATGCAACCCGTGCAGCGGGCGATAGCGGAAAGCCAGGCCGTGTCCTATTTAACTCGGCGGTCGGGCATCGGGCGCGACACAGTTAGGCGTTCACCCGCGATAAGCGTGGAAATTGGAAATGCCTGGATTCCTGCGCACTGGCGCCCGCAGGGGTGGCTCGACCGTCGGGGAAAATTTCGAAATTGAGAGTGCGCCGGGTTTTTCGGGAGCGCGGGATGGATTCGCGAGCGGTTTCGGGGGATTATTTTTATAATGCTGTGTGCTCGGTGGACGATTCGATACATCGATGAAGGGTGGGTTTGAGAGGGTTTAGTGCGGCGGTAGAGAGAATATTGTAGACGTTATTTATTTGGTAAGGTTCGTACTGGATTTCGAGGTTTTTGCCTCAGGAAGGAAAAATTGGTTGTGTTTCTATACGGTAGTTTTTTTGACACCTAGAATATTTTGAGGCTTTTTAAGTATCGATTTTTTGCATCTCATAAATTCAAAAATTATAGTTTTCATTTTTTTCCTTACTCTCCCTCTATACCAACCTAATATTTTTCATCATCTTCTTTATCCTGTTTGTTCTTTGTTCTTTATATTCTTTATCCTGATTCCATCAAACTAATAGCAAGGAGCAGTAAATACTTTTAGTTCTCACGTTCATTCCTGATACTTCTAAAGTTTTGCTCCTAAACCAAAGTCAGGAATAATCCTGCATAATTTCACATCAAATTCCACATCATATACTGGGTAACAAGCAATACAATTTAATCATACAACACTACTAATCTTTATTGGATAATTCACATTCTATTTGAACGACCCACAAGGAGATTACGGTAACGAAAAAAACAATAATTTCATTCGTTCTTTTTATGCACCTCAAAGTCCCCGATCGTTTCCTTCGCGCTTTTGTGCGTCCCGTAGGCCTTTTTGTAGAAATCGATAAACAGTATCATATAAATCAAACTTTGCATGCCGGTTAGAAGGCTTAAGACCAGGGAAACGTTGCATCCGTATAAAGCCGATTGAATCGAATGGATCGTAATAACGACGAACTGCGCCTGCAAAAATCTCAGATTATCCCGTCGATTTCAGTTTTCAGTTCATAGAATACTAACCATTTGTAGTAGAGTGATGTACTTTTTCCACCAGAGGAACCTCCTCACCTGGGGGCCCAGAATGCTCGCCAGGTAATAGAGGTAGGTGAAAACGTGAACGAAGGAATTGAGCAAAGCGTGCAAGGAAACCCTGCCATCGGGGCCGTACCGGACGCAGAACCACGTCGTCAAAGGCATGGTACTGTGATGGTACAAGTGAAGGAGAGTCACTTGACTGTATTTTTTTCTTACAATAAAAATTATCTAAAAATTAATCAATCGCAATTATTTATACTCGCAATTGTAATTCGATCGCTTACTGTATCTAAAAAGTCTAAATATTTCGTTAAATGAAAGTAGTAACTGAACGCTTTTATCTGAAATAAAAAGTAAATATTTTCATAATTATATTCAAGTTGGTAATTTATTATACTTAACATTATTTTTAGGCGGATGTTTGACTCCATCGGGATAACAACGAAACGAGTCGGATACGTTAGGAAGAAGCTAAAATTTCAAAATTTTACTATTTCAAATATATTTTAATTACGCATATTTACTCCAAAAAATATCCAAATGTTAAGCCAAACTTGTACTGTGTTGTAAATTATTATCATTTTGCGGCCCTGGAATGGTTTCCTGTCTTTCATGTAAGCCGGCAAGACGATCTGGAAAATGAGGCGATTTTGTAAGCGAAATATTGCAAAGTAATTAAGTACTTACTAAAACTGCAATTAAATATAGCAGGGAAGATAAAACTACTGGTAGAAGGCTCGTAATCATCAACCATTTTTCTGTTGTAGAATCTAAAACCAGCAAAATGCAATTTGCATATCAATCTTATGCAATGTAAAATCGATACCAAATTTTATTAAAAACTACATCTAAAATAAGAATTATAATCAATTAATTACATACATACCTTTTTTGCTAAAACTATCGAAAAATCGCACCAAACGATCCATAGTTAAATTCGCGAATAACTATTCAACAATTCGACAACCGACACGTCATTCTTTCGAAATTTTTAAAATCGTTGGAATTAAATACTGCATTCTAATCGTTTCCAAATTGGTCCCTTCTTTTTCTCATACAACACCGCTACATAAGGCCTTCTCTGTTACTTCCATTTCAATTGCATCCGAAAAATTTGGCTCCAACTCGTTTCCATGCAACGTTCAACAAAATTGCTTAGTTACCGAACGATTCATTTTTTACTTTAATATACACAGTGTCCCAAAATTTAATATGATTCTTATGTTAGGTATGATTTGATTGGTTTTTGACATAAATCTTGATTGTTTTTTTCCGAGATATAAATTGTTTTGTATAACAGTAAAGCCTTTAGAATTGTTAATATTCTTAACTTATTTTTTTATTGTATCTGAATTGTATGAAAGAGCCTTTTTAATGTAAAAACTGTACATTTTTATTAAAATCTGGCTTATAAAAAACAAATAGTATTAAAAAGAACATATCTCAATATTGATAAGTAGTCGTGTCGAGAAGGTGGTGGCGCATTTTCTCGTCAATCCAGTCTCTGAACATCGCCACGTTGACGTACACCCCAGGTATCCCGTTCTCGCCGCAGCCGATGCCCCAAGCGACGATACCCGCCTGGACGTACCTATCGCTGTCAGGCGACTCCGGCAGCACGAACGGGCTGCCGCCGTCCCCTTTGCACGTGTCCTTCCCGGGCTCCCCGCCGGCGCAGATGAAGCTCTGGTGCAGCTCGAAGAACCGCCCCAGCCGCGTGGTGCGCAACTTGTCCTGGCACACGTCGGACCTCACCACCGGCAACTCGATCTTCTTCAGTATGACTTGGTAGGTGCCCTTCTTGCCGAACTGGTCCTTGCCCCAGCCCGTCGCGAAGCCCCTGCCCGAGTCGAAGAGCTTGCCCTGCTCGGGCAGGCACACGAAGCCTATGTGAGGCGCGGCTTCGACGGGCGCGTTTAGTATCAGCAGCGCTACGTCGTTGTAGAGGGCGCCGGCGTAGTAGTTCGGGTGGATTTCCATCGACACCACGTCCCTGTCTTGGTACGGGTAGATCTCTTTCTCGTGCTGCGTGTCCCATTCGCCGATGCGCACTTTGAAGCTCTTGTTCTTCTTCGCCACGCAATGGGCGGCCGTGAGGACGGCGCGCGGGCCGATCAGGGCCCCGCCGCATTGGTAGACGTTCAGTTTGATGGGGTTGCCTTCGATCTCTTCCTCCCTCAGCAACGCCACCATCCAGGGGAACTCGCCGAATTGGGCCTCGCCGTTTTTGTCGCCCGTTATCCTCAAACCGGTGCCGTCCGAGTGCCTGTAGCCGCACCCTTTGGGCGCCTTCGTCGGCGGAGGGGTTATGGGATCTATCACCCTGTCGCTAACTTTACAGCATATGTCGATGTACGTGTCGCAGGGACCATCGTTTATCCTGAAAGATATCGTTTTTGAACTACTGCAAAGACTCGAAAGAAGTTATACAAACCTTATATCGATGATGCCTTCTCCGTTTTTGATGATTGTTCCGTTTTTACACTGGTAATAGGGCACGCATTCGCAATCTTCGGCGCCGCCTCCGTGGCTTTCTATGACCGGCTGTGCGGTGGTAGGCATTGGGGGATCAGGCGGAGCGGACGTGCTAGGCGGCGGTTCGGGCGTGCCCGCTGGCGGCTTTGGGGTGAAAACTTGGTTTATTAGGCTCTGCAGATCGGCTCCTATAGGATCTATAGGATCTTGAGCATAGCCAGGCGTGCAGGCCGCCAGGAAGCAGGCGATGGCGATGGCGATCAACATCTTTGGGTAGCTGTAAGATAATGAAAGAAATTTATAGTTAAAGGATTATGCGATATTGTATGTGCATTTGTAATTATGCATGGTCGATTTTAATTAAATTTCAAGGTCTACGTCTGTACTGTTGCAAAAGTTAGTAACGCAATTAATAATATATGTTATGGTTGATGTTTTTGATTTTGTAGAAAAATATAAATCAAACAATTGATAAACTGGAATTACTTTAACCTAATTATAGTGAGTTGAAGATATTTTTTTTGGCAAATAATATATGGAGTTCTTGTTGAGATTGTTTCCACAATATTGTGGATTCGTGTAAAGCAATATTGTAAACCCATTAAAATGGCTAATTGATTATGTAAATTCCTTGAACAACGAGCGAAAATTTATTCACAAAAATATCAGAAATTTTACGCCATATTCATCAGAGAAATTCGCAATACATATTCCTTACACAATTGCGCTTAATTTAAACCAACAATCTTACAAAAACATAATTAAAATACATTAACTATTTGATAATTAATTCACAATCACGAGCGTATTTAACTGAACTGAACGTTTGTTTTTAACATTGATAAACACTAGTTTTTCTATAACAAACCGTTAAACTGGAATAACACAGTCGAACCGTGAAGAACAAGGGCAAATTTATCAAAATAATTCTTGTGTACGTACCTCTTGCAAACGACAATCCCAAGACTCCTCGTCGATCAGCCGATGAAACTCGAAAAATGATTTTAGTTAATTTAGGCAGACGCGAACCTTGAAACCTTTCAAACCGGCTACAGCCAACGAATTATGAAATAATTTATATAAGATGTTTAAATGTAGAATTTTTGTCCGATTTGCCGTGTGGACGAGAACCTCGGTTTCCAAATACTGAATAATTTAAACGCTATTATCTCGGATGTAAGAAATCGGCTTCATTGGAGTTGTTTGTATTTGGATGTGAATACGCGATTGACGACCATGATTGCAACAATTCATAAGTGGGGAAGACCCAAGAACAGAACATCACGTATTTTTATCCGAGCTCATTACAACTTCATTACGGACATGGCTCACGGAAATTTGTCGGCTAATTAATTTATAATAGAATTTTATTTTATTCTCGTCGATTCCGCTTCTATTATTCGCACGTCTACACCGTTATTTTCTATACATATAGGCTTTTTTGAATGAGTTTTGTGTTCAATACCGGATGTCCCATGAAGATTTCGAGAGATTTCAACTGAACAAAAGTGATGCAAAAAACACATACAACTAATGTTAACAGTTCCTCGAATTGTTGATAAATTTAGTTATCAATCGACTCGTGGTATTTAACCCCAATACAGAAATATGCAATTTTCCTGAAATTACTGTTGGTATGTATACGAACTAATAAGATACAAGGATGTAATCTTTATTATCTCTCTTTTTCATTATATCAAATCAATTTAAATAGGTTTTATTCAGATTCGCAAAAATATGGGATAAATAAAAATCCCCGAATTTTTGCTCGTAATAATTAACAATTATCAGAATTAAACAAATTTATATATGTATCAAAAAAAATTTTAATAAATAAAAAAGCTACAAATTAATAAAATGGAAATATCTCAAATAACTGAATAATATAATTGAAATTAAACCTTGAAATTAAACGGTAAACAGAGTGTCCAGAACCCCTAAATTAATATTTAAATGCGCGGATGTTGTTGAATTCATATGGTAGTGTTATTTTCAAATTGTCGATATTCAATGCTGGACACGCTGCTTTAAATACGTATAAAAGAATTTCGAATGTATGAAAAGGTAATATGTTCTTCAGATTACGCTGCGTTAATTGATTACATTAAATTCTGAATATTCAAATTATTTCGTTATGGAATGTTTTATATAAAATATAGTAAAATAAATATTCCAGGCAAACTGAAGAACAATATTTAAGTTAATGTTTTATAGTAGAGCTAAATGTAACAGTGTACAAGAAAGCAGTATACACAAACACTTCTATTACAATTATGTATAGTTTTATTCAAATAACGAAAAAATATAAGAAAGTAATACTGCGTTGAAATAAAATTAGAATTTGAAAATAGCTGCCTAAAAGGTGTGCTAGTCCACGAATTTACACTTTTATAAAGGATCAATACTAAATTTAAGCACATTTTCATCTAGGGGTTCAATTTATCTGGTCTAATCCAGCAGCTATTTATAACAGAAAATATACATTCACCGTTTTCGATTTAACTACACTATAAAACAAATCACAATGGTACAGATATGCACTCAAAACAATAAATTGTATAAATATGAGTTGTATAATAAAAGGCTTGTAAATAGGAAAAAACATGTCGTCCATGTTTCAAATACAAATATATATATATACGACGAAGTCTGTACCTATACTCTACAATTATAATTAGGTATACATAAATAATCGTATTATTAGTCTAATGGGTACATTTTAGATTAAATACCCGATCATCAATAATGCACACAAAAAAAAATACTGAAAGTGGAGCAAATTGAATACATACAAATATATACTTTTGGTGATTTCGTTTAGGAATCGCAAGAAAATGTATAAAATATTACAGGGGAGGCTCATCAAATTAATACTTTTAATAAATTTCAGAGCAAAATAAAAGTGTATAAAATATACAACCATAATAAATTGAAGTATATTTTGTAGCTCGAATGTGTAATACTTTAAACGCCACAATTTATACTATTAAGATGTGTAAAATACTCAAACAATGCAATTTTATTAAGAGAGAATTTAACGAATTAATTCATTTGTAAAAGGGCGTTTAAAATATTAAACTTGGAGATGACTAAATATAACGAATGTGTAATACAGAGAGCAAATTCATAAGAGAATACGATTTAATAGAAATTTTCTTTGGAAATTATCACAAATTTGGGCATTTTATCAATTTATTATGGTAAAGATTTTTATTTTTAATTCAAGTTGATCGTCCTTTTCTGGATTGCATCTTTCACCTCTAAATCTAGTATATTAAAGCACTATAAATTTAATACATCTGCAATTTTAATTGTCAGTGCAGAAGACTGTCCAGCGGACTTCTTGATATGTTCCTAATTCTACACTACCATTGCCGAAATCTATTTTTTTGTAACTCAAGGAAGGGATCGATCATAAATTCGAAGTTAGTTTTTTTATTCGTCCCACATGTTTCTGTCATAAAAATAAAAATTTCTGGTACATCAGATCATTTATACAATTCACAAATTTCACCGGGAGTTTAAATACGAGTTAATAATAAAAACTAACATCATATACGATTACAATTAATTATCATCTAAATATACTTTGGCTAAAAAAAATAATAAATAAATACACTAAATTATAATTCACCGGAATTAGTAATCCTTTTGGGAACGTCCAAATCAATAAAACTTAAAACTTACAAAATAATACTCTTCAATATATCAATATAAAACGAACGATCCCTTCCTCGAAGCTGCGCGAATTATTTAAAATAATTTACATATACATCGTTTTGGTATTCACCATATCACTACTTCATTATGTTCATTTTTTTTAAGTTTTTACTTCAACTGAAGGTACTTCTTACGTGACTAAATACAGTACAAAATTACTTTGGTCTTTACAAAATACTAATAAGTGGAAATATTTTCTTTTTTTTTAATTAACAAGCGCAACCGGTCCTCATTTACCGTGATCACTACTGCTTTCGGAATGATCTGAGTTATTCACCTTGTCCGTTTTCTCCTTCTTCACTATGGTAATGTCCGGGCAGTTGACCAACGACGAAGACGTTCCTAAACAAATAAATCCAACAAACGTAATAAGAAACATTGCGATTAAAACGATTCAAGATATGGATAGCATGCGCCCCTGAGATACCCGGTAATAATGTAAAATCTGTATCGAACATACTGCACGAGGATAAGGTGAAAAGTTCTCGACCTGACTATGATCTTCCTCGACTTCAATACACTTGGTCCAGCGTTTTTCCAGGGTCCCAAACCTTCCTGGTAAATAAGAGTCTGGAAGGCTGCTAGAATATTCATTGACCATCTCAACTACTACATTCAAGCCGAAAACTGTTCACATTACCCTCGTAAAATATCGGTATCTGGTTAATGAAACTGGCTGTGTGAACAGCCTCATATAAACATGTATTATCCTGTATCTGAGATTCGCAATATCCGCATTCGAAAGATCTCTTTAGTATCACTCACCGCTCGCTCCGGACGACACGAAGGGCGTAAAAACGCCCGCGTTGTTCGCCTCCGGCAGGGCCGAGTCGTTCTCATCGTCGGAATCGTCGCAGGACTCGCCGGTATTCGATTGCCTGCAGGAATTCGGATCGACCACGTCCGGCTGGGACATCGACAGCAGGTAGTTGGAGAGTATCTGCGGCGTGACGTTCAGCTGCTCCGCGGCCCGGAACAGCGTGATCTCCCTTGCGCTTCAGCTTCAGCAGGATGTCCGTGGGGCCTTGTTCCGTCCAGAAATCCCGCACCCTACGACCAAAACTAGCCATGAAATTGCTGAATCGATCGTACTATTTCACCTGCTTACCTATAGGGATGCTTTAGACATCCGTACGAGTCTCTGTAACGTCCATACAGAGTACCGTAGGAGACGCCCAACAGTTCGGCAGCCACTTTCATCTCCAGATTTTTCGTTTTGATGGCGTCCATGACGCGCTTGGTAAAAGGCTCTTCCCAAAATTGCTGCCTTCTACCGGTGTGCAGGTAATCGTTCATTTTAACGACGTCGGGCCATTCCTTCTCGAGGGTGGGCGTGAGGAACGACTGGTTACCGGAGGCGGTCGATATGTTCTGCGCGTTCACCCCGTTGCCTTTTATTTGCTGTTGTACGGCGAATTTGTTGTCCTTCGAGTCGCTCGCGCTCAGCGAAATGTTGCTTTGTTCGTCGATGGTCATCTCGTCGTTTTCGTTGACCTACATCGATCCATTTAGTACAAATTTATAATGATTGTACTGTTTACTCACTTCTTTTTTGACTTTTATAGGAGGTTGTTCGGCGTCGGTGTTGTCTGCTGCTTCGTTGGCGGACTGGTCTTCGTCCCATATGTTCAAATCGTGTTCACTGCTTGACATGGCATCATTTGAGTAAGCATCGTCCTGGTTCCCGCCGGAGATGTTCGCGATTTTTGGGGTAGTAAACGATTGATCGTAGTCGTCGATGGGCGGCCGGCCTCTTTTCCTTCGAGTCGTTGGATTAGGACTGAAGAATTAGAGATACGAATAAGCCATGGAGAATTTAATCTTAATGATGCAAGGGTACCTGTTTGGCATGACTGTTTGGACTTGTGGCATGACTGTTTGTACTCCATTGGAATTCGCGTCTGGATTACTCGATTGTTCCTCGTCTCTCCAGGACACCTCGGCGAGTCCTTTGATTTTTAGCTCTTCGGCGGTTTTCAGGAGCGTAGCAAGGTGACACTAAAAAAGATCATTATTTTTTGTATGGCACGATTAATAGAGGGATATAGTGGGTTAGGATATAATAATATTGTTCATCGGGTAATATCTAGTACATATGTTGTTATGTATGAGAAGCTGAAATTAGAACTGTTCCTGAAGATGGAAATGTCATTGGTGTTCGATTATTCTAGAAACACCATCTAGATTATGCAGAATTATCTATCGAAAGTAGTTGTTTCTTCGAATTATAATACATTATTCCAGAATGTCTTGGGTTTATATTCTAATCGATCCTTGTCTTGGTAGTTTGTCAGTTACATCAATAAAAAAAGCCTACTTTCATAGCCTACTAGGTTACTATAATGATGGGAATTCATTCCAACTAAATAATTCAGTAGTAAACAGAAAGAATAGCCTACTTGATTGAAGAATGGAGAATTGTTTTTGTTTATATTGTCTATCGAAAGTAGTTTCTTCAAACTATAATATATTATTACAGAATGTCTTAGGTTTATATTTTAATAAATCCTTTCTTTGATAGTTTGTCAGTTACTTGACTGCATCAAAAAATGAGTCTACTTTCATAGGCTACTAGATTACCAATGAGATTTCATTTCGAGTAAATAATTTAGTACTAAACGAAAGAGAAATAATTTAAAATGTACTTACATGTTCAACATTAATTTCCCCTTTATACATGAATTCGACTAAACACTTAATGTCTACGTATTTTACATCTTTCATGATAAGTATGGGATCCTTTTCTTCGTATTGTGATAGAATGGTTTCAAAATAGGTACTACAAGCTGATAAAACGATTTTATGAGCTTTTATTGTTCGTCCCTCGCAAGCTAAAGTAACATCACAGAATGCTTCGCGTTCTAAAAGCTGGGAAAACATAGTTTGTAAATTGGAATGATGGTATCTCCATCTCAAACAATATTGTTGAGGTAACATTTTCACTTTTTGTTTTTTTTATTTTTCTTGGTTATGTTATGGAAACAAACAACAACGAATAACGTTCTACGTTCCTTTCGACATAAAAATACAGCGTAAATTTAGGCTGATATAGCGGAAACGCTGCTAAAAAAGAAGTCGTAAACAAGAAAAAAAGATCGATATTGTGTATTCGCAGCCGTTTTTCGAAATTTGATAATTAGATTGGCGTTTTCACTTTTCTCGCGAAATCCATTTCTGAAACGCAATGCACAGACACACGCCTAAAATCACTCACTACATTACGTTCGCAAAACAGAATTCACTTCGATCACTCGCCAGTTTTCAGCGGGCCATTTCCCAAAATTTGGAGACGCGTATGTAAATGTTCAGTCATTTGGAAAATTCCAATAAAAAAATGTGTCTCTATGTCTTTTATGACTCAGTGAACCAATAGAAACCACGTAAGATCCCCATAAACCATGTATAGTCCGTTTATTCGCCGGGCCAAGCCTTTGGGCCGAATCGATACGCGTTCGTCTTAAAAAAATGCACTTAAAAAAATATATATCTAATACCTATAGGTATTTTCTACATTTTTGCCAGCTTTTACCTAAACGGCGGACGCAAAGACCGTCACTCAACTTTTAAAGAAACAACTATATCTTTTTAGGCTAAACTAACGGCATCGAATGGACAACGCAAACTCAAAACGGGGTCAAAATTTTACTAGTTACTTCGACTGTACCAATAATTGAACTTTTCTTCATATTTATTTTTATAAACTTGCGAGATTTTTGATCAAAGCCAGGGAAAAGAAATAGAAAATGAATGGTTAGGTTCAATGATCGCGACGCTTTTCGAAAACTGTTTAATACAGCGCCTTCGTCGAATTAATATTCATGGAGATTGAAGCATTTGCATTCTAATTAGACCCATGTTAATTTCATCGCTAATTAGAAAGGTCCAATTTATTTACTAAAATAAATTAAAATGTCCAAATCTCGCGGAAATGATATTTCTTATCTCTTTCTCGCTCTTTGATTTTTGGAAAAAAACAGTAGAAAAAGACAACAAATCCTTATGTAGGGGAAAAAATTATTACAAACTTGACATAGGAAACTTCAAAGTAATTTTACAATCTTCCAATAGGTAGCGCTGCAGTTCAAAAACAAATCAATCAAAATAGACATTTACGCATTTATCATTCCCTAAATTTAATAAACTAAAGCAAGAAATTAATATAAACAATAAAAATAAACAAATAACGTTAAAACAGATATTCCCGCATTCATTTCTTCACCTTTCCTACGTTTTCTTGTGGCCTCCACTATAACGGTCATTCAGCCACTTACGAATGAATTTTGGAAAATTCCAAATTCCACAAAATTGTAGAGTAAATGAAAACTGTTTCAACACAAATAACGTAAAAAAACTTTTACTCCTCAATTATATCATATAATTAGGTCAAACTTACAACTAATTTATCACTTAAACTAAAAGTTTTTCAATTTCTTGTTGGATGGTCAGTATTTGCGGTTTCAGCTGCGAGCCCTCGTTAATTGTAACACTGCACGCAATTACGGACCTCGAGACTCCGCAAGCCCTGCCCAAAGCTTGCTTCGATCTAATAAAAACATAGGGAACGTTCTTATCTTCGCACAGCAGAGGTAAATGCAGCAAAATCTCCAACGGTTCAGCATCCGCGGCCATGACGATAAACTCGGCAATACCTCTGTTCAAGGTTTTGGTTACTTCATTAGCACCTTTTCTTAGTTGCTTGTAATTCATGGCTTGCTGGACCAAATTCAGGATCTTGGTGGTCAGCACTGCGTCGGCTAGGGGGTAAGCCTTGGGGTTCACTTCTTCGGCCTATAAAATCAAGCAACAATAAGTACTTTTACTACTGAGAGTCTGATTAAGAAAATTTAAAGACAAAATTCAATTAAAGTTATTACAATAACTTACCATTTTAAAGAGTTTGTTAGAATTGGAATGCAATTACTTATTCGGCCTCTCCGCGATTTTAACCTCGCTTCACTGAGGAAATAAACACAGACTGAATGTAAAATAAACGCAGGAACACAACGTTACCACGCGTTGTTGATTTCTAAAAGAGGTTATGTTTACACAACGTGCTCTACTTTTTTTGGTAACTTTTACTATAAGATTATACAGCTACTCAAATTTATGAACAATTTGATCGCCTTATGCAACTAAAATTACAGATATATTTTTTAATCACCATTTTCTTTACACTAATTAATTTCAGCAGAATTTTGAATTTATCGCATAAATTACTTAAAAGAATTCTAATGATTGTTGTGAAGTTAAAAATACTAAATTCCACTGTATCTATTTAAATACATATATTATTGTTTATTTGAGAAAACAAATGATCCATTGGGCATTAAATGATTGTTATTATTAATATTAAGCAATTATCAAGGAGGTGATACAACGGTTCTTTAAAATCAAAATGGCACTACAGTGATTTCTCCAGTTTGGCTGGAATCTCTTTGAGGGCTCTGAAAAGTGAAAACAAACGTTTACGATTAGTTTATAATTTTAATCAAAATCCTTCTGTACAAACACACCACACAGTTTTCCTCCCAATTTCAAATACTACTGACCTTAACGTGGATTTTATTTTTCAACACGGCCGCTCTTAGTATGAGCATTCTCGTCCTCCGCTGATACTCTTTCCCCATGAGCAAGCTCTTCTCGAACGTGGTACTCCTTTGATCGACGTCCTTAGCGAAAAGGATTTTATTGTGCGAATCTATTCGAGCCTGAATCTGCCCGTCCAAAATCAATTGCATCAGTTCGTCTTCGAGCGCCGGAACAGTTCGATTGAAGGCCAACGCCATCTTGTGCATGTCCGCAGACAAATAAGGGCTGAAGTACTGGATGAGAGCGCGATTCCTGATTTGAGTGTACAGAGTGTTGACGTGAGGAGCGATGTACATGTCGAGCAGCAAATTATCTTTAATTTCGTCTAACAGCTTCAAGCACGAAGCGTACTTCGATTCGTAGAACTTAAAGATTATATCACGTAGTTGGGGTTCTAATTCTAAAAACAACTTAAACGAGCTACTAAATATTACGTTTTTTTGCAAGTCGTGTCTGTCGAACGTCGCCAGGGCGCAGAGGCCCCCGTACATGGCGACGTTGTTGGGTGAAAGCAGTTCAGGGAAGTCGCAGTGATCTAAGTTGGCTTGGAGGAAATGTTTCGCAGCCGATTTGTACTTCTTCGTGGCTAATTCAGCCAAACCGGCAGCGCATTTCAGTTTTGTCAGTATCACTTGATTGGAGTCTTTCGATTGGGTCTCCGAAAAGTCGGGCGTGCTTTCGGCTTTTGAGACGTAGCTCAGTACGTGGGACCAATTCTGCAGGTATACAGACACTTTGATTACGTTCAGGCACATGTTGACGACGTGCTTTCCGCTGGTGCAGTAGTCTCGAGCTCGCGAATAGCATTTCAAAGCGTTGGAGAGATCACCGCAGTCTAAATAGTGATCGCCCAAATCGTCGTGTCCTCTTCTGATGCTCTCTTTTATCGAGTTCGATTTGTAGTTTTTCAAATCGTTGTCCAGCTTTTCCAGTTTCAAAGCGGCTCTTTTAGATTTGGATTCCATCCAGGAGTTGTCGATGGTAGGTATGTCTTGGCAAGTGGAAGCCGCAACATCGGGAACGTTTACAGCTGTTGTTATTTCTGCGAGCTTTTGATGCAGTACTTGGTATAAGTTTACGTTAAACGTAGTCATTGCGTATGAAATAGCCATTTTTAGTGCTTCTAACTTGAGAGACGGGCAATGATCTATTATATAAATTAGTCTGTACAATTTCGCCAGGCCAACATAACTGTTTGCGTATACTTCTAGATCTAACGTAGGATTCTCTACTATGTAATTATCCTCTTCGTTATTATCATTGTCTTCCGGTGGAGCGTCTACTTGCATGGGTTCAACAGCATTCTGCAAAAAATCCATGTAAGTGCCAAATAGATGGGGATTCGGAAATTATTCAAAATTTACTGACAATTGACAGTAAAAAGTTATTACCTGCTGTCGCACCTGTGCCATTGTGAAGCTAACTAATTTATATACAACTAATTAGTCTTAAATATTTAGAAAAATAAGTATTTTTAGCAGTATTCAATTCAATTTGGCTTTCAATACAAATCGGCCATTTTGAATAGTACCAATACCAAAATACTAAAACTCCTAGAAATATGTAAGCAATATGAACTTTTTAGAAATAAGAAGAATTTTGTATTTAATTAAGCTAATTAAGAGAAATTAAATAATCATATTTTTCTAATATTAATAAATTAGAAAGATTGAGACTAATTATAGAATGTTAACAACGTTGCCAAAGTAAATAAATCGTTGTGGTCCTTAACCAAATACGTCCACAGGTAGGCTTATTTTGTATGTAAATTTGGTTGCCTAACTTTGGGGGATATGTGGAAATAAATAAGAATATTAGACCAAAAATTTGTGGTACCTTTTACCCTTTAGTAAATTATTTTTTAAGAAGTATATTTTACATAAAAGTTTTATAATTACAACTTATGCGTTAAATAATTGTCTAAAGTAAGTGAAACTTATTCATTTTCCCCATTGGTTAAGTGAATTTTCCTCTTCTTTGGCTTCTTAGCATTACTTTCCTTTTTTTCCTTTATCTTTTTGCTAATTTCTCTAAATTTCATCCTGAAAAAAATTAAAAAAACATAATTTCTACTACATTGATAAATAACACAAAAAACATACTTTTTGCCTCCTTTCAATCTATCATATAAAGGCTTTGTAACTATTTCGTCTCTTTTAGGAGCACTAGCTTGAAGTTTTTTCTTTTGGGCCTTCGACACCTTCTTTAATTTCAGCATATACGAAGGAACTTCGCAACCAGATTCTTTAAGCACATGAGCAATACTAAAAAATTCAAACATTACCAACAATAACAAAACAAAATCCCTCAGTTATACCTTCTTAAATTAGTCGTATCTTCGGTAGTAAAAAAAGTAATAGCTTGCCCTTCTCTCCCCGCTCGACCAGCCCTTCCAATTCTGTGTACATAAGATATCGCAGAAGGCGGAAAATCGTAATTAATAACTAAATTAACGCCTTTAAAATCAACACCACGGGCCATCAGTTCAGTGCAAATTAACACCCATATACGCCCTTCTCGAAAACATCTCACCGTGTTGTCTCTCTGCAAATATTATTAATCATTCAAATGAAAACCACTTACCATATAATAATTAAAAACATACCTGTAATTGCGTTCTATCAGAATGTATTGCGTCAACATTAATTCCATCATATATTAGCTCGTTGAATAATTGTTGGGCTCTTTCTTTGCTTTGAACAAATACTAGGACCGGAGGGCTCAAACCTTTCTTCACCAGGTCTCTAAATGCTAATAATTTACCGTGCTCATTGCCAACGAATAAAAGCTCCTGCTTTACTAACTCTGTAGCGGCATTTCTAAAAACAGTAATTATTGTATTTGTGTTATTTGATAGTAATAATATTTTACCGATGACCAATGGTGATTCTTACTAATCCCTTCATATTGTGAACACACCATTTTGCAACGACGGGAGTGTAAGTGGCACTAAACATGGCTATTTTTCTGTTTTCATTGTCGCAGGCTTTTAGAATATCAGTTAGTTGTTCTCTGAAACCTCTTACTCCCGATTCGAATAATTTATCAGCTTCATCAATAATCAACCATTCCACACTGTAAAATATTATGTCAATTTCAATTATTTTCTAAAACAAATAACGTACTTTCTTAACGATAAAGCTGGAGGGTCCTGTTTCAGTAGATAACACAAACGATTCGGAGTAGTAACTAATATATCTAAAAATTAATATTCTTAGGTAATAAACATGAAATATTGTTATATAGTAATGTTTACCATATTTTTGTGAACCATTAGGGTTATATTGAGTCATGGCTTTTTTTATTTTACTAATTATATGGACTCTAAAACCTCTACCGTCGGCAAGCCTGTCGCATTCTCTCTGCGTTTGCTTGGCCAATTCTCTCGTCGGGCATAAAATCAAAGCACGAAAACCTTGTTTCTGTGGCCCTTTCAACGACTGTATTACAGGCACTAAAAATGCCGCCGTTTTTCCTGATCCTGTAGGTGCGCAAGCTAAAATTTGTCTTCCCTAAAAAATTACTAAATAGGTATACTGTTTAAGATGTACGTTTGGGAATATTTCACCTGTAACATTAATGGTACAGCTTGTTTTTGAATAGGCGTCGGTTCTTCAAACCCGCATTGTTTTAAATTATTAATAATATCGTTATCTACTGTAAAGTCTTCGAATGATTTGCAAGGATCAGGAATGTGTCGTCCAACTACTGTAATATTGTTAATATTTCTATAGTGATTTATCTGAAAATTAAATAATATTCTGAAGATAAAATTAACGTAAATTAACTGCATTTTACCTTTTCCTGTTCGATTTGTTTGATTTTTTGTTCATCGTCAGTGATCTTTCGTTTCTTTCCTCTTTTTTCTGTAACCATACCATTTAAGAGTGTAATGGCATTATCCTGGTTCAATTCGGGCTTTGATGTTTTATGTTTATCTCGAGGTTCTTGCTTTATTAGTAGCGGCTCTTCCTCTAGTTTTACTCCATTTATCTGAAATTCGCAATATTTAACATGAGTTTAAGAAACGCGTAAACGTGATAAATTTTACCTGTTTCGCATTATTTTTTTTAGAAAATTTAGCTCCTCGGCTTAGCTTTTTGAATATATCGTAGGTATCCATTGAGTTTAATATGGTTTTTCGTAATTCAACAAATTCACGTTACCACATTTTGTTTATGATACATTATAACCTATATTTTTCTTCTAACTTATTATGTGACTGAATGCTGTATGTCGCACAAGGTCATGAACTGTCATCTGAAATGTCATTAGGTAATAAAAAAGAAGAATACCCACATAACATAACCTATTTCTTATTTTAATTTTATCTGATTTGATAATTATTTTATTCCTTGCATCACTTTTTTCTAAGAGGTGTCAACGATTTATTATTGAAATGGTTGAAGATAAAGCAGGAGAAAACAAAAGCAGTAAATCTGCTCTTAAAAAGGAGGCAAAGAAAGCCGAAAAGGCTGCAAAGAAAGCAGAGCACAAGCAATCTAACGCAGAAAATCAACCGGCTGCAACACCAGAAGGTATATTTCGATTACAATTCTACTTTATTTTCAAATTTAAAACCTTTTTTAGTCGACGTATCCATTGGCAAATATGGCAATCTTCCCGTTATTACATCGGAGAAGAAAGACGTCGAAAGAAAATTCACCTATGTCCTCGATTTGAATAAAACCTTATCAGGCCAAACAGTTTGGGTTCGTGCGAGATTACACACATCCCGTGCCAGAGGAAAGCAATGTTTCATCGTATTAAGGCAAAGAGAATACACCGTTCAAGCGCTTTTAAACGTTTCGGAAGCTGTCTCCAAACCAATGGTGAAATTCTCAAGCAGGTAATTCAAAAGAACGCTCATTACACTACTCGAATACTCACTACTTCCATTTTGCAGTATCCCAAAGGAAAGTATAGTGGACGTAGAAGCTAGAGTATCGGAAGTACCGAATAGCATCGCTAGTTGCAGTCAACAGGACGTCGAGTTGATTGTTTCGCAGTTATGGGTCGTTTCCCAGTCGGCTGCGCAGCTACCGTTGCAACTCGAAGATGCATCGAGGCCGGAAAAACCGGAGGTACAAACGTTTGCGTATAAATTACCGTCTTTTTGATGCGAGAGTTTTTATTCAGGACGAAGGATTGAACATCCGCGTGAACCAAGACACGAGATTGGATAACAGAATTTTGGATTTACGCACGCCGACCAACCAAGCGATCTATAGACTTGAAGCCGGAGTGTGCAGGCTGTTTCGCGACGTCCTTACTAAAAAAGGATTCGTTGAAATACACACTCCGAAAATTATATCGGCGGCTTCGGAAGGCGGCGCGAACGTTTTCACCGTCAGCTACTTTAAAGGTGCTAATATAATTACATCGCAATTGAAATGCTAATATAAAGTAATTTTTAGGGTCTGCTTATCTAGCGCAGAGTCCCCAGTTGTACAAGCAAATGGCTATCGCCGCTGATTTCGATAAGGTGTTTACAGTAGGCGCTGTGTTCAGAGCTGAGGATTCCAACACCCACAGACATTTGACCGAATTCGTCGGTTTGGATTTAGAAATGGCCTTCAATTTCCATTATCACGAAGTTATGCTTACCATCGGCAATCTGTTTACGGAAATGTTTAAAGGACTTCGCGATGAGTAAATTGATTGTTCTTTTCTACAAGGGTAAGGTGAACAGTTCTTGGTCTGACAACGGATCGCCCCGATTTTCAGTTGAAAAATTACATTATTTCTCTTACTAAGTAGAAGTCTTTAGTTTGAGATGGTTCTATATGATTCTGGAGCGTTCTAAATGACTATGGAGCGATCTAAATAGTTCTGGGGCGTTCTAAATGGTTCTAGACAGTTCTAAACGATTCTGAAGCATTCTAAATGATTCAGGCCGAGAATTTTTCACCCTGCTCTCGTTTAGTACGAAACTTAATTTGACCATTTGCAGGTACAAAAACGAGATTTCCATCATAAACCAGCAATACCCGGCCGAGCCGTTCACGTTCTTGGATCCCCCTTTGGTGCTGGAGTACGACGAAGGTAGGAAAATGCTCGCCGAAGCCGGCGTGGAAGTCGGCGCAGAAGAAGACCTGAGTACACCCGCCGAGAAGCTGCTGGGCCGCTTGGTTAAGGCGAAATTCGACACAGATTTTTACATTTTGGACAAATTCCCGTTGGCCGTTCGACCATTCTACACGATGCCCGATCCCAACAATCCCAAATATTCGAACTCGTATGATATGTTCATGCGAGGCGAAGAGATCCTCAGCGGGGCCCAAAGGATACACGATCCTGTTTTGCTGACGGAGCGGGCGAAGCACCATGAAATCGGTAAATTTTCAGTTAATATTAATTAATTCGGGATTTATTTTTATTCTAATTTTTGTAGATATATCGAAAATAGCTGCTTATATCGATGCTTTCAAGTACGGTTGCCCGCCTCACGCCGGGGGCGGCATCGGGTTAGAAAGAGTCGTGATGCTTTACTTGGGATTGGATAATATCAGGAAGACTTCCATGTTTCCCCGCGATCCTAAACGCGTTACTCCTTAAAAATTGTATGTTTTTGAGCACTGAAATAAATTTTATTTAAAGGTTCTTTATTTACCTCTGTCTTAATCATATTTACTGCATTAGTTTTCATCTAGTAAGGGTACTGCCCTTGTTCTAATCTTTAGGAATTAAAAAAAATAGTTAGATATCATTCCCTAGTGAGGAGAATTAGAGCAAACATTAAAGAATTGTCTAATATGCTATTGATATAACCAAATATGGCACAAGTTTTCCAAAACTCGATGAAAAAATGTAACAAAACAGCCGGCATTTGGGATCTACAACCACACCATAACAAGCTTACGTTGCCTAGTAACACGCGTGGACATGCGCAGTGTGGGTCTTGTCCACTGGCGCGTTTCAGCGGACTTTCAAACGCCGGACGGAGTCAGTGAAGGTTCTGCTATGGAAGGGCTAGTAACGTAGGATCCGAACTCTCGAACTTTACGGTCTTTTCGACAGTGTTCCCGGATGAACGATTAAATCAGAGTAAAATGAACGATAATCCAGCGATTGATTTGAGTGGCGAATTCGAGAACCGGAATTACAAGAGCTGTTTCGCGCGATCGATGGCGGTCAATTCGCAACAAAAGCACCCCAAGTTCTCGGATTTCAAAGGTACCGGGCTAGCGGACGCCGGCGCCAAGACGGACAGCGACGCCGGGCGCCGGTACGCCTTTCAGAGCAAGGAGAACGACGAGGTGAAATTCCGGCGGGTAAGCTCCTTTTTTTTTTGGCTTAACTTTATCCGTTAATAGCTCGAATTTCGATTAGTTGCACGGAACACTTTGTAAATGTAAATAGTGCGTACAGTTTTACACCTAATTGGGTGTTTATTTTAGGACGTTCTATTTGTAGGCGTCGCCAAAACATTGCAGATTTATCATCGAAAAACGCGAAATTAAACTCGCTCATTCTTCGCTCGACGACCGCAAAAGCCAATTTTTTCCTGCACGCTTCATCGATGATGAGTTAAATCGTCGATTTATCGAGTTACGAAATTTTGCAGAACGTTTTAGAATTTATATTCTGTAGGGTGTTCCTAAACATCGCAATCTAGATTCCAAATTTGAGCTAAATATCTCACCCTGTACATTCTGTGCATTAAATATTTCTTACCTATTCAAAAAAATTGTGCCCCAAGTCTCCCTATTTTGAAGATACAGTGTATTTATTTACCTAATACTATTACATTAACAAATACAATTCATACAGAAAAATTCCATTAACTAAAGATGAAAATACCTTCCCTTAACACACATTATAACAATACCGTATCTTTACTATTTATTATAATCCTCCTATTAGTATATTTATACCGTCATAGCGTATTTCTTTAACTCCATTAACTTACAAAGTTTGTTTTGAAAAAAAAAATCAGGTAAATTACTACAGTCACCCTTACATTAACATCCTGTTACAATTCAGAAATTTTTGTTACGGTGTCCCTACAGGAAACAGCCGCGTTTTTTTTTGGTTTACGACACGCGACTAAACATTAATAAGCGCGTGAAGAGTGTACAGAGCGATTCGAAATTTCAAAAAAAAATGCTATGTAACACTCTTTGAGCCTCGACGTTAATTATTGATACCTACCTAAAGAATAATTTGCCAACTGCGTGGTGAAGTATTTGGGCGAACTGAGCGAGAAGAAAAACGAACGTCCTTTGAAGTTTCGCGCGGATCGGGAAGCGATTTAGAATGCTCCCGAGACGCCGTGACTAATTTATTAATTATGAATGTAATTTTAGAAATCTTCGGGATTAGATTTGAAAACGTGCGCTTCTGTTTCATGCCGGTCATTCATTCACATTGCTTCTGGTAACTCCGATATTGTACCGCATTTTTAATAAATTGTACAAAAAGTACAGTAATTTGTAAAATTCGAGCACTATATTAGAAATCCGGATAAAAAATTCAACTGGTTCTTTCCGCTAGGATTGCTTATTCTTCACGATTATTCACAATCCATTGAATATGAACCACATAATTACCGAAATAAATATTTTTATAATAAACATTTCGTCCGATACAAATCGAATGGGCGTTGAGCATAATTGAGCCTATAAATAATTTCACTGATGTTGTTGGTAAGATGGTTTTTTCCTCCTTTATCAGTGAATCCGGTGATCGAGCGAGTGGAATAAAGAGGATGTTCGCTTTAAGACGTGGATGTTAGTACCAAAAGAGGATGGAACCAGTTTTGGTCATCTAAAACGAATTGGTGGTATATACTTAGTACAAAAAAAATAACCGTAGAGGATGGTGGATGACACGGTCAAGGCCGACACCGTTTCTTGGAGGTCACTCCGCGTTGGTTATCATCTTTCACAGAAAGACGAAAGACGTGACTTTGATGAAGAGCCAGAGATATTAACTTTATTATGAGCGCATATGTAGGTTACTATCCTCTTTATTTATGTTGTTTTTTTTCTGGTTGTAATAGTTTTGGGAACCGGTCATGCCATGAGAAACGGACGAAAATAATAGATTGTATAGCGTAAAAATTGTGATAATTACGTTTCGATTACAGGTTTGTTCTTTTATTTTGGGCTAGCTAGAGGAATGATTGTTTTCGGACGATTTCTTGTATTTATTCATGGGAGCGTTTAATTCCTTCGCTTGAATACAAATATTTCCGTCTAAATATAGTCACAAGCGGTCACAATTTGCGAATGCTTTAAGTATATACCCACAGTTTCGGCAAATAATAAAGACATTTTTATTCACAAGCAAAAATTTTACTAAGCAATCGCACATAATTACACACACACTATCCCAAAAGTAATTAAATTCTTTAATTTAAACAACAAATTACAATAAAAAGCTTTCCCAGTTCCCTCCCAAAACTTGTTTGTTCCATAAAGGTAGCACCTATTGTACAATATTTCATCTACGACCATTATATTGGTGTACAATATTTGTAAAATTCATTCGGTTCAGAAGAACATAAAAATAGAAATTAATTCGTGCCATAAGTCAGAAACAAATAGGCTCGTCAGCGGCCCACGCACATCCCTTGTCTTTTTACACCGCTCCAAATTTATAACCGAAAGAAAACCAAAAAAAAGGCGAGAATTCTCGACTTCTCTCGTAAGTTATTTACAGTTTCCCGTGTCGATTCGAATGCAACGCCATCGAAATCGGCGGGTCTGGAGGTCGAAAAACCGGGCGCGATGGACGTATTTTAAATTCGAAAAAAAAATCCGTAACTGTCGCCGATCTGTTTATTCGGGTCATTTAGATTTACCGACTCGAATTAGCCGGTAATGGCCTGTAAATTTTCGAATTATGAAATTACCGTCGATTTCAAAGTCAACAGCTCCTTCAAAGGCCGTAAATAACCGGCGCTTAATATCGCTGTTTTATCGCGTCGCCCCGATTTTTCCAAATTTATTCTCCCAATTTGCATACGCACCTCTCTGTAACCGCTATAAAAACGTAGGTCATTACCTTTTTAAGTAATTTATTTCCAAAATTTTTACAATACTTTCATGGTGAACCTCCACGATTTGCACCCATCTACAGAATGTTGCATAAAGAAGAAGGTCTTCCAGATGTTTTTTACAACCTACTTTATTTTTTGAAACTCCCTGTATAAATTACTCATCGACCACCTGCGATTTAATCGGCCATGCCCTATTCTAATCAAAGCAAACAACTCTTTTCCTGGAGTCTACACAATACCGGAGCCCCCCTTGCGTTCTCCATCTTTTTCCAACTTAAGTGCCGCATTTGGGAAATTTATATAGCGAAGAGGTTCTTTTTTTGTATTAAATTTTTCACTCGGCCGATGTGTATAGCGTGCTTAGCGACCGTGGTTCCGGTTTAGGGTACAGTCATTGGAGGTAAACAAAGTAGTAGAATATGCGGATTGTGTAAATGAAGAGTGTAAATTATAACAAGGCAATACAAGGGTGTTACTTAGGGGAGAATAGATTTGCGAGAAGAATGTCTTACTCGTAGAAGGCCAATACTCGGTGATCATTCCTATTTCTTTGGTTTCTTTGCATATCTTGTTTAAGGGAAATAAAGAAATAGTAATAAAGAAGTGATTATTCGTGATCCAAAAAGAGGTTTTGTAAATCATGAAAATATGTCCATTTGAAAAATAAATTCTTGGTAAATAAATGCCAAAGTTTATTCACAATCGTCGAGCGTGTATTTTAATTTTTTTCACGTTTATTACGTGTGTGTGCTTTACAGCAACATCCTCTGTGTCGCTGCAATACATGAATTACTACCTATAGCCGGAAATGGAAGAAATCTATCAAATCAATTAAAGGAAATAGACGTATTGTCTGTATTATATTGAGTGCATAAAAAAAGTATACCTACAAATCTACTCCCGAAAATAAACCAATTCATAAAAGTGCAACATCCTCTAGGATGTTTTAATTATCAATTAACTATTACCTTGTTTCTTTCTACCTAGTTATACCTGAATAGGTTCTTTGTACTTACGTATAACCAGTGGTTATTTTTGCTTCATCATTAATCTCCGACTTCCTTTTCACGTCTTACTTATTCAGGAAATATCAAATGTCTATTCTTTTTTTATTAAAAAATCCGATATGTGAGACTATACGTACGCTCATCGCATTTAATTACAGCCGACCTTGTTGAACAAAAGGATTATATACCGAATAATCGGGTCTTCAGGGATCCTACAGAGTGACAGGAATAGCTAAGGACTTGACCTGCGCTTTTATGTAGAGCATTCTGGCGTGTGCTGCTATTCGAGCAGATCTGTACATCATAATTTTAGTCGTAAAAATTGCTTGATTTTTAAAAACTGTGCGGTAAATCTTATAACAACGTCTTAAGTACTCGCGGTATCATAAATACATCAGTTTCTCGAAGAAATTACTTTCTCTTCACATGCCGGTGAAACGATTTGGGAAAAATCTTGAAAAATCTATTATTTTCCATTGTCTTCTTTGTTTTAATTAACCTGAACTCTGCTTAATTCGTTTTAATTGCGCAATTAAACGGTATTGTTGAATAACTAACTAGTTGATTTCCTCGAGTATTGCATTGAATTTACATGAGTACTATTAAATTTAAAAACCGAACAAACACCTTATTTAGTTTGATTATACGTACGAGGAGCGCGTGAAACATTTTCGAAAAACTATTAAAAAAATAACAGTTGGATAAAAAAAATGCATAACGGCATTATGCACGGTAAAAAGTATTTTTTTAATGAACATAGCACTTAAATTACCTACCAAATTGAATACATCTCGCACTCTCAATGCTATGTAATGAAATGTCCTAAAAAGGAACGTAACGTGAATAAAAGCAGTTATTCGAATATAAAAACGTCCTATTGAATTTATAAAAGCTCGTTAGAGAGCCCAAAATCAAACCCACATCAAACATTTTTTACGTTAATGACACTCAAAAGTCAATAAAATATTTTTTCTTGCACCTCAGCCTGAAAAAAAGTAATACATAGTCATTCCAACGTCAATTGTACGGTACTTTTATGTCATATTCAATTGATTTTGGTAAGATTATAGGTCTAGTATTCCGTTGAAATTTTCCGTTGCTCGCTAATGAAAACGCTTTATTAATAAACGACCGTATAAACGCGATTTTCTGCTTATTTATAGTGGAGGAATGCAAGTACCTGTGAGGTAGAAACAAATTGTAAATCGCGTAACCGCGGACAACTTTAATTACATACTGCAATTTTCTCCGGTTAACCGTGTAGATATTTTATTTTTAATTAAAAGTAACGCCGCTTTCAAGTTCTTGTTGCTTACGTAACAGCAAATTATAACAGAAATAATTGTAATTATATTTAGTGGAATTAGAAGAGTACGAGATTTTATTTGTCTCAAAGGAATTTAGTGCTGGGGTTATCAAAAGAAATATTTAGAAATTTCCATAATTTTAGAATTCAAGTAAATGCTTATAATTTCTATTCAGTGTAAAAAATTGTATCCCATAGGATTTAAATGTTTGTTGCGATACTTTACGTACGAAATACAATGAAATTACCCGAAACTAATCTGTCGAGAAAATGTAATAGCCGCTTTTTAGCGAATTGTTTCGATTCCAGCAATTTTTTTGTGCTTTAAAATCGGTTTCGTAGTCCTATGTTTTCATTATTTCAATTATTATCTAATTGTCCAACTCGGTGAAAGTCATCTACGAATTTACGTCGTTGCAATTTTTTCCATAGTTAAGCGATTTCCAAAAAAATACAATAGAAAGTTCAATTAGATCTGCAAAATTCAAAATTATTATCGTGCAATATTTTATTCAAATCCACTACAGCCCACTTGTAATTCCTCTTCCGTTTGAAATGCCTATGTAAATCGCTTTTTGTCGAATTTAACAGCACAAAAAACCACCTGTACGCGAAGATAATAGGAATTTAATTAAAAAAAGTGTCACTGACTTTAAAATCCACCGGGCGATTGTAATTATCCCAAAGGCAAACGACCTCTTGAAAACCTTTCTTGAACTCCGAACGTCAATTAGGCATTAACGTCGCATTATTCGCGTTTGAGCATCAGCAAATCTGGTATTATTCTAATTTCCTTGTATCGAAGCCTCACAAAAGGACTGACAAGTGGGAAGCAGGTCGAAATTCCTTTACACGCCCCGCAACAGATGGCCCATTGAAGACAATTTATTTACCCTATATCAGATCCGATTTCGTGCGAAGGTCGTTGGATTTTTTTTAGAAATTCTTTCCCATCGGAAACCCCGTAATTTATAATTAATTTATTTCGAACGTAACGACAAATTAAATGCCTTATTCTTTAACAACTTTAGCCAATATTTCATCTTCTTTGTATAGATGGTACGTTTCGCCGTTGTCCAATTCAATTTCGATTCCACCGACCACACTCTTCAGTACTATTTCGTCTCCGGGTTGAACACCTACTGGTATTGTCTGTTAAAAATCCAAAAATTTTATCAATCCTATGAGAATATTTTACCAGAACCAAGTTAGTCCACAGCCTCAATCTTTTTGGATACCCGAATCTTCATTACATAATCAAAATTTTGGTTCTTACCACTCCATTATCCGACACTGTGCCGGGTCCCACGGCCAAAACAGTGGCCTGGGGCAGCTTGGGTTCCTGCTCGACGGGCAAGAGGACTCCCCCTTTGGTGACAGATTCCATTTCGGGCAACTTCACCAGAACTCTGTTGAACATCGGGATTATTTCGGTCAGTTTCTTCGCGCTTTTCGAAGCGGCAGACATTTTTGAAAATGCACGAGTCGATTGAATGACGTACCCGTCCAATTCTGTTTATTATTTAATACGATTGCTATTTTATTCGTTAGTTTTTTCTTCTTCTGATTTACTCGTAGTCAATTTCATGTTCGTTTGGTATATGATGGAATGCAAAAAAGAAGATTACAAGAAAAATAAGGAGTCATATAGTAAGGTAAGAAAATAATAAGGAGATCAATGACTAAAGATTGCAATAGTTTGAAGTAAGGCTTGTAGAACAGTGTTGGAAAGGGAAAACCAAGGTGTAAAGAGGCCAAGAAGAAGATCAATAAGCTGTAGAGGAACTGTAGGAAAGGAAAATAACTAAAAAGATTTGGAAAAAATAAAAAGGGAGGAAAATCAAGGGCTTGACTTACGACCTAAGTTAAATGAATTGCCTGCAAGTAGCAGTAGTTTATTTTCTATTACAAGAAATAAAAACTATCTACTAACATAACATTAATATATTGTCAATAGAATACACTCAAGCTTGGACATTTTTGTTAATTTTCGCCAATATAGCAGTATCCTTGTAGATATAATGCGTTCCTTCGTCCAAATCCACGGAGATACCGCCTATATCCTCCAAAATAACTTCATCTCCCGGATAAACGTTCATCGGTATCACCTTTCCTTTGGAGGAGTACTTCCCCGGGCCCACTGCCACCACCACGCCTTTGTTATACTTCGACTGGAATTAAAAAAAGACATAAAATAATTCCCATCGTGATAAAAGCGATTTACCTGGGTCTTGGTCTCGGGGATCAAGATGCCCCCTTTCGATTGCTTGACGGGGTCCGGCTTTTTGATCAGCACCCTGTTCAAAAGGGGCACCAATTTGCGCGTCAGAGACTTCACCTGCGGCGAGGCTGCCATAATAAATTCGTTTTTTCTTAGTTCCTTCGATCGCTTTCAATCTGACGTTTGCCAGCGGTCAATTTGATTGATCATAGACACAGTGTTGGTACTTGGAAAATACTGTAACATAAGTAGGGAAAAAAATCTTCGTATTTGTCTACTATTTTAGAATAACTATGATCGAAATGGTGCTCCAGTTTGTTGCGATTTCCTTTCGGGCGCGAGTAAAGCGAGTACCAACCTGTTGCGCGTTACCGTAATTTGCTTTTGAATAATTTCACAGTTGAAGAAATTAAGAATTACGGTTGAGTTCGTTCGAAAAACGTAAAGGAAATGCCGTCGTACGTGTAACGCGAAAATAGAAATGATAAAGTAAGAGGAAACGTCATTGTTCAACGCGAAAAAAAGGAGATTTGTTGATTGCTTTTAATGCGAAATACCAGCAAAAAATTACTCGCTTTAAAGCGATTTGCGAAATGAATGAAACGTAGGAGTACTTTTAAGACTCACGTCCCTTTGCCTGCGCAGCTATCCAGCCAGTTTTTCCCGGGAACGGTTAATTATATTCGGTTTTCATGAATCTCATACCATGAATTTCCCGAGACAAGTCGAGCCCCAATGACGATGTTATAAAAAATAATAACGCAAATAAATTGTTTCCGGAGGTATGCACGTGCACACATGCCTCTCGACGGACCGACTCGTTTCAAAGAACAAAAAAAAAAACGAGAAAACAAAGCGGATTGTAAGTTACATGGAAGCGCTCGGGTTAGTAAAATAAATATTCGAGAAATGACTCTTTTGCTGCGTCCATTGAAATAATTGCTCCTATTAACGTCGGATATCGGCGTTTTAAATCATTTCAATAAGTCCGTACATAAATCGCGCCGGCCGAACAGAGTCGAACTAAATCCTTAATTTTATGCAATCTCGACACGCAAATATGCCATTAGAAACGGTTTATAACGAATGATCATTCCTCCATAATTACTACTTCTTTATTTCCCTTAACAAACGTACGGCGCAACGTCACCAAAGAAGTAGCGATAAACGCGGAATGATCTGCGGGATTCTTATGTGAACTTATGAGTTATCTTTGCAAAGGGATTGTGAGAGGATTATTTGCACGCCCTGTAGGAAACGGGACGCTATAAAGAAGCAGAATTGAATGTATATCTCGTGCCACCATTTACAAATATCCCGCGGTTAAGAAATGGAAGGCCGTAAATCTCGGCGATTATCGATATGCGAAGAGGTTGAAAAATCGAAATTCCAATCCGATTGCGAGACGATAAAATCTCGATACGGATGCTAAACCTAATAATGCAACGAATAAATATTATCGCACTTTTAATTGATTCTTTGTTATTATAACAACGTTTCATTTACCAGCTCCTCGACTATCAGGCGCTTCCATAATTAGAAAAAAAAACTATCTTATGGGATAGATAATTCACAATGGGTTTGCCACTCCTATAGTTATGCAAATTGTCGATGGTATTCGTGAGATTCTTTTGTAGAAAAAAAATCGATTACTTTTATTCGCAGTTAATCGAACTGATTTGTTTACACTCACACACAGGTTTGCGATTTGCACTGTAATGGCAAAATGAAGAAATATCGGTCGTAAATGATTTTCGAAAAGTAAATTACCCATTCGATTTATTTCGACCGAGAAATGCGGTCAATACCTTTCCTAATATAACCAGTTCGCAACCTTGCGAATTTACACCACTTATGTAAAACTCTTGCAGTAAATAAAAGAAATGGGTTTTATAACTTCTGCTCTGCTCTCTGCTCTCTGCTCTCTGCTCTCTGCTCTCTGCTCTCTGCTCTCTGCTCTCTGCTCTCTGCTCTCTGCTCTCTGCTCTCTGCTCTCTGCTCTATGCTCTATGCTCTGTGCTCTGCTCTGCAACGGGGTCAAGGGGCGGGATTCTTCGGTTGTACCGAATAAAGGCGTGTAGAACAAATTGAATTTCATCAATCGACCTCATTTCGTTATGTTATATCTTTATGTCGAACGTAAAATCCAACTCCTCCAGTTTTCGCCTCGAGGAAGCCGGAATAATCGATATCTAATAATGAAATTAATTATAACAACATGGAATTGCGGTAATAAGTGTCGGAGCAAGATTTATGGAATACAAAAGGTAAAATAACCGAAAGGCGGGTATTGTGAGATCGTTGCATCATCAATTCGACCTTTCATAGTCGAGTGGCTGGTCAATTTCTAACGATAAACTGTAGTAAAAATTTTATTTTTTTTACATTACAATCTCCTACGAACAAAAGAGAATTCTTCCCACTACATTTGCTCGCTTGTTCCATACGTGCTTGTACTTGTAATTGACCTTTAAAAAGCGATCCCAGGGAACATTACGAATTGTATGGGTTAGACAATGGATTGTTTAATCAACAGATTCATTCTTTATCTTTTATGTAGTACATGCAACTGGAACAAGACGGTACTGGCTCGATAGATAAACTTTGCGGTAGAACCGTTAGTGGATTTTTAATGAATACATGTCCCATTCACTATTCAATAGCAGGTGAATAAAGTGTATCGATAAGAAATCAACTTGTATATGTTTAACCTATTTAAGGGTAATAAAGTTAAATTTTATGCCTCCAATAATTAGGAAAAATATAATAAATTCTTACTTTATACTTACATAACATCATCAATTACACCTACATGAGTTACAAGATTTCTTTTAATAGGCAAGTAAATAATAAAAAAAACAGCATAAATAAACATATGTAGGCCTTGATAAGAACGATTTTTTGTCCAAATAACTTGGAAAGTTGTGATATACCAATTTGTTACGGCACTATTCCCGGGTTATTAGCGTTGTATATGTCTTTGTTTCGCTCAGATAATTAATAACGGCGGAAATAATTACGCCACTGCTAAAAAAAATAAATAAATAAACGCTCTTGTAATTTTATTTCAGTTCGTCGCGGTGACACCTGGATTCACAAAAGTGTAACAAACTAAATTTATTCTTTTCGCCGACGATGTTATATCATGTTGCATTCGTTGCGACACCGTTAGCATCGTTTTTATTACCAGTTACCGGCGTTTCGAGCGCTCGTTTCGACCATCATCAGGCGCAATCGTTGACCTGATGATGGCCAATGCAGCCGAAACTATCTAGTCGTTGTGTTCGCATTAAAATTGCTTGGGATTTGTTGTTTTATTAGATCATACGCCGAGGAATTTTGCAAAAAACGGATACATAGCAGCGTTTGCAAGGTAAATTACATCGCGATCTCGCCGAGGGGATATTGCTTAACGCATTGTTCTCATCCCATTATAAAGAGTTTACCTTCGAACGCTGTAGGTATTCAAATTCGAGCGTATTTTACGCATATTTTTTTATTAAGGTTTGTGTAATCAATCAAAAAAAACGAGAGTTTCTGGGCTAACGCGTAACGATCTTGCTGCATCGACCTGTAACACTTGGACGTTAAGAAATTCGCAATTTTATTGTTTAAAAAATAAATTTTAGCATACAGAAATATCGCATGTAATTCCCCAATCTTCTTTTTACTTTATTTACAAATCTATTTGTGAACCTATACACGAAAATAATGCTCAAGTATTTTGAAAACACCAATTAGGCCTATCAACAAGGCGACTGGATTAAAACCACTTTGTCGATTGATATTCCATCAAAACTTGCGATGAGCCACTCGGCAAATACGCGAGGATTGTTTGCATTTCGAAGAGAAGAGGCACACTGGAATTCCAAAATGTCTACAATACGCTTGTTTTATTTACTTTACGCTAAAATAGAACCATTCCATGAATGAACAGGCTACAATCAACACCTAGCTATTGCAAAGAAATGTACAGTTCTACAGGAATAGCCGTAGACGAGCGACTATGATGTGCGTTTACAGCTATTTCTGTCGCTCTGTAGCAAGAACAATGTTCCAATTCTAATCGATAAATATGTAAATAACACCACAATATCAATTTCCTCACGTGTATCCAATTACCGAGTGAATAAACACCATATTAATTACATTTTTAGTTAGTCTTCGGAAGCCTAAGCAGCTAGGTCATTCACTATACAATACACATACACACACACCTACTTCTATTAATATGAAATCGGGTTAGAAGACGGAATAGAAACAACGCATACATCATCCTCATTGCTGCAAATAAAATATTTGTACCAAATACGACCCTGTTTCTCACTCGGAGCGATCCATTATCCAATTTTACGTTGTCTACTTTTAATTACGAGAAGAATCTCTAGGGTACTTTACGATAAGTACACCTGGCTCGGTGGTTTAGATGCGGAACGATTAAGTTATTCGATGTAATTTCAGATAGCAGACGTTAAATGGTTTAATTTATCTAATACCTGCTTTATTTATTGGTTTTTTTAACGTACGATAATTGTTTGATACACGTTTTTTTGTGTGCGAGACGAGAATGAATCCAACGAAGAGTTGTGTAAGGCAAACCTGTCTAATTTGTCGCAGGAATTAACGAAATTGTATAGAAAAATAACATGTGTGTTGACATGCATTAGCCAATATTAAGCGTGTTTCCTGCGAAAGAAACCTCATATAAACACGGTTGTTGACAAATCTTTATACTAATAGAGGAATTTAAAAACATTTATCGTTCGTTTAAGTTGATTAGTAATTAATTATTTTCCTTGCAGAGTCTTCGAAATACAACGGATGAAAGTCGCCGGTACTCCTGCGGCAATTTGTACAGCTCAATCAGGAGAACTTCTAATAGAATAACGGAAATACCAGTAGAAAACATGGTGAATCAGTTAAAATTGGATACGTTAGAATGGCAACTAAAAGAGGTAAGATATTTCTTTCTTTGTGTTCTGAAGGTCTTTAGACTAATAGTAAATTACAGATTCAGAAGAGCCGCGAAATGTACAGAGCAGTCATGAAGCAAATCGTAACCTACCTTGAAAAAGCTCACCACAGCCTCAAATTGCTAGGAAGCCGGACAAATCGCAGGAACTCCGTGCAGAGATCCAAAAGTGAGCATTTCATGGAACTGAGCAGGATCAGCGACACATCCACGATTAGTAACAACCCCAGCAGAACCTTGGACGAGCACAAAATAAAAGACCTCCAGTGGTAAACAATTTGTTTTCCTTTAATTTCAAGCCTTAATTTACTCGTTTTCCAGGCAGCAATCCAAACCCGAGGAACCGTCCCCGGACGAAATCCCGCCGGAGAAGCTGGCCCACGAGGCGTTCAGGCTCCTGCGGACCGCTCAATCGTTGTTGAACACGCGCGAGCCTGACCTGGCGCAGGTGCCGTCCTGCCAGCCGGCCAACGACATCGAATTCCTGGAGCAGCTGGCCAAGGAGTTCCCGCCGCCGGAGGCCAAGCCGCAACCGCAGCGGGCCACGTCCTTCTCGCTCAGCCCCAAGCTGATCGTGCCCGAGGCGGAGAGCAAGATCTCCACGGCGTTCAATAGGAAGCTGTCGTTGCAATTGAGCGACGTGAGGAGGACGACGTCAAGGATTAGCAGGAGCGCCGATTCGACGCGCGGCTCCGTCGCTGAAAGCGATACCGATCCGAGTAACGAAATAGGGTTGTTCTGTACGAGGGCTAAAGTTAAATCCGATAAGTCGAATTCGCCTGGTGCGGGGAGCATCAGCTCTGTGGAGGACGAGAGCGGGTTTTCGTCGATGAATTCCTTCCAGGAAATCGGGTTGCCCTTAGTTAATTCACTCATGACGGAAGAGGTATGAACTTTGAATTACTATTCTATCAACAAAAATCTTTTCTTATTCACCTTTCAGGCCTCTCTCATAATTCTCCAGGTCTCTTTCCTCAACCTTCGGGACCCCATTTCCATTATCTTGCTCTCCAATCTTATCACCCTTCAAGGCTCTCTGATAATTTGACAGGTCTTTTTCTTCCTCCAGGTTCCTTTTCCATTCTCTTGGTCTCCCTCCTCATTATTTATATCTTCTCCATACCACCCTGAACGTTTCCTAACTAATGAAGGGGTATATATCATACATTCCTAGTTAACAAATTGTGTTTTTCACGTGTAGGTATCGACGAAGAAGGCTCTGTTACGCAGCATGTTGCAGAACAATTCGCTGAATTATTCCCTGGGTGAAAACGGGCCGGCGGAAGCGAAAGAGGAGCAGAAATCGGTGGATAATATAAAATTGTGGCAGAAGCCGGGCAACGTGGCGGCTTCGACTCCGCCGCAACACAGAAGGTGGAGTTCGACTCCGATCAAGGAAGTGGACCCTCAAAGTTTGAAAGTTCTGTGGGTGTAACGCCGCGCAATCGTGTATTATAGGATATTATTTTTACAGTATTTAATTATTTAATAACTAGATATTTTATAGATCGATTTTTACGTGTAGGTACTTAAATGAAGGGCCATTTTTTTATAATATTCATAAAGCAAAAACTGTCTGCTTCGACGATGATTGATTGTAAGATATAAACGCAATTTTATTTTTTTGTGATACGTAATCTTTTTAAATTTAATTAGATAAGTTTTATGTAATTGAGTTGAAACGTTTGTAATCTCCTGGAAAGAAGGAATGTGCAAACTTTGAGATGCATGTTCGTTGAATTAAAGACGAGACTCAAAAACCAAACAAATTTATTGTGACAAAATAAAACAAATAAATTTGTACTAGAATTTCATTTTAGGGATCCCAATTGTGTGTTTATGCTAAAAATAAAACTAGAAATACGTGAAAATATTTGACGTAAACTAACCAGAGGTTAATAGAGAAAAAATTATCGACTACAAAAAAAGGAATTTCTAAAAAACTTTTTATCTTGCTCTATCTTTGTTAATGTTTAACGACGGAGAAACTGTTTAGAAATTCAATTTTCGGTAATAAACCCTTCTCTTTTTGGACATATAAACGTAGGATTATTCACAGAAATCGTTATTTCATTATAGAATAGATAAAAAATACGGCATTTCATAACTTTTTTATTTTTTTACACAAATTTATTTAAAAGAGATCGTATAAAATATTGCACAAACGATTTCTGTGAACCACCCTAGATGAATAAACACTTAATCAACATTAAAAACAATTTCATGATAAAAAAAATGGACATCAGCGGTAAGTATTACAAAATAAATATTTATTGGTTTGGATACGATTCGATATTTATGTACAGTTAAACAAAAAAAACTAGAATTCATGTTCTTTATTATATTAAATATTATTCTATAACAAAAATTATATATCTATATAGGTTTAGGTTTAAAAAAAAAACAATTATACAACTAATTACAAGGTTTTTTTAACATTACCTTTCCTTTTAAAAGATTTTCTTATAAAGAAAAATCGACAATTGTTATTTAGAAAAATCTACATTATTTACAGAATCATTGTAGAAAAACTTTTTGATATTTCTTTTCTTATTCATTTTTTTATATTACAAAAAAGAAGATGGGCAACATCTTCAACAACAGGTTCGCTCATCGGAAACAATTCTCATCGTTGTGAAAAGCCCTCGGGAAAACAACTTTCTACGCCGCATAACATTAATAACAAATTAATTACGAAAGGTACTAAAGAATTAGATTTTAGTTTTTTTAGAATCTTTATCACAGAAAATTGTTAGTAAGGGGCACGTATTTTTTAAACTAATTTTCAAACCTAAATATAGAGGAAATTATACATTTTTTTTGTTAAGTACAATACGATAGATATTCTTTATACACACGTATTAGCCTCTGAAAAAGACATCAAGGAACGTTTCGAATGTTTCACCCGATCTAATTAATGATTACACTAATTATATCTTAAGTAAATTACTTAAAGAGCTCTAGTTCGTCGATTTTTTTGTTAGAAAAGAAGACAAGTATTGACTAGACACTACTAAAAACTACCTAATTTGTCCTTGACCACTAATGCAATAACGAAAAACCAATATAATTAAAATTAACCTCATAGAGCGTATTCACCGGTGCAATATACTGCAATAAATGCTGCAATATATTGCACTGTGTAGAAACGTTCTGAGTAATGTTTTAACGAGACAACGATGAGAATTCCGAACGGCCAACCGGCACCTACTTGAATGCGTTAACAAAAAACCTCAACATTTTCCCTTTATCTTTATCATTTTAGTACCAATAAGTAAGAAAATACGAAGCTTCTTATGTAAAGGCTGCAAACAATCACTTGTACCACTTTTTTTTTGTTTTGATGCAAAACAACGATTATTTCGCTCGTTTGATTAGTTTTTTATAAGATTCGTCGTTCACCAGATATTGTTCCGTTAAAGAAATCACGAAGAATTTTATGTAATTGTCACCTGATAATATATCGATACCAAAAGCAAACCATAAATTTGCAATTAGTTTTGTTTACACGTAATATCGATTTTCGGGTGAAATATCGGCAATATCAGTCGTCTTTGATTGCCGTAATTCCGTTTTACTCTTACTAGATGTACTTAAAAACAACACATAAAATCGACGCAAGCCAAAATTCGATTAAGAAACCAGCTCTACAACGAATATATTCAATAACACGGCTATAAAAATATTTCAAGTGCTGATATCGTCTTGTCCGTTATGTAAAAAATAAAATATAATATTCGGGGGGGAATCAGCGCAAGGAACTCAATTTGTGGAAAAGTGGGAAAAAATTTTTACCGAATTTTTTTCGAGATCTTCTAATTATATCCGGAATGTTTACTTAAAGAATAAAAAGTTACCAAAAAACGCGGTTTAAAAAAAATATAATTTTAACACTAAAAAAAACATATAAGAAAAATCAATGTAATACCACAAAATAATCATAATAAAAAAATCGATTTAATCAACGTTCCAATTAAAAACAACAACTACCATTTTTTTTTCTACCACTTTTCCGGCATCGCCGCGATTCGAGCCCATCGAAAACGCTTCATACGCCCCATTATTTATTATTTTTTTTTCCCGATAAAATTTTTAAACAACAGATGGCCCACTAGGTTCCCACGTATTTATCACAACACAGACGAGATGGAGCGAGCATCACTTGAGATACGACTTGTACAGGAGCTTACTTTTGCAGAGGTCCCGTTCGGTCTCGAAGAGGAACTGGAGATCGCGCAACGTCACCTTCTTCATGCGCTGCCGCAACGGCAGCTGGCCCCTCGGCCCCCCGACCACACCCGTAGCGTTAGGCTAATCGAGGAAAAAACAAGAAAATTTAATAATATATCGCAATAAACCACTCCACTTTGCAGTATTTATCTAGTGTAACAACTACTCAACTAGACCCAAGAGTTGAGTCTAGTTAAGGCCTTAGCTACTAGGCTACTCGGCCAATTCACTTATCAATAACCAGCCAATAACAGCTCTCACTGAGCCTCATTACGCCACTTATTCCAGCCAATCGCAGTGCTCAATCGACACTCCGAGCTGACAAACGACAGTTGCGTTGTACAACAAAATCAACAAACACTAACCTGCGATGCGTTGGAAACGTCACCGTCCAACCGGGGTTTTTTCCTGGGACCGATGGCCTGCAAGGCGGTCGCGTTGGCTTCTCGCTGTCTCAACTCCTCCATTTCCACTCGCTGCATTTCCTTGGCCTTCGCCTTGAGCTTCGCCTGTTCGGGATCCTCGGTTCGCGATCGGCTCTTCGCCGCCCGCAACAGCACCTCGCGCTCCATCTCTTCGTGTCGCTTCCGTTCGGCCTTGTCGAGCTCTTCCAGAAACTTTAATTGACCTGTAAAACAACAACGTGTTATCTCTCGCATTCGTAACGAACTAGCTCGCGAAACGTACCTTTAATATCGTTCGTTACTTCGTATTTCGGATGGTATTTGACGCACGTGTCGAGCCGATGTTCTGTAATAACCGACAGTTTCTCGATCAGATCTCTGAGTCTCTCTTGCGCCGCGTGCGATATGCAAGCGGCCACGTCGTTACTCGGTTCTTCTAAGCCGTGCTTGCTCATCGCCAGGCGGATCCTTTGTTGTAGAGGTGGCATCGAACACATGACCTACAACGCAAACATTTCTTAAGCGACGATTTCACAATAAAACCCTTAGAGCATCCTTTATGCCTCGTTATGAAAGTAAACAGTATAGTAAATAGCGGCGAATGGTTCTTACTTCTTCTTTACACGATCGAATCTGGGTGCCGACGAATTCGGTGGAACCCAATATCTTCTGGGTTTCTTCCATGAGGTTGACGCCGCCCATGGCGGCCACGTCGTTGATGTCATCGTCGCCCGTGTACGCCGACGAGAACGTCTTCTTCTCCTTTTCTTTGGCTAATGGCTTAACGGTGGAAGGCACTGACGGTTTAATCCCCTGCTGCTTGACGGCGCCGCCCTGCTTCTGCAACGGCGTCGCCGATCGAACGGGCACTTGCGGCCTTATCTGGCCGGGCGCTAAGGTCCTAACCTACAAAACGATGTTAAACTCGCTTGAACTCGCCACGGATTGAGCGTACGGTACCTGTACCGGTTGCCTAATGATCCCCGTCCGGACGGGTTGCTGGCCGTTCGGGTACACCGGATGCAACGCAGGCGGTTGAGACGTCGATACGATCACGTTGTTGGCTATGGCGGGCTGTCGTATGGACGTGACCATTCTGGTTTGTTGGGCCGGCGCCCTGATCGGGGCCACCAGACGTTGTTGTATCACTTGGCCGGGTCGTACGACGGTGGTGACGGGCGTCACGATGCGCACCTGGTTGGGCTGTATGCCCGCCGGCCTCACGGTTTGTACGGTCGGCGAGGCGCCCGCTATCGTGAAGACCGCGTTCGTGGGCGGCGGGCGGATGCCCTCTATGCTGAGCTCCTGCGTGGCTAAAGAGTGCCGCAGAAGCGGGAGGCTTTTCTGCAATTCGTAACAAAACACGTTAATTCGTCGATTTATTTGCGTATTTTGTAAGCGGCTTTAGTAAAATGTTATCTAACCTGTTTGTTATGTAGTTAATACTAATATTCGATACGTAAACATTCATTCTATCTATAATAATATGTTAAAAAGCGTTTCATCATAACAATTATGTTTCTTTTTTAATCGACACCAGCAGTTGATCTTTAATCAATGTGTCTAACCTCGAGCGATTTGTCAAACAAACGTGTTACCAAGTAGCTGCATTTGTTCGATGTATTTTTGCTCATATACAGGGTGATTATAAATTATTTTCTTACGATGCTTTACCCACCTTCAAAAATCCTATTAGGCACGGTTGTGGGGATGCGTTTAGAAGCCGCTCTAATTTGTCGCAAAAATCTTCGGGTTCCACCTTGTTATCGATAAGCTCTTGGATTAGCTGCCGAACGCTCCGCTCCACCGATTTGGGTTCCCTACTCGACAATTCCAGGAGGTTCGCGAGAAATTTCCTACATTTTTCTTTGGTATTATCGTTTGCAGGTCTCTGTAGAAAAGTCCAAAATGTCATTTACACGCGTACAAACAACGGTAATCGAATAGTGGATATTTTTAACAAATTACTAATCGATTTACGAAACTGCGAGATAAAATTTTCTAAAGGAAAGTGAACAGGCGGGTTCTCATTCTCACCTGGACCTGTACTTGTACTTGTCCCTGTTGAACACTTTGTGAAGCAGTTGAAACGGTCGTTGTGGCACCGGCTTGTGCAGGATTAGGTGCCGTTGTAGTCTAAAATTAACAGATTTTTATAATCCTAAAATTTACTAAAAATTACATCAACTCACCGTTTGTACGGTCTGCATGCGGAAAGTAACCTGTGGTCCTGTGGTTTGGGAGGTGTTGACAGGAGCCGGTCCCACCCTGAGCAGCTGGTACTGTCCATTTTCAGTCTTGAGTAACAATGCTCCCTGCTGGCCGGGTTGTAAACCATGAAAGCTTTGTAAGGTTAATTGCTAAAACATTGAACAAGCACACTTTTAGACAAACACTGTTCCCCAAAGGCGAGCTCTGAAAACGTAGCTAAATACCTACGAAAAATTCAGAGATGCTGCAGTGCTGAATTATCTACCTTCATGCTCACATGCATTAAATTTATACTCAAAATCGGTAGATATTTCAATGTAATTGAAGCTAAAAGCCACCAAGCACATAGACGTTAATAAAAATAAAAACACTGTGCTGTTACGTTACCATTATGCCCAATTGAAAGTAAATTTAATAGGTAATAAAATTGTAAATATTTTATGGGTTACTCGATTAATTATTCTTATTTATTCAATAATAAAGGGAATTCAAACTAATTTGATATGAAATGCAATTAAATTGAGTCGAAATTTGCAAATAAAGGACAAATTTGTTTACAAGAAACGAAGAAATCAAAATAAATCCAAATATAGAATAAGTAGAATGGCCGAAGCTCTGATTTTTGAATTATAATACAAATTTATTTTAGATGCATTCAAGCCGTTAAATTTACAAGTGTTAGTTAGTAAGAAATTAAGAAACAGATATAAACAAAATACAACCAGCAGTGTACGAAAATATTTCAAACTGTACTAACAATGACAAAAAAGAAATTCTAAAATACTATTTTTTCGAAACGTTTACTTGATGATTTCTGTACGAAAATATCGAGCACTATTCGTATTTATTACAACCAACATTCTAAAACCTCGTTCTATATTCGAAAATTGTAGCAGAACGTATTATTTTCAAATTGTATAATTTAAAATTAATTTTGTGAAACTCCTCTTGAGATTTTGGATTTGATTTCAATGACTCGACTGAAAAGAATCATTAATATTCCTGCTGTTATACACTCCATATATTTTTTTATCATCGATATCAATACTATCTAATGGAATTCAATAAAGCACAGTTAACAGTCACCTGCAATAAACACAAACATTCAGTTATAATTAGTTTGTACCATTATTGACCTTGTTCCGAAAACAAATCCTTACGATTTATCAAATTATTGTAACATAAACAATTTACAAACTCCTACAAACAACACTCTTTACATCAAGCAAACGTGTTTCGATTCTAAAAAAACGCAGACTTCTAAAAATGCATCAAATAGGAAGGCTTTCGTATTAGAGCGTATAATGTTAGAAAGCTTCGACAATTAGTTTTCGAAGAGTCTTAATTAAAAATATGCTAATATCGAAAACACTGTAGAATAATACAGTTCTTTATACGCTTAATAACAACAAACATTTAGTTGCCATTAGAAACCTGTTTTGAGGTTAAGTATCTAAATTTTCAATTATCAATCGAAGAATTACTATCACAAATTCGTTTTTACGTAGAGTAGTAAAAATTTAATTAGCTTTTCGAGCAAGTCGAACTTGTAAATATACAGTGTGTTCGTTAAGATGTTTTTAATTAAGATTCGTCATATTGCAGAGATTATATGGAGGATCCGTAGGATATAAGCGAGCCTTCCCATTTGAGCTTCGATATTGAACTTACTGGAGTCCCAGGACGGGCCCCGACTAACTGAGGTGCACTTAGCACTACACGAGCTGGTTGTCCTTTCTGCTGCTGAGGAACTCCAGGTCGCACATTGACCACCTGGAGATTAGAAAGGATATTTGGGGATTGCGTGCTAGGGCTACCTACGTTATTAGCCTGGCCCACGGACGAAGCTACATTCATCGGTACGGTGACCAGTCCGGGCGCTCCTGGTGCACCGCTGGTTTTCAACACGAGCGTCTGCTGTTTATTTTGAATGCTTTGGACGTTCGTGGGGGCCGTTTGAAGGACCGTTTGTTGTGGAAGGCTGATGGTACCGTTCGGAAGAGTTACTCGGTTTTGGAGTATAGCCGTACCCGAGGACGACATGACTTGATTGGTCTGGCCTTGGCTGTACACTAATTTGACGCTCTGCCCCTCCGGGGGTTTCGTGTTTGTGTCTACGGGTGCACTTTGATTCACATAGGTAGTAGTCACTGGACCCGCGTTGCCGCTTATTATCATCGCGTTAGCATTGCTATTGTTCGACACTTGTTTGTTTCCATCGTTCGTGATCGAATCACCGTTGGTTATAGTCCCATGTTTCTGCGGGGCTACAGTCCCGCCGTTTGATATTGCACTATTTACGTGGTTCTGATTAATCACGACGGCTGAGCCCGTTTGAGATGACACCGGAGGCGTTGATGTGACGAGTTGATTCTCCAAGGAGCCCACGATTGCACTTACGGCCGATTCATCAACATCTGTACTCAGAGCTTCCTCGAGAAACTTAGCTGACGCCATTTTCCGAGACCCAACTGTGACGCCTTGTTGCCAGATTGTTATTTACAACGGACGAACCTTCTGTTTACAATGTCATTATACTGGTTGATTTAATATCAAATAATTGGAGATTTTTAAAAAAACTCGATTTTACTTAAGTTTTTATTGTTGATATACAAAATTTCATAACAAAAAACTAAATCAACATCACTAACACTAATCCAAACCATAATCCGCGACACTTAAAATGTTCAAACTTTTAATTTCTTATCGTACAATGATCGCAACCTAAAATTTCGTTGCTTTTTTATGCTACATTAATTTTTTAACTAGCCTTTATTCCAATTGCGATTCATACTTTTACTAATATTACCGAATGTCTGGCAACGTCGCCTGGCAATAAAGCATGCATAGCGCATGAACATGTCGATTGGCGCATGCGTTCTCGGTGTTGACAAAGCGAAAGCAGAAGAGCATATGAAACAAAACTCGAAATCGCGCCTCTATAAACTACTCAACTTGTTACAAGTTATACACATTCGGGGGCGAAATATTTACAACTCCGACAATTCCATCAAAATATTGCTCAGTTACCACGACGAAGCTGAGTAGGGCGTTTCGATCTTTTGATTTCTCCGTCCATAGCACATGCGATAAACATAATGGACACGTCATCGCTACCGCCAATTTCGATTTTACATATTCCTTTGTTGTAGTCCTTGAGTTGTTGAGTATTAAAGCGTAAAAATGCTTGTGGATATCTTAAAAATACGAATTTTTATTTTCTACGGGAAAGGAAAACAGCTATTTTTGTGTAATAGGGACTAAGTATGAAATGTCGATAATATAGATTACTATTATATTACGAAACAAAAATGAGCGGCATATTTAAATATCCAGTCCATTTATTCTAATCATAATTTGATAATTTTTAGTTCATTTTAATTAATACTCATTTTAGACAACATGAAAAACGATAAACTTATTCTTTTAAACGTACATGTAAAAGAGAATGCAAAAAATATGTTAAAAAATATTTATTACCAATATTATTCATATCTATGTGTGTACCATTCATACAAAAATCACAAAGATTTTAATTATCAAATATTTAAAGTCGGCGGTTAAAAAAACCAAAATGGCAGTGGAAGATTACTGAAATTGCCAAACGAAGCAAACCGAACACCTTCGTCTTTGTTCGGATCTGTGTGTAATGTGACCAATCAAATAAGTTGAATTGCCGTTCATTTTTCGATGACAGCGCCTCTCATTAAGCAATCGCGAAGTAATACTGTCATGTCATGAAGCCACTGAAATAAGTTCCGATTGAAGAAGGATGGTGAGCTTTTAAATAGTGAGGTGCATATAAATGACATTATTGATATAATTTTATGTGGTCTCTTGCGATTTGCGCATTCAGCAACATTTTAACAGCCACATTGTTTATGGTGGAAAATTATAAAGAAATGCGCCATCAACACTGAAAGGATTTTTAATTATTGAGAGACTGATTAAAATCGTAAAAAGCATTATGAAAATAAAAAAAATATTAAATATTGAGAAAAAAATGAGTTTAAAAATATTTAAAAATTCATAAAAAATATAAAGGCACACTCTCTTAACACATTTACAAAAATTCCCCAGATATTCGTCAAAAAATGAGTTGAAAAATACTTCAAAATACCTAAAAAGCATAAAGAATTCTTGCCAAATAATATTTTAAAAACCATTAAACATTTTATCAGAAATTATAAAAAAAATCGTTTTAAAATGAATCAAAAACACTCAATTAAAAGTTAACCAAAAATAAATCATTTTAAAATAGGAAAAAAAAACCAATCAAGTATTTGCACAAAAAAAATCTCGTCTGCATTGTTTCGTCGCTTCGAAAATTCCCCGAGTAAAATCAGTGTGCTTACCTTAAATGTCAATGCGTCTCGGCCACCCTGATGTCTCGCCATAAAAGGACGCACTCTAGATTAATTGTTATTTTTAAGTGCACTCTAATAGACTAATAAAACTCCCTATATAAAAGCACGTTGAGCCAATTAATTCGCTCATTTTGTGTCGCCTAACAACGCGCCGAGAGCAATAGAGAAATCTATGTTTTAGAGAGGTTAGTACCAAATGGTACAGGGCTGTGTTAGTACCGGTATAATAGGGGTTAATTTGGTGATTGAAAAGTGGTTTATTTTGTGGTGAAAATTTGTGGTTTTTGTGATTTCATACTCACATGATTTTAAGGATAACTATAGGAAATTATAGTAGCACGGTCAAATTAAATAATATGAATAATAAGTTGCTAAGGGATGCGGTTTTTTAATTACCTATTTAAAGATTTTTTTTATTTTTTTTATTATTATTTTCAATTACCATACAGTCAATAATATTCACATTGTTAATTAATTTTGTTTTCATTTGTTTGAATTACTAGTTAAACGATTATTAAATTGGTATATTCTATTAAATTTCAATACACAAATACCAATCAATGATAGATTTATACGTGCATATGTATTATATAAATAACGATTAATTAATTAACAAGGAGAAATAAAGCGAAACTTTCTGGCGAAAATCCAAGCGAAACTAAATCTAAATTTAAAAGTACCGAACGGAAATAACCATAGATCGAACATTATCCAATTGAATCGATACAATTCAAGCCAATAGCACAGTAAAAATAATTATTTAAAAACAACTATAACAATTTAAACTCGAATTTTCATCCACCAGCCACACACGCATAACGCAAGCAACACCGGCCGTCAGCAACAAATCGCCAGCAACCAGTTACCAGCAACATGTGTGACGACGATGTGGCCGCCTTGGTCATCGACAACGGCTCGGGCATGTGCAAAGCGGGCTTCGCCGGCGACGACGCCCCCAGGGCTGTGTTCCCCTCGATAGTCGGCCGGCCCCGCCACCAGGGTGTCATGGTGGGCATGGGGCAGAAGGACTCCTACGTAGGGGACGAGGCCCAGAGCAAGAGGGGCATCCTAACGCTCAAATACCCCATCGAGCACGGCATCATCACCAATTGGGACGACATGGAGAAGATATGGCATCACACGTTCTACAACGAGCTGAGGGTGGCGCCCGAGGAGCACCCGATTCTATTGACCGAGGCTCCGCTAAATCCGAAGGCTAACAGGTATAATCAACCAGCTTTTAGTTCTTCTCTTCTATCACCAGGACACCCCAAAGGGGTCGAATTTTCAACGAAATGCTTCGTGTACATGTTGTCTCATTCAAAGAGGTAGTTCGCCGCCCTTCGAGTTGAGTAAGGATAATTCTACTTGGTGGGCTCCAAGAGAAGACATGAGGCTAGATGTGCTGAAAATTTCACGTTTCTATCTTGACTATAGACTTCAAAAAATTATCTAATTGTCTACAATATTCCAGGGAAAAAATGACCCAAATCATGTTCGAAACGTTCAACACACCGGCCATGTACGTCGCCATACAAGCGGTACTGTCCCTCTACGCCTCCGGTCGTACCACCGGCATAGTGCTCGACTCCGGCGACGGCGTCTCCCACACCGTCCCCATCTACGAGGGTTACGCCCTGCCGCACGCCATCCTGCGATTGGACCTCGCCGGCCGCGATCTCACCGACTATCTGATGAAGATCCAGACGGAAAGGGGCTACTCCTTCACGACGACGGCCGAGAGGGAGATCGTCAGAGACATCAAGGAGAAGCTGTGCTACGTGGCTTTGGACTTCGAGCAGGAGATGGCCACCGCGGCCAGCAGCACCTCCTTGGAGAAGTCGTACGAGCTGCCCGACGGCCAGGTGATTACCATCGGCAACGAGAGGTTCCGGTGCCCGGAGGCGCTCTTCCAGCCGTCGTTCTTGGGAATGGAGTCCTGCGGGATACACGAGACCGTGTACAACTCGATCATGAAGTGCGACGTGGATATTAGGAAGGATTTGTACGCCAATACGGTCCTGTCGGGCGGTACCACCATGTACCCAGGTCTGTATATTTTTAAAGAACAAATAATTGGTAATGGTCTATTAATACAGCCATATAAAAACGCTCTTTGTATATTATTTCAGGTATAGCCGATCGTATGCAAAAGGAAATCACCTCTCTCGCGCCGTCGACGATCAAAATCAAGATTATCGCCCCGCCGGAGAGGAAATACTCCGTCTGGATAGGAGGATCTATTTTGGCGTCGCTGTCCACGTTCCAGCAGATGTGGATATCCAAGCAGGAATATGACGAGTCCGGCCCTGGAATTGTTCACCGGAAATGCTTCTAGGTCGGAGGCCGTCTCTGATCCGATCATCGATCAGCGATCGACGCTGTTACGTCATTATTTTTTGTTATATACCCTCTCATTCAAATGAACTGTATGGATTTTTGTTGTAAATAAATTGATGCACTCCAAGTTTTTCAAATACAAGACATAAAAGTATTACCATAGAAAAAGAAAGAATCGCTCTCTTTCTCGCTCTAGAACTTATTTAAACGATTTTCAACCTTATGATTATGACAGCACTGATTGCTTCACTGAGTATTTTGATGTTTAAATATTAAAATAATTGTGAACGTTATAATTATAAATTAGTTTTCATTAAATTTTTCTTAGTTTTTTTCGAGCATTACGAATTTTCTTTTTATTTATTTTATCAAATCTCAACTCTTCTTTTTTTAAAATGTCACCATAACCTCAAACAAACTGTCAAAAACGCCAAACGAAACGTCAAAAATCTAACATAAACAACACAAAAATTCAACAAAAAAATGGTAAGAAAACGCTCGAAAAGTTCAAAAAAGAACACTAAAAGCGAAGACGAAGAACGTGATACGGACGAAGATTTTAACGAAGAAGAGCCGAAAATCAAGCCTAAAAAGTACAGCCTGCGACAGAGGAAGAAATTTCCAACGTTCAACGATGATGATTTCGAGTATGAGGATGATTTGCTGGGTGTTGATGAAGAATCATCGAAGACAAAATGCGACGATGATGATGAAGATTTCGAAGTCGGGAAGTTGAAGAAAGAGAGGAAAACTAAGAAAGATTTACCAAAAGATGAAAGGGTAAAGTTGTTTGGGTATTTTTAGGCGGTTATAAGTGGGTTTTAGTTAAATAACTAATTAGATAGTTCTTACGTGATACTAAGCTGTTATTTTCGATTTTTAGACAGTCTTCTCCGACGAAGAAATTCAAAAAGAAACAAACGAAAAGGAATCATCGTCCATCCCAGACGACTTGATCGATTTTGAGGACATCATCCGGGCGGACATCGTGATGAACAGAAATCGTATCGATTACGACAACGTCATTCAGAAGACCGAAATCAAAGTCCAAGTAAAAGACGAACAAAACAAACCGAAAGGTGAAGAAGAAATCTCTAAGTCAGAAGAAGTGAGTATTCAAAAAAGTTTCCCACACCATTGCATTTGTACTAATAATTATTTTTCAGCAGAAGAACAAAAGTAGAAGAGGAAGGAAGCCGAAGAAACGCAGACCGAGCAGCGACATTGACATAGACCCAACTCAATTTCTGGCGCCTCAAATACAAGAGAACGATTCAGATGAAGAGTACCACCCGTACGGGTACCACAAGTACAAGCCCAAGAGGCAGCGCAAGCCCAAAGCTCGCCCCGCCGGAGAAATCGACAGCAGTCTATTGGATGATTATATCGAAGAATACGAATTCGAAGACAGTGAGTTTGGACGTATAATTCAAATGAGTGGATATTTAACACCTAAATGGACTTGTTTTGGATGTTTGATTCTTAAAAAACTGATTGTATGGCAGATTACTAGACTCTGACATTGATGGTTTAGGGAAATTAGTGAAATGTAGTGTTTTATTCATCAAAAACTAATCAGATTACTAGATTGTGTGAATCGATAGATAGTTTGGGGGGTTTATTGAAGCTCCAAGAGCTCAAGACTAAGACATATTACCAAAATTATGCCAAAACAATGTGCTAGATGCATTATGAAGAATCAGTTATTATAAGTATGTAGATAGCATTTAACCGATTATATTACGAAATATCTAATACGAACCATTTTCATCGTTGTTACAGAACAAGATACCGATTACAATCCGAGGGAAGACATCGAGTACCCCGGCCTCGGCCTCGGGCTATCCAGCTACATTTTAGAAAAACAAATTATCGACAATTACCAAGGGATTGTTCATACTAATTCTAGTTCGTCGATTTCAATTCCCAAGCCAGTTACGTGTCGAAATAACGCAGATTCAAATACTGCTGGCTTATCAAAGTTACCATCACATGGTAATATATTCATTGCTTGCAATCATTTCGAGCTCTAATTTAAATTATTTTTGAAATTTCAGAACCTGTACGTAAACGGTCGGCACCCAGCACAGTAAAAGGCCAGGTAGAGGAAAAATCGTCGAAAATCGAGCCATCTGTCGCAGCAACACCAACAACTGAAGAATCTAAAGATGATGAATGTCGTGATGATGATAGTGATGACGGTACTCCGAGGCAGTTGAATGAGAAAAACGGCACATTCGAGAAAGTAGTTGTGGATGAAACTCTAAATAGTGATAATAATGTCGATGAAAGTGTTGGTTTAATGATGAATAGTGATAATGAGAAATTTATCAACGGGAAGCACATAGAGAATCCCGAGATAAATATAGTGGATTGTAAAGATGAAATCGAAAGTGAAGATGATGATATTGTGTTTATTGAAACTGAACGAACGATCATTGTTTTAGATGATTAATTGAATTTATAATTTATGATGATTAAAATTGATTTGATTTCTTCCTTTGTACCCATTAAAATCGATTGGTATGTTTGTTGCGATTTTTTTACCTATTAAACCCTTCAAATTAAATACACTTGAAAAAATTAAAAGACTTATTTTACCTATTCATCTCTAGAAAAAAAATACCCCAGTGTACGACCATGACTCCAGCTAACCTTCCCTAACCGCTCGTTAAAAAAAACCCACCCTGCTTTCCCTTTGATACCTACACCACCCCTCGCCAACCCTTAGCGACGGCACCGCCCCCGGAGCCCTTTTTACAGGAGCCTTCATCCAAGTAGGCCCGACCATTGGTCGTCAGGTTGGCCATGCTGCCGGTCGTTATTGGTCGGGCGTGCCTTGCTCTGTCCAATGCGCAATCGCATTTTCCCCTCACTGCTGTTTACCGGCGATTAAACCGGATTTATCGGGAACATTATTGAGTGTTTAACAAACGAGCGTTATCGGTAACGTGCAGCTGTTACTTGGACCGGCGGCGTTGCCAAATCGTGGGTTATTTCGCAGGCTTAGGGGAAATGAAAGTATAAAAATTGCCGGTTTTATTAATTAAATTCTACGATATAAAAAGAAGTAGTTCCAATTTACGCTCATAAAAAATAATAAATTAGCAAAACTACGAAGGTATATGTATACGTTTGTAGTGTTATAATTATTATAAAAGCTTATGTGGAATGAAAGAAAAAAACTCGAGGAGTTGGCAACACCCAAGAGTTAGTAGGATAGGTGTAAGAAGGGAGATTTAGAGGGTTGAGCAGATGAGGGGTGTAATATAGATACACATAATTTATCGAAAAATAGGGTGTTGTTGAATATTATGGGTTGAATATGTAAGGGTTGTATGTTGAAATTGTTGTTGAATTTACCGAATAGGTAAATTGATGTTGGCGTTTGGTTTTAGTTTCTAATGTACAGGGTCTATCTAACCCTTCTAAAAAAATCTTACAAGTTAGATTAATTCACTGTAAACTGTAGAATTTTATAATACTTACTAAAAATTGTATCGCTTGTAGGTACAGGTTGTTTTATAAAAATCCGCTCTTTTAAATTAATATTAACCAAATTTTATGAAGTAGGACATCTTCGAAGAATAACATATCCACATACAAATATAATACATGTTTGAACAGTAGAAGAGTATAACTTATGCATATCTGGTAATGCATAATTTCTGTATCACTGTAATAAAAATTATAATAAAATAAAACATATTTGAGAAAACCGCATGTTTTTATGATCAGGCTTTTAAAAATTATAAGCTCATTAAAGGGGCTTCTTTTAATTGGGACCCCCTGTATTTTATAAATATGCAAAAGTCCGTGGCGAAGATACAGATTTATTATTTTAATTAATTCGGGAAATCCTTCAGGTTTTTATTTATTTTTTGTTTTATAAACAAGAAGGATGACGCTGGATGCAAGATCTCTGATGCTGGGTGTTTAATCCAATAAATAGTCGAATTTTCAAGATAATTTCAGGCATTTCTTCTAATATTAAATCTTTATTAGTAAATGAACCCTTTTTTTAAAGTGATACATACATTGATTGTACATAGGATTGATAACAATCTTAACAATAACTAAACTCTTTAAAAACCAGTAAAAAAAGTGTACAATTTGTATAAGAATCTTCTATTAAACAACTGTTAAAATAAATATTTAAAAAAACTATTAAACGAAAAAAAACGGTGTTAAAAACTCCCTCTTGCCTATTACAAATCAAACCGAATCCACCCATGCACATTAAACACCCATTACACAACATCCCAATATATCCGCCCCTAAACGTAGATATATCGCTCGTATAACGAATACCCGACGCCTATGCAGCTACAACTATAGCTGTATAGCTAGACGGAGAAGCGGCGTTTCGCGCCGATGGGGCCCCCATCAGTCCCGCCTTCGATCTCCGATTGTTTCGCGCCCCGAGCTCTCTAGATTTCGATAAGCGCAGTTCGCGTCGCATCCGGACGGTCGCGGATTACTTTGATTTTCGTCGCGGCCACGGTTTTTTTCGAATTTTTTTTTTCGATTTTCAATAAACCAGAAGGGCGCTTTTTTAAAAATTCGGAGGCTGTTTTTTTTAATTTTTTTAGTTAAGTAAATCAGTAGTTTCAAATAATTTATTTTTTTGAATCGAGTGCGCTTGGTTGATTGTCGAGATTGTTTTAGCTGGGGAATTTTTTTGAAAAGGGTAAGTTTCGCTTATATTCACTTTAAAATAATGTAGTGTTTCTCAAGGTAATTTTTAAAATATATCTAATTATATTTTTGGACGTTAATTAATTAAAAAAGATTATTTATCAAACTCGCAAGATTCTAATAATACCTACCTTTCTTTAAAATAATATACCTAAAGGTATTACTCCTATTTTAATAATTATTCAAATAAATAAATGTTTACCTATAATTATTCAAGGGATTTTGGGAAAATCTGCATAGAAGATAACAGTTTACGATTCGCCGTTTGGTCACCAGATGTTCGGAAAATTTAACCATTAAGGAATTATGAATTACCTTTAGCGATTTTTGTTGCCTAAGTAATTCTTAAAAGGGCACCGAATACAGGTAGAGAGAATAATAAACTGAATAGAGGAATTTTATAATATTAAGCCCATAAAAATGTTGTTGCTCATTGTGAAGAAACAACAAAAAATTGTCGCTGCTGATGTAATAACATCAAGCATCATCATTTCTCAATTTCTAAACTTTTAACGAATCTCCCATCATTCACAATTATTTTCCACGACAGCGATTGACTTTACGACGTGCCCGATACACAAAAAAAAACACCCTCCATTTTTCTCCTTTTCCTCGTTCAATTACGAAAACAAAACGCTTTTCTTCTTACTCGACTTTACACTAATGGTCGCGTGTCGCATACACCGGAAAATAATGAGTGTAATGATGGATAAAACACGGCCGCTCCACAAATAAAAGAAGACAATGTATAATTGACCGCCTTGTATAACTGACTCTACACCCCTCCGGGAGGAAGTTCGCCCCACGGGGGGCCCCTTATAATTACCCAAATTATGTGACAAGAATTGAATGTCTCAGAGTTACCAGAGCACCTTGTATAAAATTTTATCATCCAACAGCGTTTTCGCATAAATTGAAATTAATCCCTCGGGGGTGGATAAATGGTATTAAAATGAATAAGCTAGTATCAAATTTCGCACAGGAAAAAAATACCAAAGACCACCTATCTAGTATAAGGGCTCATTCCCTTCCGAAAGGCCTCTATATACAGGGTATACCCGGACACATGCCAAAGATATACACACAAACACGTGTGTGTCGAATATATCAAGAAAACGCCTCGTCTTTACTAAAAACGTTCAGACGTTCCCGCAGGAACTGGAAGATTATGCAGGATTAACCGTGTGCAATTAACCGGGGATGCCCGTAAACATGACGGGGGGTTTAGGTAACGTTTAGAAAAATATTTTTTGTTTTCTTTCGCCTTGCATTTAGTTCAGGGAATATGAAGAACATCGGTAGTTTCTTCCGGATGTCATGGGTATTGGTGAACTCTAAATCTAACTTCGATTTATTGGCATAATATTTGGTTTAAATTAAGTAAACAATATAGGATCATGGGGTTGCTAATGTTTGAATATTGTTAATCATTTGCGGTAAAGTTGGAACTTATGATGGTCCAGATGATGCTGGTTGATTAGTAAGTACCGAATATTCTTTATTCATTCGATAACTTATAAGTAATGCAAAAATAATTAATAATTAGATAAATTAGATTAATTACAGGAATAGTCAAAAATTCTGATGATATGATCATTGAAATCCCACGATGACACTTCTTGTTAAAATGTCCAAGATTAGGTATACTCATTGAAATAGTGAAGTGTTTATATCTGTGTTAATACAATATTTTTCTTGTATACAATATACAATAACCGTCTCACATCGAGCAATTCACCCATTCAACCCCGATACCTCATTAATTCCTCTAATCCCCGAAAATATTCCCTCAAAACTCAACGAAAGCATCGGCCATTCCGCGCGGATTACAGCACGGCGTTGCTGGTGTTGATTTTTCCTTTCGCTCCCCCGTCGCATCCTCCAGATTTTCCTCTCGACGACCGGCGGGACGTCCTGTCGAAGGCCGCGGGAGCGGAAAAGCAGGGGGGAAAAGCGCACGCTCTCCACTTACGCTTATTGCTTCTATTATTGTTAGACATGTTTCCAATTGAGCATTCCCGCTTCCCGTTTATGAGTGCTTTGAGACGGGATTACTGCGGGTGTTGTTTGCTTTGCGATTTGTACATTTCAAAAGCCGGGACTAAACGGGAATAGTATAGAATTTTTATTAAAATTGAAGACTCTGACGATGACTTAGGTAATATAATTAGGGTACCTACTGATGATGGGTGTGACAATTATTTTATGTCTTGTGTGATTGTTTATGATAAATTTAGATTCTAATAAAAGTTGAGAACAATTTTTTGCACCAGAAATCACACAATTTTAAATGAATACACCATAAAGAAAGAGTAATAATAAATGTTTTTATGTTAAAAACGGTACTTAAACGTATCCTGCATCCCCATATTCTGTAAACAAGTCCATTTTCAACACTTTCACGACCAATAAATCAGATTATGCAGAGCGAGGAGAGACCGGGGGAGAATTTGTGGATTTGGGGTTTTCCCGCTTTTAGTGAAATAAGTTTGCGATTCAACAAGCCCCTGTATATATAAATCAACAACTTATAAAATATATATGTTTCCCGGATTCAGTTTATGCGGTCAAAGTCGACCTTGAAAGGGAATAAGGGTCACAAATATTGGCAAAGAAGATGATATTTTGTGCTTATTAAGTAAACAAAGTCACCATAAAAATTGTTTAAATTATAATATTAATAATTAATGTGATTAAAGGATTTTTTACCACATTTATCAAGCATCATAAAATTTTATTAATCGTATTAAAATTAATTTTGATTAGTAGTTTCTCCATTTACTGTTGTTCGCGAATCTCCTTGTATAATAATTTCAAATTGTACCTTGGAAAAATCTTTTCGTTATTGAAAAATTTCCTGCTCTATCTACATCGGCCGGTTGTTATAAAGGAATGAAGCGAAAAAAGCGATAGCAATCGAAGTATTCGCGTTCACAAGGGGATTTCTCGGGATGTTTTTCCATTCAATCGCCAATTATCTTTCGATCAATAATCGATTCCGTTTCCGTATAAAAAGCGAATACTGCAGAGGGTCGAAATTACCCGCACTCTTTATATAAAGGACGAAGAAAAAAGGATTCGCATTGTTTTATCGATGAAGAGATCTCTGAGGTGAATGGGAAGCTGCGATTATTCGATAATTAATGCGAATAATTATGTAATTTTAATATTCATGGGGTGTCTAGGGTATGAATTTATACATTGTGGCACAAATAGGATATGTTCTTTTGGTGTATACGAATCACCATAGGTACAATACTGAAATAAGTGAAATATGGCCGGCTTTATAAGAAAAAAATAAAAAAAACTGTGGGCGCTGACCATTTGTTGACATAATTTTAAAGCAAACTCGGCAGCAGACACGTTTTTTTTGTAACTTGTTTTCTCGTCTTGTATTTATTTCTCTTCGACAACTTATCTATACAGGATGTCCCTTTATAGAAATGTGTCATCAACAACACTATCTTCGCATTCGTTACGAATCACCCTGTATACAAATATATAAATATTCGTTAACAAATCAAAGAGAACTCCCGTAAAAGAATAACATTCAACAAACACGCCCAGACCGATTTAACCCTTGAAAACTGGTATGTTTATAGTTGTGCAAGAGGGTTGGAGTTGGAGAAATCGTATAGTTTCCAAAGCGACATTCTCTCACGAAATTCCGGGTAAATATGGCCGTCAGGACATGAACAGGGAGTAAAATAAATATAATTTCGTACAGCCAACTCGATGGGTTCGTTAACTAACTAGACGTTTAGGCTCCATAATAGAGTTTTATGCGCGACTGTAGTGTATACGGTAGTATCTTTAAAGAGCTACTACTCTTTAAAAAATGGATATATTTTTATGAAAAAATTTGTGTATATTCTACATATACCATTCTATTTGTGACTACATTTTCAACACTTTAAGTTGCATGGTTTAGTAGTAGTTAATTTATGAAAATGCACAAACACAAAATAAATGAGAAAGGCTATACAATTATCGTACATCAGTTTATCCATACATAACTAAAACGATATTTTAGATGATTTTTGACATTAAAATGAATTTTAATGCAGAACAATTCTAATTTGATGAAAAATTGTTATTTAAATATTAATTCTCCGCCATACAAACTCAATATTATTTACTAACAAAACCCACCTACAAGCCAGCGATAAAGTCTCCTTTTTCTCCGTTATTAATTATTATTATTATATTGTTTCGGCGTATTATACGCGAGAGCACAGTTTGTTCTTTGTTCTTGTTTTATTTTTCGTTCAGTTTCAGCCGTTCGCTTTTATTGAAATGAGTTTTCAGCTCGAAATTTATGAACTTTAACGTTCCGGTGTATCGGATGTCGGGGTTAATTCGACATTGTTTGGTTTGCTTTGTTTGGACTTGAGACCGAGAACTCGACGCACGGGCGTCCCCTGACCAAGGGGGGAGGAAAAAACTACGTAATAATCCGGCTACCTCGTTTCCTTCGTCATACTTTTCTTCCTTTTTCACTAAACCAATTACTCAATGAATTAATCAATGAATTACTCTGAGGGATTTGGTCCGTTAACAAAGCGATTGTGGTTGAAGTGTTTTGGTGGTTTCCGGATTCCCGGAAAATTAAATACAGTCTACGCCAATGGAGAGTGAAATGACTGAAGTCTATAGATTGCATTCAAATGTTTATTGACTGTTTTCGGAATGCGCCCGGGACGTAAATCAACTTTTATATACGAGTTTCTGTTGCGTGTTGTGTCTACAAATTTGTAGAAACATTCAATTTCGAATTTTCTTTTTTACATGTCAATAAACTGCACTAATGTTTTTTTTGTTGTATTCCGAATGTGACTATTTTATACACGGAAGTATGATTGTTTTAGTAATAAATGATAATCGGTATGTATTAGGCAGTAATAGAATATCTTACCTACTGTAAAATATAAGCGTTTCTGTGGAACGTCAATAAAATCCAAGGAGTAAGCATTTTTATGATTAAACTCCGTATTGTTTGTTATTTTAGCTGGGATGTTTCATTTGTGCGATATTATGAGAACCTATTACTAATAAATTAATCATACAGTATGTTCTTAGAAATGCTGATTGTCCTACTTTCCTCCTTTTTTCCTTCTACTTAAATTCCTACCTCAATTTAACAGGAATCAATTGTTGTTTTCATGAAAAAAATAAATAAAACCTAATTACCTATTTAATTAAAAAATGTCTATAGTAACTTAAATATTTTAGGAATTTTTAGCAATAGAACTGCAACAATATTTCATAATTAACCTTCAATAAATATTATTTTTTTTTAATTTTGACTTACAATCCATTAAGTGATTGTCGAAACGCCCTGTATATAATTATTATTAAAATTAAATTCGTAAGAAACGAAAATCCCAGAACGAAGTCAGCAACATCATACACGGGGTTTTGTTTGAAAAACATTCATCGACTTTGTTATACATATTTTAGAAGCAAGGTCTTCAAAACACTGGCTCAGCATTTTTATGATATTATGACATGACCATGGGAAAACAACAGGGTAGAGTTTCTTTACTTATTATACGATGTTTTAGTCATTTTTTTGAGCTCCTCATAAGTCGTTGGTTAAAACAGTTTACGGACAGTTCGCGAGAATATTCGATTGAATTAATAATGAGAATGTGTTAAAGTGTTGAAAGGAACGTTTGAAAATGAATATGACCATTATGGATATACTCAGACCGGAGGAAATTAAAATCGAAACTGTGGTTATTGAGGATATAACAGGTTATTTTTTTTTCAATAATTCATTTATGTTATAATAGTAAAAGGAAAGTTATTTGAATATTCTAAAATTTGCCATAGTTTAACGTTTATTTATGAATGTGTTCTCCAACCTTTACTAAAAATTAAAAAAATATAAATTTAATTAAAAAAATTAAAAATATATTGAACAACCTTAAAAAGTGCCATCTCAAACCTTCAAATACCTTTAAAAAAGTTTTATTTTTTCGATTTTACTAAATAAATATAAAATCAATTAAAAAAATCCTTTGAAAAAAGAAAGTGCTATAATAAATAATGTTTAACGACCTAACGGAAGCTTTTTCTTAAAAAAATCATATTATTATTATCTTAAAAACTGATAATAACTTTAGGTAATGTATAAAAGTCCAAAAATTGAAGCAATGAAAACTAAAATAAAATTATTTGTAACACCACAAATTAAAGACAAATCAATATAATACTTTTTATCAACTTCTGAAAATAAAATCTCTCATTTATTTCATTATCTGGCGTTTGTTTACAGCAATTATTGCCCGTCCATTGTTATGTAATAAAATTTTATTTATATACGCAGATTTTAGCAACAGTCAGTTATAATTTACTATTACTTAATACTATATTTTGTCTTCATTAATTCTATAACAAAATACTTTTTACACGCACAAAGATAAATATTTATAACAGGTACCTATTTATTTATCTCCAGTAATAACATCTTATATACCTACCCACTGACAATTACATTATTTATTATTCTTGGAGGGACAATAGAAGAATTTACCCGATGGACTGTGAGAACCTGCACTCCTGACGGGTTCCCAAATGATAAAATTCAAATGAACCCAACTATTTTGTGACTGTATAGTACCGATTCAATTTACGGTACCAATACCACTACCAGCCACCAGTTATTGCCTCCCACCTGTGGGAACTTATTTCACTCGATTAATTATTTACTGTATAAATACTAGAAAAGAAAAGTGGCGTAATCGCATGAGTAGCTCAAGTACATCTTTATATGTTATAATAAAGCGCTGGTAGGAGTTATTTATGTATGACCGCGGGACATCCTGTATAATAAATCGGCAATTAAAACAACGCCGGCATCCTCTTCGGCATCGATTCGACGAGGTCTATAAAAATCGTTTTGTTATAATCCTATTTATATACTACATTCTGTTGTCTTTTCCTTCGGATGACCCGCTGAAGCCGCGCCAACGCCGCGAATTCCGGGAAGAGCTCCGAACAAAAGCTTTCCAGCTTTTGTATCGTTTCTCTGAAAAATTACATTTACACGCCGAACGGGAGATTTCGTTTCGCATATACGCGAAACGCATTAGCGCGAAATAATCCGTGTGGTCAGCGGGGGGGGCGAAAATCGCCCACGAAATATTCCTGCTATATCCCAATAAATACAACTGGAATTGGAACGGTGTATTTTATTAATCGGGAAAGGATTAATAGGAGGCGATTCGTGACTTTTCTCCGAATCGCCGGCACGTTTTCGCTACCGATTCGAAGATAAATACAAAGTGTACACACATAATGCACTTACTATAGGGAATATATCGGTGAATTACCGCAAATTTGTATGTACTTTGTGCATTAAGTGCAGTACAAACAAAAGTGCACGTGCTAAATGCCCAATTATACAAGTGTTAATTACATATCGACAGACACGTTCGCGGGATTATCGTTTTTGCGAGATTTGGCTGGCGAAATTGGGCGAAAAATGCCATAGAAAAGTATTTTTGAGCAAAGCCGATAGTCTTGGATCGATCGTTAATTAGGCACCAAACAGGTGTGAAACCAACGATTTACGATGCTTATAAATAGTGTAAAAAAAGGGTCCATTTCACGCCCGCAATTCGTCTAACGTAATTTCTTAATCCTCTTTGATGGTTTCTGCTCGCGTACACATCCTCTCTCCACCTATTCATCCCGACACGTTTTCCTTCCGTTTAACGTTTATATACAACCCTCGAAATATTTTTTTTACCATTGACGTACGTAGAGGATTCATTCATACACTCCATATTCATATTTGCACCGTTCTTCTGTCAGTAAAATAAAGAAATGAGGCGATTAAAATATAGCCTTTAAAACCCGTTTAAATAATGCTAAATGTGTTATTACATTCAATTAGATGTTTCTTAGTAAAATGTTAGTTACGCCAATGGTTTAACACCTTTAATAACGCCCCAAATGAATGGCCATTGGTAAATTCTCCCACGACATTAAGAGGTGCAAGAAAGATCAATTACAATCCTAAAACGTGACTTCACGTAAAATAACAAACAAGTGATTTTGAGCAAGGACTAAGTAGAAATCGAGCGACAAAAAGGGCATTCTTGGATTTCGGAAATAAAAATAGGCTTATCCAGGTATTTCGGAATTTATTGATGGTTTTTTCGAGGTTCTTCGAAATTTATTAGATTCGTTTTAATTGTTTGAGCTTGTTAAATGGTTGAATGAGTTTTTCAAAATGTGTTAAAGTTCGTTTTGTTAACCTTAATGTAATTTAATAAGAAATTAAAAAGTGGAACTGTTTTATTTTTAGTAGGTATCTAATATTAGTTTCATTTACTACGATAATTAATTAGTAATCAATATTTAATATAATTTAACATCATTTACGTTTATGAAAAATTCTGTACATGAGTATAAGAAAATATTCTTGTGAACATAGTTCCAAAAATCATAAAGAAATCTGTCAATGAAATTCTTATTTTTTTGATCCACCCCGTACAAACCCTTAAAAAAGGGGCGGATCATTACCAACACACCTCGTGCAAGTGGAGCCAACGCCAACTAAGAATCGACCAAAAAGTTGTTGTCGATGACATTTCGGTTTTCAACCTGTTTATTCACTTGAACGACCACCGCTTACTTCAGTTGGACGAGCTAGGTGATTCCATTGATTATTATCGGTTATTCGGGGGTTTTCCAAAATTTTCGAAACAGATGGTGCAAATGGCATGAGGCACGTTTAGGCAGGTTAGCCCAGTTGGTTTGAACAAGTGCAACAAACAGGTGGAATATTTTTTGTAAAAGTAAAATTTTAGTTCGTTTGGTTTGTTTTTCTAAAATCTAAAATGAAGTTTGTACCGGGTAGTACTAATGGGAAATATACACCTAAAAATAAACGTAAGTTTGGTCCTTTCTTTTCGAGATTTTATGTAGTTTTGTTATTTTTTTTTGAGTTTGTAGTATCCTAAAAATTTCAAATCCAAGCATCCAGAAATTCCACAATTTCTTCGTAATTCTACGATTAATAAATTGTGAAATAAAATGGTAGTCTCAAATATTTGAATAAAACATCCAGTTGCTCCTTTCGAGTAGGCCCTTACATTTAAAAAAAATCCATCCCGGAAACAGAATAAAATGCAAATTCTCCCGAGTGCTCTCCACCGATTTTGCCTCGCATTCAAAAGGCTCCTTCGCAAGATGAATTTATTCATTATTTCCCTTCAATTAAAATTCCCTGGCGGAATAAATTTCCCTAATACTTATACAAATATAATTCGATAAAAAAAGATTGTTACAATGAACATAAATAATATAAAAATTTGAAGAATGTTGGAAGTACTCCTATAGAGAGAATTGGTGAGACTTGAAGAAGGCATTGGAAATATGTTTGAAAATGCGTTTGTTTTCCATCAACCTTTAATTCTTTTACTGCAAATTATTCTGTTCTTTTATATAATTTCCACACTGTATAATATAGGGATTCGTTGTTTGTTGCAGTAGCCGGCGCCCTAGGGGCGAAAGGTGCCATGAAGGAGAAGAGCAAGAACGCGGCGCGAAGCAGAAGGGAAAAGGAAAATGCGGAATTTTGCGAACTGGCGAAACTCCTGCCACTCCCGGCGGCCATTACCTCTCAATTGGACAAAGCTTCCATCATCAGGCTCACGACATCCTACCTGAAAATGAGGCAGGTTTTTCCCGACGGTGAGTTACGCATTTTACAGACAATTTAAATATAAAATTAACGAATTATTCTATCACTTTGTCACATCAAACTTATCTTAAGAAAGTATTTAATTTGGTACATACACGATTCATATGGTAATTAATTTTATTACTCAAATAAAATATGATTTATTCAGGAATTAATTAAGATGAACGATATCAGATCGGAATATTTCTATAGAACCGTGAGCTTGAAAAGCGAAGGTATTGAAAGACACGATAAAAATCAGGAAAAAAAAAATCTATTGGATTGACAATTTGTTTCTATAGGAGTATAAATTTCACACACAGGGTGATTCAAATAATTATCTATAAATTATAATGTAGTAGTAGTAATAGTACATCATCATCGAGCGCAAGGTGTTTTTGTTGCAGGCTTGGGGGACGCCTGGGGAGCCAGCCCGATCCTCCCGAATCCCAGGGACACGCCGATCAAGGAACTGGGATCCTATTTGTTGCAAACCTTGGACGGATTCATCTTCGTCGTCGCCCACGATGGGAAAATCATGTACATATCGGAAACGGCCTCCGTGCATTTGGGATTGTCACAGGTGAGGTCGGAAATAAATTCGAAAATCTTCCTTATGAGGAAGCTTTAAATGTATTATAGTTTAGTTGTTAAGTAACGAAAGTTATGAGGAAAATCTGCACGGTATATGTGGTTTTTTCCCAGGTAGAACTGACAGGAAACAGCATATACGAATACATCCATCCGGCCGATCACGAGGAAATGACGGCCGTCCTGACACCGACGATGTATCCTCCGGGCGTAGCGCCCTTGCACGAGCACGAAAGCGAAAGGTCCTTTTTCCTGAGGATGAAATGCGTCTTGGCCAAACGAAACGCTGGACTCACCAATAGCGGTTACAAGGTATAGTTTTTCCCTTTGATTTTATTGTAGATAAATTTCCCTGTTTCAGCAAATTTATTGTGCCAATTTATATAGAATTTAGACATGTAGTTTCGATTAAATGTAACTATACAGTATCGTACTTGAAATGCTCTAAGGTATATTAGCATTTAATAAGGATTTGGAACTATTCAAATTACCGAAAATAATTGCACAATAATCAAAAAAATCCCTGTAATTTCGCTATATACAGCAACACATCCATCACAAATTCGGGGCACGCGCGGTATATTGCTAATATTTAACTAGTAGTACTAATTAACAAGAACAAATTAGCATTTTGTGTGTTGTGCGAAGCTCGAGATTTTTAATTACCTTTCATATTCCACATCAAAGACACAACACTAGATTATGCTCGTGTCGCAGTCGATGCGACAAAAATGCATATGTATGTGCATATGAATGCGAGAAGAAACTCGCATACTACAAAACATTTGCATATTACAACCTAATTACACGATTAGGTGCATTTATTATGCAAATCTCGCACTGTTGTATTCATTATCTTTTTTAATTAATTGGAGTTTTTAAATCGTTCTAGATTAGCTATAATTATTCAATTAGAGTTGGTGGAAAATATGGATTTTCATTAAATGAATACATTCCGGGAAAAATGGATATTTATTCGAACACACGACTATTGTTATCGACGTGTGATTGTTTCTTTATTTTCTTTCTGTAATTACTCGTGGGCTCTTTGTCCCGTATAAAATGTATCAATGGAAAATCGTAAAATATCGCCGGTAGTTTTAATCCGGTAAACGAATTCATGGCGGTGCGATCGTGACTTGGACAAAAGCTAACCGGAGCGCATTGAAAACGAGTAATAGAAATTTAATTGCGCATGTCGTGCATGTGCTGATAATGATTTGTAGATGTAGAATTCAGGAAAATATAGTCCGGGGAGTATAAATACCCTTTAAATAAAAGCTATACAAAATGCGGTACTGATGTTAAGTTTAGTCGAAGCAAAAGGCTTGTATTCAGAAACGTTTTTTTGCCTCCGCAGGTGATACATTGCTCAGGATATTTGAAAGTGAAGCCTTTAACAGCAGTAGCGGGTCCATACGATGCAAATTACTGCCAAATCATGGGACTGGTCGCAGTCGGGCATTCCCTTCCGCCTAGTTCCATTACGGAAATAAAGTTGCATACGAACATGTTCATGTTTCGTGCCAGTTTGGACTTGAAATTAATTTTCCTCGACGCCAGGTGAGTTTAGATAAAATCGAGTGGAATATATCGATTCGGAAAAAAAGGAATAAGAGGCACATGCATGGAGATGATCATAAAATATATCCAGATGCATCGGTTCTCATGCACCAATTTGCTGTTATGAAACTAAAAACCGTAAAATAGTATCGAGTTCCTATTGTATGGTGTTTTAGTTTGAGTTTAAATGCACCATCATCATCGAGTTAAAGTGGTTATTTGATCGGCAAAGATAAATAATTAGTTGCAGCGAGAGCAGTATGGGCAATATTTGATTTCAAAAAATTTAATGTTTAATTTTTTGAAAATCTTCACTAAGAACTAGCGTGGTTTTTGTTCCTTTTTTTATTAAAATTTCCCAAAAACCGGAAAACTCAGTTTCAAAAACTTATTTACAGGGTGGCCCAATTAACCGGCTATGAACCACAGGATTTAATTGAAAAAACTCTTTACCATTACGTACACGGGAGTGATATTTTAGCATTAAGGTTGTCACATCATCAACGTAAGTATACAATTGAAAATAGTTGATATGCCTATTTAACGATTATTTTTCCTAATTTTCAGTGTTATGTAAAGGACAAGTGACCTCGAAATATTACAGATTTCTATGCAAAGGCGGAGGATGGGTGTGGATGCAAAGTTATGCCACAATTGTACATAATTCTAGATCATCAAGACCACACTGTATAGTATCAGTAAATTATGTTTTAAGGTAACTATTATTTTTTATATACGTTTATAAAATTTGCGCAAAAAGAGTTTAAATGAAGACATTATGAAAATAAGAAATTATCTAAGGGTCTTCGATTTTCAGCGACTTTGAAGCCAAAGAACTCGTACTGAACGCGGTCCAAGGAGCACCGCGCGAAGACCTCCCATGCTCCCCCAGGTCTCCGCTAACCGCCGCCCCCAGGAGTCTACCATCACAACAAAAATTCACCCCGACGCATACACCTAGTCATCTATCGTCCAACGTCATCGCCCAAACCGCCCAAAATTCCCTCACCGAAGACGACTTCAGCGACTCGATATCGTACTCGTCGCTGGAGTACTCATCGGGCTTCGTTCACTACAACAACGAGGAGGCGTACTACCACCACCTGGACATGTTCTACCCGTACTCGGACCCGGAGGTCAGCCAGCCGCACGTGCTGGGCGCCGCTCAGAAGCGCCCGTTCAGCGCCAGCTCGTCCTCCTGCAGCTCCACCGAGAGCGAGGTGCACCTGCAGGTGCTCAACGGGAACAGTTACTCTGCGGAGAATCACAACCATCACTGCGGTTTCGGGGCAATCGGCAATTGCTTCGATAATAACAATCAGAATCAGGGCCAGAATTGGCACGGGCACGATTTGAAGCCCGTGCCAGTGGCCCATTCTGCTGGGTATACCAGCGTTATTGTCGAAGCCCAGCAGTATCAGTTGAACGAGTACCAACGATGTCAGGTATAGTCGAATTTAATTAGAATAGTGAATACGCAATTGCCGATTCTTCAGAGATTCCAGGAGATTTTTCATAGTGATTTAAGTGTCCGCGACGTTGCCGATTTTATTTAAATTTCAAGTGATTCTTCTCACCGAGTTATCGCAAAATGCGAGTTCTATCATTCTATTAATTTGTCTAATATTTTACATCGAGCATATTTTTATATTACTACATACCTTTTTTATTAAATGTATATTTTTACTTGTACCCGAACTTCGTGCCATGAAGATTTTTTGGAACATATAGGGTGATCAATGTGAGAGAAAGTAACCTACAGTTAACTAACACACATACAGTGCGTCTAAAGTCAAGCGCTACATTCGTCCGCCGATTCATCGCGCCGAAGCCGCGTCTCTCCACAGTTCGACTGATTCTCTCTTTCTACTGTTTGCAGCGCTCGAACATAGACACTCTGTATAAAGTAGGTAAAAAAATTAAATGCCTATAATTGTAAAACAAATCATTAACTTGATACCTTTATGTGGACCAAAATATTCTAAAATCTCATAATAAGTAGGTATTTTATTTTATTTGTCGCTCAGTGGACGATTTTTAATTGTATCTACTTTGCTCTTTTAAGATTACTTTTTTATATGTATGTATATTCGATTATATTTATATAGATATGACAATAATTTTTGACTGTGAATATTTTGTAAATAGTGAAAAATGTAAAAAAAGAACTAATTTCTAAGTACATATTGTATTAATAATATATTTAATAACTGTCCTATTCAACCAAATAAAATTTTTCTGTTATTTTTAATGTTGTTTCGTTAATGTGTCATCTACAGGTTGCTCTAGTACAGCATGTCGTATATAAAGAATAAATATAATTAACAAAAACGACAGTGCATTTTCAGCCGGTAAAAGTTCCATTAAACACAAATCGCCCTGTACAGAGTAATTTTCCATAAGCCACTCGAAGGAAGAGGAAGCACCGAACAGCCTCTGTAAACTGTATAATAATTGGTAGAAAATCTTTGTGCAAACATATCAGATATTGCGACACGTAAAACTGAAGCGATTGTGTGCCGTCTCCATGGATACCGGGGGGTGGTTACCGACCGCCCCCATCGGGTTGTCATTAGCGACGGTCGTTTCGACTGCTTTGCTTACTCTGCCACTTCACTATTAACTATACAGGGTGATTGTCGCTTTAGATAAACGAATATTAATTACAATTGGGGCAAAACAAATATAAATTGCACCGATAATAGTAGAGATTACGAGCGTTTTATCGATCGAGAAATACGGTGTAATAATAAACAAATATCCAAATACATGTTGTTTTTTTTTATTAAATATGACTATTCCGTTGCTACAAAAACAGAATTACATTGCAGTAACATACATGATAAATAAAATAGTACATAAAATCACAATAAAAAGCTAATACTGGTTTCATAGAGTAACTAGTGGAGGTAATATTGTAAAAAAATTGGCGAAACTTTGTTTGTGGCAGGCATTTCAATACATTGAGAATCTCAAACTTTATAATGAGCATTTCAATAGAAAAATTAATTGTAAACAGCACCGAAATGTATATGTATAAAACTAAATTGGCATATTTACAAGTTCCTACTAGTAACAATACCCTAATATAAAAAAATTGTTTTAGGTAACGAAGAAATTTCGAAAATAGCGCAATTTACACTAAAAGTTTTCTCCAAATATTTAACACAGATTCAAGTTCACTCATAGAAAACTCATAATATAAAGTAAACTTTTTTCAAAATCGAGATCGCTTTGAGTACGGACAGTTAATTTTACCTAAAAATCTAAAATGACATTAGTGGTAATAAGTCTCATAAGAATACCCTTTATAGTACTAAGGGTTTGTTTTATCAATGCACTGACAAATCCACCCTACAACTACATATTTATGTACAAGTAAGATATGAGTGTTAATTAATAACTAGCCACAAAATTACTTGATCATCGGGCTACCTAGAAGATTCTCCTTAAACCTAATCTCACAATAATCCCGTGCCTAACTCCTATGATCGCCCGCGTCTCTACTCTGCTCGATCCTCAGCCTCTTCTGCTGTTCCTGCTTAATGAACAAGCTCAGCCTATCCAACAGGAACTGCTTATCGTGCCCTTCGAGCACCAACTGGTTCTTCAGCACCCTCACCAGCTGCTTATTAGCCAAATTAACAGCGGTGTAGTAATAGAGCAGCAAAACGAGCACCACGATGCACGGTATGGCGAACCCGGCGGTGCCCAGGAAGAATATCACGCTTTGCAACCAATCCGGCGTGCGCCTGAACAGCCCTACGGCCAAAGACCACACGGAGGCCTCGCCTTTAAAGGGCCCGCAGGCCTTCGAAGGCGTCAGATCCGAGAAGGAGAAACCGAGCGGTATCGAGGCGAAAGCGAACGATATCAACAGCACGAACATGAACAGCGAATTCGACCGGGACGCCCTGTAGACGATCGGACTCGGTCTGCAATTCACCGTGCAAGCGAACCGTTTGATGTAGAAGAGAAAGAAGAACATTATGGCGCCCATGAGGGATATCAAAGGCGCGTAGAATATCCCGAACCAGATCAATGTTTGCGTGTAAACGACGTCGAGCGCGTGCTTCGGCAGATCGAAGTGTTGCTCGGCGAAGAATTTAACGCATTTATTTTCGACGTGTCTAGCCAATAGGGCTCGAAGGGAATTGATGATGAGCGTTACGACCACCTGTATGGCGAAATCGGTGAGCAACAATTTGTAAATCTGTTGCCCCACGTAAGACTCCCAACACACGGGTGTCTTATTGTACAAGCTACAACCTTTAATCTGGGAATCGTTCACTTTGCTCCACAGCGAAGCGTAGAGCACGATTAGAGCGGATAGGCGCAAGAAAACGGTGCGTATGAGGGAGAATTTGAGCTCGCTCAGCGGCTTGTACTTCTCGAAACCGATCAGAAACTTGAACAAATGCGGCACGGTCATATTCAAACCGACTATAGTAAACGACGGCAGAAACTCGTAGAACAAATTCTCGTACGTATCCTCCGTTTGGCTCAATCGCTCCGTGGAAAACCGGAATACCAAATAAATGACGCAACCGCAACCGCCCAATATGGCCAACACCGCCGTGTTGACGATCGCCCTGCTGAAATAAATCTTGTATTTCTCGTGCGCCGTGCGATTCCGGATCTCATCCTCTAATCGCTGCGTCTCCACGCCGGCTTTGAGCTCGTTGTAAACGACCTTGTGCTTTATGTCGGCCGCCCGGCGATTGCGCACGCAGAAATCCCAACCGCCGAACACCAGGCTCGAATAGTGATAGAACTGGCCCTGGCCTTCGATGAGGCGCTCTTTGAACCCCGACGCGGCCGCGTTGAGCGCCGCAAACGCCGACACCACGAAACACAATATTACTATCAACAAATACGCCACCGGTAAGTTATAGTACCACCCTTTAATCGAGTAGCTGAGCGGTTCGCTCGAGTAGTACCCGTAGAAGAGTAGAGTGTGCTCCAATACACCCGTACCTTGGATTAGATCTAAGAATTTGTTGGATTCGTTGGGGAGGAATTGGAGTTGTTCGGGGCCAGTGCTGGTTACGTTGGGACAATACGCGCGCTTGTTGGTGTTGGTATCTAAAAGAATCGTGGGTAGAACTACGAAGGCGAATATCAAAGCGAATATGAATAGATTGAGCATGAATAGCCACTTGACGAATATGAAGTAAGAGAGGATGCCTACGCCGTAGTTGCCTTCGATCGATCGCATTGAGGAGCCCCAGAGGTTCAGTTTCTGCAGGTGCTCTACCAGACGGGCTTTCACGTGATCCCACATTTTTCGTCTCTTCCACTTGAACTGCTCGTAGCCTTGCAGGCGCAAGTTCGGCTCGTTCTACAAAGGATAAAACGCATATCAAAAATTGAAAAAAGTATAATAAACCACAATATTTGATAAGCAAAAAAAATTATCTGTTATCTATTGTGAGGATTTACATATGTTTCAATGATGATACATGTTTTATTGTTATAGCAAATTAATGTATTTAATCTTGTTCGAAACGGATATTGGCAATTACGAATTATTACCATATGTTTCAATATTTCGATGGAATTCATCGTTGAGATAAATTAGAAAAATCTATTGGTATTTTATTACTGATCAATTTGAACCTTTTGGATATAATAATTTCAACGGAATAATTATTTATATCTTACCAAAATTTTAGCTTTCATTTCCTTTTTCTCCGCCATGGGAACAGGCAGGGATTTGATGAGCATGATATCCTCCCAAGCGGTTTGTTCGTTTGATCTCATCTCCGATAGATCCGGAAGCATCGATACCTGGACTTCTCCGGGTATGGAAGCCCTTCGAGGGCCTCCAGTCGATTCCCTGCGGGATCTAGTGGTAGTGTGCTTTCGAATCGTCCGGTTATTGGTTCTGTAGTCATTGGTTTTCAAGCGAATGGTGGCTCCTGTCGAATTAAATAGATAAATTCGATAAATAAATTAGCAAATAAATAAGGTTACCTCCTCGGGTTTGTTTGCTGGGTAATAAAGTATGAAGGTGCTTCGGATCCCTTTGCAGCACCTCGATTTCCGGGTCTCCCGGGTAACTTTCCTGATAGAATTCCGAACCGGCTTCTTCCCATCCCTCCGAACGGGAGGTTTTCTTCCTATTACCACCCCCGGACATTCCGCTGACGACGGCGATTAGCGTTCAAAACCTGAATGAAAACGTCGCTATTGCATTAAATATTCCGTTAGCGGACGGTCGCGCTTTCGCGAACATCAATCGGCGACTGAGCGGGATAACGGTTTTCGTTTATTATGCGCATTTTTTATCAGATAAACAAATTTTCTCGTCACAATTCGCCGCAACAAATAATTTCTGATTGACGTTTATTTGACGACATTGTCAAAAGTGACAGTTAATGTCACAAATCTTCTACGTTTTCTTTCTATTTATGTCGACTTGACACTAACTTCATAGTAATAAATGTAAACCAAGTTTATAATGTAACTAACTTCGTACTATTCACGTAGAAACATGAAATTAAAAGAAAAAGAAGAAGAACTGTTGGTTTTTACGTTGTGGTAGTACTTTAGTTATAGTTTCTGGTTTTGAATTCATTACACAAATAGAAATGAACGAAAAATAAATTAGTATATTAGCGTTACTAAAAAAAATATTATTGGTAATAGAAATGCCAGTATGAAGTAACAATAAACTGGCGCCATTAATTTGAAACCAAACAAGACTAAAAATGTAATCTAAAATACTAATCGGGTAATGTTCGAAGAAAAATACGCCCGTCTCTTATTAAAAATAGGCATTATGGCATTCCCCCGCCCGTATTTGTCTACACCTTTCACCTTCTTACCAAGCCCATCCTGCGGCCGAGACAGCCACATTCTTATTAGTCTTCGCGCTGGGAAGATTTCGTGTTGACCATCGCCCGGGCGGGAGCACTTACTTACTTCTTCGGCACGCACGCTTCTTTTATTCTTCTTTGTAACGTCCGTTTTCGTGCTTCGAATTTTTGATTATTTTTTTTATTCTTGTGCCGCAGCCCGAGAAGTTGCGTTTCGGCATTTAGTTGGTTATCGATTTTGATATGTGAGAGTTGGTTGGTTTTTTCTACACTTTTTTCGCTCGTTTCATGAAAGGATAATCGATAAAAATGTTGTCGGTGAGTATAGCATTTCTTCGGGGTTTCCCCTATTAACTATATCGATTAATTTCGCTGTAATAAGATTTTTTGCTCCGATAGCTTATACAGCTAATGATCGAGTACGAGCCGAAGGAAGCAATTATTTGATATAATTTTAGATAATAAATTATTAAATGGTTTAATAACTTCGTTTCTTAGACGGATATAACTCATGTGGATTCATTTATTGTAATTACCGTTGTTTTTTTGGTATAACAACTTTTACTTTTTAAGAATAATTATAGACAGGTAAAACAATTTAAACACATTTCCTCCAGGCTGTAATAATTACTCTTTACATCCATTTCCTTAGATCAACGCAGTAATCAACAAACAATTTTATATTTAAACATGATTTATTTATACAGGGCGATTCCAAAGCCGCTTGTACGAGAAGAAAGGATTAATTTTTCACGTAAAATTAAATATGTTTATATTAACTTGTTAGGAATTTGTTGAATTCAATCCATTTGAAGACAATCGGAATTCTCGGATATCACAAAAGTAAAAGCGGTCTTTGAATCAAGGTCTTCAACTTATATACTGTATTAGACGAAAACAAAACTCAATAAATCCTTCTGATGGTGTTAATAATTCGACAAGAATGAGAGAATATGAACTTAATAAATTAATAATTAGTTATATTTAACTGTCTAGTTATCTAGTCACTTGAATTCTAATTGAAAGAGCACTAACAAAATGTCCGGTATTAAATCAATTAAGAAATGATTTAACGCCTCGAATAAAACACCAATTACCCGGTGAAGATTTATTCTTGAACTTATCACAAGACGCGATGAGAAATTAAGTTATTAATTTACTTTCGTTCTTCTTCCATTATTAATTCTAAAAAGAAACATAATGTGGGAAATGGTATACCTACATCTGTTTATTCGGAACTATCCAATTTCGCTTTCGGAATAATGCGTTTATACTTAATTCATTCAATTAAATTGTCGTGTAGCAACGGGAGAAAGTACTTTTCAGTACTATACAATATGTTCTTTTAATAAACAAGTAGGTACTTTAAAATGTGCTTTAAAATTTTGTATTTTTACAACATATTTTAACGTATAACATATGTTTAATTGCACGCTTTATTGAATTGTACAGACGACTCATCTGGTTTAGAATATACAGGTATTTAATCTAAATGAACTTCTAAATGCACAATTAATTGCTCCAAAACTGTCTACCTCGCGTATTTAAATCCGCGAATCTCGTAAATAAATTATTTTCAATCAATTACATCACGAACAAGCTCGTGTACATAACGAGGATTCTCAGCGGACGAGAATTTTCATCGTGAGATTTCGCCCATAATTACGGGTTTCTATTTGAAAAAAAATGTGATATAACGTTATTCAAAATCAATATTGTGACGCAAATGGAATTTCACTTTTGGTTTATTCGCCATTACCGCATCACAAACAAATATTAGTCGATAATGCCGAGTAAATTTCGATTAATGAAATTTTCCTGTTCAGAATCCTCTAAGTTCCATATTCAAACATAACGAAATACTGATGATTAGATTATTATTGTAAATACAAGATTTGCTTTTAGTACCTAATGTGGTTTCTAAATTAATCCTAATCTATCAAACATCTAACACAATTTTAATAGTTACTCTTTAGTAAAGTAAAGTTTAGTTGATACTCTTTAGGTAGTGTTTAAATTAACCACGATAGTGAAATATAGACTTATCCATTTGCATTCGTTAAATGCACTGTAATAAAACTTTTATAGCATTTTCTATTCGAAAACTCTTTGTATTTTTTGTTTGTTCGGTATCGTTTTTATCGCCTGCACTTTCCATCTAAACAGTTTTCAATTTCACCGCGAAGATTTACCAAATAACTTCCTGCATATTAACTCATTGTTCTCATGGATGCGATAAATCTCTAGCGACATGTTTAAACATTGGATACTTTATTTTACATTCTATCCTGCGTAAGAGCGATTGGTATTTACTTCTGTTTTGATCTCTTACCTTGACATTCACGGTAATTTATTCGATTCGCCAGTCAGTGGTGATACTTTCAATTGATCAAATTCGATAAATATTTACAATTTATTTATTGTTCTTTTATGTACGCCACTGGTGAATCAATGAAGATTTATTATCGAATTTTCACTAAAGCCTTGTATGGGAAGAGAAAATCAACTTTACAAGTAACCGATAGTGCTTTGCATATGGAAAGTTTTTCTTCACCTACTACACAATCAATTTTAATACGCACTTTTTACACATTGCTTTTCAAGTAACTGTACTTTGCATGGTGAATTATTACATGGAATATTTCGCTTATTAATCACGATAAACGTAAATATTCACGTGTTTTAAATGTATAATATCGGCCTTGATTGTTACGTAAATCGTTTAAATATGTAATGAAATAACAGTCACATGTATGTTTACAAATAGAGAATCTCATAATTAATAATTTAAACGCTATATTGGGCAATGAGGAGCTTTCTTTCCGACGCGTCGGTTACGGTGACACGGTTATATTAACTTCCGATTATAAATATGCAAATCGAAACTGAAAAGTAGGTAAACCAGCGTATAAAAGGAAAATTAAGTTTGTTTACATTTGCTAATACGAAATCAAATCAAACGCGATTACCCACTACAAAAATCTTATTAAAACGTCCATTACGTAAGTACTATGAATTAATTACAAAACTCATTTAATCGGATAACAGAGCTCGAAGGTGAGAATTAACAGCGATGTTAATGAAGTAAACTCATTCAATTCAAACGGGTGCTCAACGGACCTCAAAGAATCCATTTATAGTTAAATTTTGTCACGAAATGCTTCTTTTATTACCCCAATCTCCTTGCAACATTGCAGAATATCCCCTGCGGCTCTATCGGAGTCCTCGAACACGAAATTCCATCCATAAATCTAATCTACTATCGCATATACCGAGTGTCCCAAATTATATACCGGGCGTCTGAAATTAGCTAGGGTAGCTGGCGAGTAATTGCGATAAATACATCGTGATACTAGAAAGTTCCAATGGTATTTAGACAGCAAATATTGAACAAATAAATTAGCAACCTTCGAGGATATGCGATAAGGTGTGTACGGACAAATCGAAACGAAAGTGAAGAAATTAGATAGAACGCTTTCACTCGAATATACTTTTGCGATGAAGTTAATGCGCTTTTGATGCGCCTAAAATTTTCAGCAATTCGTGCACGACCTCTGTAAATGTGTATCTAGAATTCGTTTCGATTGCAAAAGGTAACAAATAATAAGGTCACGGTTAAATTGTTCGAACATCACCCGTACCTGATGATGATACTTCGAGTAATTAATTGAGCGTATCTACACACCTATTACCATATTTAAAATTCAATTGTGTAATTGGGTTTTTTTGTAAGAAGTTGAGATCATCTAATAGCTACAAAAAAAGAATACTTTTTTATCTTCTATAAATGGTTGTAAAAGAAGGAGAGGTTCTTAAAGAATTAAATACAAGTGAAGATAGTGAAAATCGTTTTACTTATACACAGTTATATTTTCCTTCCACGTGCTCTACATATTATAATTCACGATCAGGCTCGAGATTTTCCAATTTCCACATAGGTACTCTATAGTTTCAATGCAACACACACGAATTAACAAAACAGGTATCAATCAAAGCGGCTTAACGATCTAGTAATCTAGAAAATGAAAGTCGCTCGATAGACAAGATAGCCTTCGTCCATGTTTTGCACTTATACAGGGTGATCCATTAAGAAATTTTGACTAAAATACTACAATTAAATCAAATATTCCTGAAGAAAATGTGGCCGTTTCATCAAGCAAGCAGCTGGTGAATTTTTGACTTAAATTAATGTTAGTTCAAAATAAAGTTTCAACATTGAAAGCATTAAGATTCTCACTATAAATAATTGTAAGATAATTTCCATGTTTCTCATTGATAAGGAATCACCCTGTATATGCCGGTTATTTATGAATCGGTACGTTGTTATTATTTTCGAGATCGCATAACGCTTTAAATGCATTCCGTTAGCGAGCAAATCAGGTCAATTATCGCACTTTATTATTCGCCGGTTGAATTCCCCGATGTCGAGAAATGGTTTGGGAAAAATGTGCGATTTTAAGCGATTTCGCGATGCTTTTCTGTTATATAAGAAACTGGACAAAATCCGTATTAAACGCACGAAATTATGCTACTGTAGTCTTGAAATTAATTGCTTTAGTAGAATAATAATAATCGAAACGGTACTTGACCTACCTAGCACAGGATGCCGGGGCTAAATAACGAACGGAAATAATTATTTAACGTCATTGCATAACGGTAATATTATTAATATTAATTCCATTCAAATTTGTTATATTAAAAATCGATACAATAATTGTATAGAAACGATTTTTTATTAGTATTAGTTTTCTCCCTAGTTTTAGTCGTTGTTTATTGATTTTCGCTTTATTACACTAGAGAAATTGTTGTGGATAATCAATGAAATTTCGAAGATTGATGTGGCAATGTGAGAAAATCCATAAGTAGCATTAGAGAAAAACAAGAGTTATTCAGTTCACCTGTGAACAGCAAAAAGAATCACAACTTTCTCCGTTTTAGTTATGAAACTGCATTCCGTGTCCGATATCTGGGCGTTCTGGCTCTTTACCGAGATGCCTGTGAATTATGTAATATTTTTAATTCTAAAATCATAAAATTTAAACTCGGAAAAACAATTAATTCGTCCATAAAAGGACCATTTTTGAATACATTTTGGGATAGTCGTTTTTTAAACATCTCGGCGCGATTTCGTTTTCAATTTGCATAAATGATTATTAATCGATTTTGTGATTTGCATATAGCACATTTCGAGCGAATTTTTCAACCTCGATAGCTACTTCGAACAATTCGAAAAATCTAACTAGTTTCGAACTATTGGAATCTCCTGTATAATAAGATCGTTTAACTAATTATCTGCAAATGTTTATCTTACACACAAGAACGCGTAACTTCATAATATATTTCGATGGTATCCGAACAATAGGTACTATTTCTCAGGACATTGAAACTATTGTTTTTGCCACTATTACGTTACAAAATAATGCAAAAAAGGTTTCTCTAAAATCCCAACAATAACGAGCTTAATTGCAATGATGCAATTGAACCCACTCGATTTTTTCCTCATAATTATACATACACCTAGGTGTAGGTTTTCTGAATGGATTGGATGAACAAATTGTTCTGTCGAATCGCTCAGAACAGGATAATTTAATTTCTTACACCATAAAAATAATCGAATTTGTACATTTACCAGTCACGAAGTAATTAAATAATAGACTCAAATCTAATGATTTTTGTATCGATTTGTGAAAAATCATTATTATTTTCAGACGTGAAAGCTGTTATTATTAGGCATTTACAGGTAATGCAATTTGGTGTCGACAATGGGGAAAAAACCGATCAAAAATCACGACTAGAAATTAAAAATTTCAACCGAAATCATTCGTTTCGTAACAAAAATATCATATTTTAATTTGATTGGAATATGTTAGAATTGTATCAATTCGAATAAATTAAATCCGGATTAAAAGTTATTAAATAACGCTTTATATCTGAATTTTAAATTCGTTTTCCGCGTTCTGATATAAATCAGCGAGTTTTTTGAAACGCTTAAAAAATATCGTTAAATTTCTATTGTGCAAATTGCGAGTGTACCATCATCGCCAACTAGAGCATACATTTTTCGTCCGGTAGATTTTATACGTTTCATTTCTAATGCAGCATTGTTTCCTTTTAAACCGCCAAGTCGAATTAAAACGGATTACATAAAAAATATGAACAATATAATTACAATTGCATAAACTGGCCGCTTCAATTTTATTTTACGAGCCGAAGCGAATTCTAATTTGCGAATTTTTAATTTTCAGACAGGCGTCTGTCGATGGTTGTTCCTCCTGATATCGCTATCAACATGGGTCAATTTAACAAGTAAGTTATAAATAAAATATTACTTTAATTATGCACTAAAGCGCTATTAATTGTGACTCAACAGTTAGGAAGGTCGTCTTTGGCATATTAATGTAATTTATGCGACATTCAAGAAACGAAATTATTCCTGCAATCGTGAGGCTTGCAGTAAAGTAACATGGCTGTTGGTTAGCCAACTTAACTTGCCAATCCTCTGAGTTTTGTATTAATATTGAATTGTGTGTATATCATTTTTCCATTAAATATTTGTTTGCACATTATTTTAGGACTGCTTGTAACTCAGTTATTTAACGAACTGTAGTTTCCAAATTAATAAATCTACCGAAGGAAGTTGATAGAAAACGCAAATCCCGCAAAGGCTTTTAATATACAAATGAATTAAACATTATTATCGGGTTGTTATACGATATTTTTACCAGAAAACCCAATGAACAGTGTGATTGTTTTACATATACCACAAACCACGTTTCGGACAACAACGCATTTCCCTATAAAAGCGAAACGAATTGAATTTTCACGCTTAAATTACTCGAAAAAAATTAAATACAACGTTTGTCGTAAAAATTTGATTACCGCTCGAGCGTCTCCAATCGCCGATTTTTTCTTTTATTACATCCTAATGCAACAAACCGCTCCATTACCGCGCTTTAATTCGCCATAAACTTTTTCTTCCTAATTCCACACAAACCAATTTTTTTGTAACGAGCGAGTACAACACCCTGCATATTTGCAGATTCGAAGGAGATGCGCGTGGTCTGCTACTACACCAATTGGTCGGTGTACAGGCCGGGCAGCGGGAAATTCGGCCCGCAGAACATCAACCCCTATTTGTGCACCCACCTCATCTACGCCTTCGGGGGATTCACCAAAGAGAACGCGCTGAAGCCGTTCGACAAGTACCAGGACATCGAGAAGGGCGGCTACGCCAAGTTCACCGGCCTCAAGACCTACAACAAGGAGCTGAAGACCCTGCTGGCCATAGGCGGCTGGAACGAGGGCTCCTCTCGCTTCTCCCCATTGGTGGCGAGCGCCGAGAGGCGCAAGGAGTTCGCCAGGAATGCCATTAAATTCTTAAGACTGAACCACTTCGATGGGTTGGATCTCGATTGGGAGTATCCGGCGTTTAGGGACGGAGGGAAATCCAGAGATAAGGATAATTATCCGTTGCTAGTACAGGTCAGTTTATTTTATTTTACTTACGAGGTATTCATAAACGTCCTGTATATAAGTGAAAGTACAGGTGTTAATATTCTTATTATTGAAGCATTACAAAAAATACTCGAAAAGTCAAGGTTTATTTTTTATTTTGCTCACAATGAGTATTTTATCTTGCATATCGATCGATAATTTTAATTGGAGGTTGGAGGTAACTTTAAAACTGACAAACATAATTAATTAATTAGCATATTAAGCATGCGGTTTATATTTAAAGGAACTTAGAGAAGAATTCGATAGAGAAGCAGAAAAAACGGGAAGGCCAAGATTGCTGCTCACGATGGCCGTACCGGCCGGTATCGAATACATTAATAAAGGATTCGACGTGCCAAAACTCACTAAGTAAGTGGCAAAAAATGTGTCTAAATTACTCAAAAATCTCAACTTTCAATCCTCAAGACTCATTTGTAAAACCATCTTCCAGGTATTTAGACTGGATGAACATTTTAAGCTACGATTTCCACTCGGCCTTCGAACCATCAGTTAACCACCACGCTCCCCTATACCCCTTAGAAGAAGAAAACGAATACAACTTCGAATCAGACCTAAACATAGTAAGCAAAACGCCCACCAATTTAATACCCGCAAACCACCCACCATATTTTTAACCCGCCAGGACTACGCCATCAAGCACTACATAAAAAAAGGGGCCGAACCCAGCAAACTGGTCCTCGGAATACCCACCTACGGCAGATCATACACCCTCTACAATCCAGATGCTTTCGAAGTTGGTGCCCCAGCCGACGGGCCGGGCACCATGGGTGAAGCCACCAGGGAAAACGGCTACCTAGCCTACTACGAGGTCTGCGATTACGTGAAAAACCAAGACTGGGAAGTCGAGAAGCCCTATCCTCAAGCGATGGGGCCCTACGCGTTCAAAGACAACCAATGGGTGGGCTACGACGACGAGGACATCGTCAGGAAGAAGGCCCACTACGTGGTCGACAAAGGCCTGGGAGGTATCATGTTCTGGTCGATAGATAACGACGATTTCAGGGGCGATTGTCACGGGAAACCTTACCCGCTAATCGAGGCCGGAAGGGCTGCTCTTATCGAAGCGTACGGGTGAGGAAAATCTTCAACAATCGAGCTGCTAATCAGTCTAATTGTGTTTATTTGTTGATAGACTTGCTGATAACGATGTCGTGGAGAAGTCACCCAAGCCGATCAAGAGCAGAACCAGGACGCGGACGAAGGCGAAAACTTCGAATAAAAACGAAGAAAGCGATGCTAAAAAACCATCTATACCGAGAAGAAGAACTAGGTATAGTTAGTATTGAATGGGCTCGTTCGACACTTTTTTTTTATTTGCTTTTTGGAAAGACCACACAATTTTAAGTCAGTATGCAAAAAATCAGAATTAAATTCCATGTAGAAGTCACTTAAAAAGGCCTTAAAAACCGTCGCGCTGAGCGTTCGCTCGAATTGACTGTGACGTCACTGCATGCGTTGCGAGAACAAATTTGTAATATAGGCTGTCGATTGATAATATTGAAACGCGCTTTTAGGGTTTTAAATAGGCTTAGGGAGTTTTAAATAATGACGGACAATAAATCAAAAAATAGTTATAAATATTGCATTGTTCCCAAATGTCGAAGCACTAGTTTTAAGACGCCTAATAAAGGCGCCTAAATACCTAAATAAGACGCCTTCCGCGCGATTTAAGAAAAAACAAATTGTGGCAAAAATCAATGAAAAGAAGTATATGTTGATTAGTACAAAGTCAACACATTTTGTTTGTGAAGATCATTTTAATATAAGTATTAATTATAATAATTAGCTTGCTTAGTAAAAATAATTAAATTTTTTAGTTTGAAAACGATATGGAAAATTACATGTATTTTAAAAAAATGGCTAATTCCCAATAAAGCAAGATGTTGTACCTAATATCTTCGACTGCCAAAAATTTCAAAGCGTTAAACACACTGTACAAGCACGAACAATATTTTTAAAAAGACAGCGGTAAACTACTGTCTAGGATTTGTCTAGTTGTTCTAAAAGTACTCGGAATGAACAGAACTATGATATGGATGAAGTGAATTTGACAATGGATAAAAATTTAAACAACACTATTACAAATAAGGCCTGTCATAAAAAATTCAAGTTTATATAAACATAATGCCCAAACTTTTTTCAAAACAAGCTTAGTGTGATTTGACTCGTTCGGGACAGTTACCATATGATTTTACTAGTAAATTAGATGACACTCTTCCTATTTCTTCAAGTGATTCTTCAGAATTTGTGACTACTTCATCGGGATCATTTTTTGTTAATTCTGAGTCAACTTGGTCTAATGAAAAAGAGAACATTATAAAAAGGGTAATGCATGTTATAGAGCAAAATCCAAAACTTACATAGGTAGGTATTAGTTATTATTTAGGTATTCCTAAATATTTTTACGAACATAATCTCATTAATCGATAACCAAAATATTATACTTACAATTAGCATTAATTATTTATTATAATTACCCTATATAATCAATTAAACATAGTCGTTAAAAAGACGAAACGATCGCGAATGCAATGCAAGTTAAGTGAATGCGAAGTGGACAGCGGAGAGATCGCATGCAGTGACGTCATCATCGTACTATCGCGGAGACAAATAATCGCATCTTTAAACTCGAATAATCAAAGAACCGCTGATCGGATCAACTTGAAACTTTCAGTAACCATTTTTTTTGACCTCTTCTTTATGTATATAAAGTTTGATCAAATTCTAAATTTTATCGAATGAGCCCATTAAGCCTCATTATTCTGTACTTAATCAATCAATCTGCAATGAGCCAGTAATCACACATCTACATACAATTTACTAATTAATTAATCACTACATCACCACAAATTTGTTATCAGATTAAGGCAAGGAAACGAGGATGAGGAGCAATCCAATAAGCGGAAAACCGTAAGGAAAAACGAGGGGGAGACGTCGAGTTACAGTAGCCTAAAAGTCGTTACGCCGAGCTACAGTACTCCAGCTCCTCCTTCTACGCCGGAACTCGACGGTGGATTCAAGTGCGAAGACGAGGGTTTCTACCCGCACCCCAAAGACTGCAAGAAGTACTTCTGGTGCCTGAACGGAGCCGGCGATTCCGGAATAGTCGCCCATCAATTCAACTGCCCGGCTGGTAAAAAGCGTATTATTTAAGTACCTCCGTTCGATCATCATTTTTATTTTTAAATGTAGGGTTGTATTTCAACAAAGCGGCCGATTCCTGCGATTACAGCCAAAACGTTTTGTGCAAAAAAGCGGCCCAAAAAACCACCAAGAAACCAGACACTTCAACCACTACTACTTCATCAACAACAACGTCTACTACAACTCCTGCGACTAGAAGAATTACGTTCCCACCCAGGACAACTACTACTAGATCAACAACAACTACAACAACCGAAGCTTACGAGGTAAATATTGTACTTGAATTTAATTAGTAGCACAGGGCATTTTATCCGCGAATTCGGTTTGATAAATACACGCCAATTCCTTCACCTCCTCCGGCGTCCTGTTGGCCTGCACCTGGGGCACCGACAACAACGGATGCAACGTAGACAGCTGCTTCTTCTCCAGGCGTATGCCCAACGGCAACCTAGGCTTATGCCCGGTGTACGTACAACCGGGTTTCTTATCGTGGGCGCCGGCCAGTCGTTCCTTCTCCACCAAACTCGCCAGCGTTCTCTTGGTGTCCTCGGCTACGATGTTCTTGTACGGATCGACGCAGGCCCCGCACACCACGGGCGGGTCTTTGTGCGTCCAAAACTCCCTCGTCACGTCCGGATCGTCGCGCTCCTGCTCGTGGTCCCACTCCCTGCACACCTTCCGGAACTTCTCCCCCAGCGGCGGCGTCCAGTCGATCTTCAGCGTCACCTCGTCGGAGGTTTCGATCTTATCGATGCGCGGTTTGATGGGCTTGAAATACACCGTGGCTTCTCGTTCGGCTCGCCTGCCTTGCGTCGTGTACATGTAGCGGCAGATCAAATCGCGCTTGTCCTTCTCCTTGATGTCGTCGACCGGGATGCCCGGCACGAAATATCTGCGAGGTCTCGTCTTGATCGCTTCCTCCGTCTTCACTCGAGGAGGTTCGCCTAATTCCTACAAGCAGCGATGAATTTTTGTTGCTAATTCGGGAATTTATTTACCTTGAAGGGTACGTGGGGATTGGTGCGGATGATAGGCTTGGGCGTGGAGAACAACTCTATGGGCACTTCGGCGCCCGGGCGGAACTTGGCGTAGGTTTCTTGGTCTTCGCGATGGTAGGGAACGGACACCACCTTGGGCGGATCCTCGAATCGCTTTTGCTCGTAGGTGATGCGCGTTCTGACAGCATCGCAGTATCTCTTGTAATCACGCTGATTGGTGGTTTCGAAGTTGCCGTAGATGTTGGGCGGGAGCTTGGGGTTGTAGAGCTCCCTGTAGGGGACGTTTTTGCATTTCGCGCTAATCGGAGGTTGCATTGCGGCGGTTGAAAAATATATGTGACATATTTGTGACAAATTCTGGCAATTTGCCTCATAGAACACTCTTGTGAAAGTTTGAATGTAGTAGAAATATATACGTTATTTTAATTGTTAGGATGAAGAATACGAAGACGATGTTGAAGCGGAGGAAGAAGAGGACGATAAGAAAGGTTCCGAAGAAGATCCCAGGGTTATTAAGGAACTAATAGAGCTTATAAAGAAAGCCGGTAACTAAACACTAATATAAATTATTAGTAAGATTATTATAGAAAAATCTTTCAGGTGGTATTGAAGAGTTGGAAAAGCAATTTAATTTTAAAGACAATTCATCGCCGAATTCCGAACAATCAACCACGAAAACTCCGATAATTTCGAAAAGTTTGTACGAGAGAGTGTTGTCGAAAGCTATCAAAAACACATCCCCAAACACCAGGTAGTTTAATACAGTATTCCTCAAGGAAGAAATTTATGTAAAAGGAATATTCTTTCAGGAATGTTTCGTTTAGAAACAGCAGAGGCCCGCAAAGCGACAAAACCGAAGCCGATCAGCAACCGGAGAAGCCCGAACGAGGAAAATTACAGTACACTTCAATATCAAGATTCAGGTAAGCTACGACATAAGCTATAAGTTCATCAATTAAATAATTTTCTAGTAAATTGTCCATATGTAAATCACCGTAATCTCATTACAGATCTTCTACAAGTAAACAATCTGATGATGATGATGAACCTGATCAAGTCAAAGAGCAAGACTCTGAAAACGAACCCGTGAGAAAATCAATTGACAAATACCCAACTTACACGAACATCAGACGAGCAAAATCCAATTTTACCACAACAGAAGTCCATAAAGACCGGTAAGTTTAAACCAAACAGAAAATAACAAAAACTAAACTTAATACAAAGGAACGCGATATTGGGAGAACCTGATGAAGAAGACGATGAAGATACAGATGATGAATACGTTCTTACAACAAAGAGAACGTACAGTCCACAATATGTCAATATTCGAAGACAAAGACCTTCCACCACTGAAGAATCATCGACTTCTAAATACGCCGAAATCCAACGAGGAACCACCGAGAAATCTACTACCACCAAAGAGGATGCATCCACTACATCCAAGTAATATTCCCATTTAACTTCCATATTTTTATTACTTACGCTGAATTTACAGATACAGAATCTTGAGGAGAACAACTACAACAACCACGAATACACCTGAAGTAAACACCGATGGTATAAGGTATGTTTTAGATTCAGAGAGTTTAAAATAATACATTATATTATTAATTTAATATTCTAGTACACGATCGAGAATTAACGAAACAACACCAACAACAACCCCAAATAACACTCTCTATAGGTAAAGAAAATAAAAGAAATAATAATAATGTTAAACTAAACCTCGTTGTTTTTGTATAGATCTACAACCGCCCAGCTGGAAACAGACGCTAACAACACAGAGGAAACAATCAATGACTATTTACTAAATGTAATAACAACAACCGGAACATACGTAACAGACGACGTTAACCTCGTCAAATCCGAAACTAACGAATCGAAAATTAGCCAACCGAATTTAATAAACTCTTTCCCAAGAAAAAGGCCTCAGCTCTTCGAACCGAGGCCGTTTTCCAAACCGACGGCAGCGACGACGAGGCCTCCGCCTATACAGGTCACCAAGGTGAGTGAATCCCCATCAGAGCCAGGTAAACCCCAAAGGAACGTAAGCTTTAGATCTAGAGGTAATTCGAGATTCAATGCTAATTCGAGCGGTAAAGCAGTCGATAAGGAAGCGAGACGTCGAGTTATCGTCACGGAGAAACCACAGGAGGAAAACCGGTCTTACAGACCGTCGGAGATAGCCGATTTGTCGTCGTTAACGGCGGTGGATTTCGATAACATCAAAGGATTGAATTCCAGAACTAATATCAGACGAAGGAGACCGTCAACTACTACCACAACCACTACCACTGAATTACCGGTGGAAATTTCGCAAAAACGCCGGCGAATTCACATCACTTCGGACGATCCTACTACAGAATCGACCAATCGATTCGCGCATCACAATCGAAAAGTTATCCGAAGATTCAGAACTACCACGGTGGCGTCGCGAATTAATCCGATATTGGACGTGCCATCGAAGAGGAACGAAGTGGACGATGAGATTTTCGAAGACGCCACCTCCGAAGAGGAGGAGAACATCAAATTATCCGAATCGAATATAAGGGAGAACAGCGAGATCAACGGCTTCCGTCCGGATTCCAAGTTCCTCGCGAAGGAATCGTTTGGGAAATCGAGCGTTTTTAACGACCGTAGAGAACCTACTCCGGTCAGCTCGACGGAGCCCAATTTATTCTACAGAACCAGGAAAATCGTACGAAAACTCACGTCGACCGAATCCTCTAAAATTACCGATAAAGAAACCGACGCCGAGCAAATATTCGGTAGAAAACGAAAAGTGATAAGAAAAATCCGACCAATTAATGCTATTGCAAACAACACAGACACCACCAAATTATCCGATCCAAATGAAACTAAACCACCTAAAAGAACCTTCAACAGGTACAGGCCTACATCTATAAACCTAGACATCACCACTCCTAGGAACGTGCAAAAGAATAAAACGATTCTATTGAGTAGGTCTTACAGACCCACATTCAAACCAAATAGAAACTACATAACCAGCGAATTGTCTCAAGAACCGGACACAACCACCTCTAGTGTATCGACCAGAAAATCAACTACAACTACACAAGCATTTACAGAAACAGAAATCACAACTTCGAACGATTTAACAACCGAAAATGGCGATACAACTTCAACAGATTATACAACAACAGAACACAATCCTACAGAATCAAACTATACAGATTTAGAAACCACAATCACTACAGAAAGTGAAAGTGAGACAACTAGCATCACTACAGAAGAAACCACAACTAGCGGTGTTCAAGATGAAACTACCACTTTGCAACAAATAATAATACAGTCAACGGAACCTTCATCAACCTCTAATAAATTGTTTTACAACATTCGCTTGCGATCAACAACGTCTACAACACAACCTACCGTGGAAAAATTGAATATAACAAACGAGATTTCCAACACAACTAAAGTTGTTAATAATAGGTTTAATAGGTACAGGTCGGGATACCGCCCGTCTAAAAAAATTAACATCACTAATACTCCAGAAAACACTTCGTCTACACCAACAAGCAAATTATCATACAAATTTAAAAAGCCTCAAGAAGACGATGCGCAGGAAGTTACCAGCGAGAAGCCGAAGAGCAGGTTTCTCATCAACAAGAAAACCAGAACCACGAAACCTTCTAGTTTACCGTACTTCACGAAATCCACCACGGAAACCACGCCTGTAATCAACGAAGAACTCAAAAACATCGACACGGACGCCGTCAAAAACCGCAACAAATCGCTGTTCAGCAAAAACCGAAAACCGAATCCACTCAGCTCCACCACGCAACCATCGACTATTAGCGAAGAAGCTGTTACCGATTCGATGGAATTGTCCACGGAACATCCGACGACCCTCGTGCATATTTTCGCCGAAAAAGTGCAAAACGCCACCACCACCGAACAACCGGATAAAATCAACCAAAATCAAACCACCACCAGCAGAATCGAGAAACTGATCGAAGTCAACCGCATCATCAACGTGAAAACTACAGAAGACGTGATCAAAAATCACCATTTAGAGCACAGGGACGGCAAGGAATCCTCTTCTTTGTACGACAAAATCGGCTCTATCAGCCGGATCACAGTCATCAAAGTCGTCGATAAAGATAACAACACCGACACTGTATCCCCCATTTACATAGCAAACAATCAAAGCACCGAATCCCCCATCAAATCCTCAGTGGATATGATCATTCAAATAGCGAAAATACAACAAGTACCGCCTCCTGAAGATAAGGTCAACGTTAGCGTCCGTTTGGAAGAAGCGAATCCTTCGAGTAGAGAAGAAAGACGATACGATGTAATCGGTATCGGGAAAGTCGATGATAGCAAATCGACAAACGTGGGAAAAGCGGAGATTATCGACGGGATATCGCACATTAACATCATCACTCCCAGACCTGCGGTCTACTTGACGGAATCCTCGACTATAGCGCTGGAAGGGTTGTTTCCAACGGACAAACCGACGTTATTCGCTGGGAAAAACTCCATTAACGAAGAGTTATTGGAAACCGATAATTCGAAGTATGTTAATGTGAGAATTCTACACCCGGATGGCTCTAGCGAGGTGAATTTAGATGATTACAAAGAGAAAAAAATTATACCGATAAAACTCCTGAAACAAGACGAAGACGACGCAATAATGAGAGCGAGAGTAGTCGAAGTGTCCCCGAAAACCCCCTTTAACACGATCAGAATAGTTCCGATTCGAGTTGAAGCGGCCAAAAAACCGCCCCCGCCGTTACCCTTGATTAGGATAAATAGGCAACATAATTGATAGGTTTCTATTTAAATACGGCAAATTAATAATAACAATTTTAGATGTAATTCATGTCGCTATTACTCGTATTGTTATGTGTATATACGAAAAATATTGAAGAAATGTTCTTGTTGTTGTTACGGAAAATCGTTGTATGTGTGATAATCGAATGTAAATAATAAGCACCGTGTAATATATTAGCACTATTTAGTTTATTATTACTGGTTTTTGTCAACGAATCCTTTTAAATTGTGCGTTATAGTGATACGAAAATATATTAGGAAGAGGAAATGCAATGAGTAGATTTTGAAAAAATATTTCATAAAAAACTATTAAGACGATGGGTAAGTTAGATGAAATTCCATTTTAGATGAACAATCGAGAGGTAAGTTCAATAAATTCATCATCGTCATCGCTATTGGTGCTTAATCAAACGGAAAATCATCTTCCCTTGGGCATTTTATCAATTCGTAAACTACGAAAAAAAATCCATTATAATTAACTTTCTATTAAGGTAGGTCCGACCTTGATGAAATCGTGTTACCAATCTCTATTGCTTTTACGCAATGCAAAACGGTAAAAAATTAATCAGGAATGACGAAGATGATGGAGAGAAATCCCGATGATAGTTACAAGAATACTAATTTTCGCTATACTAAACATTTTTAATAATTTTCTCAATGGTACGTGTTGAAATTTACGCATGAACTGGGTTCAGTTAAGGTGTATATTTAAAAAAATCTACAAACCAACAACAATTCTCTATTAAACGCAAAACAAATTACATTATTATACCACTCCTCATACACTAACATTAACATTTCAACGCACTAACTCGCTTCCTAAGCCCCAAGCGCGCTCCTCCGCCCGTTTCGGTACAATGAGAGATTGTTTCAGAAGAATTTCACGAGAAATTTCCTAAGAGGCTCGGCCGCCCGAAGAACCACCACCATCCGGACCACGCCGGCATCGACGACTTCCCCGAAGGCCGTCACCAGGACGACTAAACTGCCGAGGAGAAAATACCTGACCAGAATCTCGACTACGACGAAGAAATCGTTAGAAAGTCAAGGTACGTACGAGATAAATCAAATCTCTTGTGTTTATTATACAGGGTGATAATGAGCATGTATTAGACAATTCTGGTGAATTAATATGTTTAAAAATTGGCATAAAAATCGTGCTGCTTTTCGAAGCCCTTTGGAGATGGCTTCCAACAGCTCGATATTTGGTAAATATCTCCAGGAAGTGTCACAAATTAACCTTGTATATTGCAGAAACAACCACATCCAAGCCGACGTCGATTCGGTACGAATTCTCGTCGCGACGGCCGCCGTTTCTACGCAGAACCGCCGCGACGCCGACGTACGAGAAACTAAAAATCGCCGAAAACGATTCCATAGGGAGACCTCTCGAATTGAGAGATGTCGTCGTGGCTCTGAAAGACATCCAAAGCGCCCCACCTCCTATTAAAACCACCACAACCAAAAATCCCCCTGCAGAAGAAACTACTAAAATCAACGTAAACGAAATAACTTTCACCACGTCCCGGCCGCTGAACAGGTTTAAAATCAAAGCTTCCACTACGACATCATCACCTACGATACATTCCTCCATAAAAGGTACTATAATAAACATACTATAATACTTAATAACAACAATTTACAAAACATTCTAGCCCACTCATCACCCCATCAACCAGCGCATACCATCGCCTATACCACTCCCTTCGACAACATCTTCAAATCAACTCTCACCAACCCCTATTACGAATACAACATCCAAGATAACCCGGGTGTAGGGTACGAAGCGTCCCACTCGGACCTTTTGGATCGCCTCCCGGAGCACAGCAAGGTCCTGGTGCACAGCAACGGAGTGATAGAGTGCCTCGATCAGGGGAGCTTCCCTCATCCGATATTCTGCAAGAAGTTCATCTCCTGCGCTAAGATGGAGAACGGCAAGATGATCGGTTGGGAGTACACGTGCCCGAAGAATTTGAGCTTCGATCCCATCGGCGGCATGTGCAACTGGTCCGCGGATTTGGGATGCGATGAACTGTGAATATAATGCGATTTGAGGTGAAATAAATATGCTGCAGCAATAAAAACTGTTTCGTGCTTAGTTGTCATTAAAGCGGTCTCGTTAATGTTACTTAAATGGTCAGTAAGGAAGTTGCTTTTGTAAAATGATTGCTTTTCGTATACGTGAGGTTTTTTTATAATAATATGAAATGAAACTCCAATTATCACATCGTTTTTTTTTATTATTTACCACTTTAGATTCGATGTTATTATTGATGAAACTTATAGTAGAATCCTTTCATCTTCATGAGTGTGTCATGATTACCCATTTCCATTATGGAACCTTTGTGTAAAACGCATATCAAATCAGCATCTCGGATTGTGGATAAACGGTGTGCTATAGTGATGCAAGTGCGACCTTTCCGGGCGTTACGCAGGGCTTCTTGAACCACCTAAAAGGCTCCCGTGTTAATCATTTTCTACCTCATCAAATGTAGCTTGACAGTTGGAATTTTTAAAAAAGTTAGCAAACATTTAAAGAAGGGAGAACTCAATTGACACTCAAAGAGCGAAGAAAGAAGATCACATTGCAAAATATTGTCAGTGGTGTAGTCGATTTATATTATACAGGGTGTCCCGCATAATTACCGACTCAGAGCATAAGCCTGAGCCACTGTATCAAAATTTGTACCATCAGGCAGTTCTCAAGGTTTGACAGAACTGCACCTTTCTTGAACTTTGCCCATCTGTCTTTCACCTTTGGACATGTAATGAAATTTTGAACTGTCAAGCTACGTTTGGTGAGGTATGAAACACGAATTTATTAACCTTTTCGCTGTCGTTATCTAAAGCTGATGTGGCCTCGTCTAATATAAGGATTTTCGGATTCCGAATTAAAGCCCGAGCTATGGCTATCCGCTGTTTTTGTCCACCGGAAAGGTGACTTCCTTTGCTTCCAACCCGAGTTTCATATCCCTAAATAAAACATATTTACCCGTTTCCCCTAGTTCCCGGTATTAAATAACACAACAACTTACTTGCGGTAGATTAGTAACGAAATTATGAATATTAGCCGCTTTGGCGGCTTTAATTACATCACCGATTTCTACATTTTTGTAGTTGAGACCGTAAGAGATGTTTTCCGCGATGGTTTTGTCGAACAAATTCGGCTCTTGGGACACGATTCCCACGTGGGATCTGAGCGATTTCAGATCGATCCGCTTCGCGGGGACTCCATTGAGCGATATTTCGCCGGAATTCGGATCGTAAAATCGCTGTAATAATTGGACGACGGTGGATTTTCCGCTGCCGCTCGGCCCCACTAAAGCGACAGTTTCGCCATTCGGTATTTTTAAAGAGAAATCTTTTAGTACTCGTTTCGTAGGTCGCATGGGATACGAAAATGTTACATTTGAGTAATCTACTGTATTTTCTTCCTAGAAATTAGAGTTCTGAGAAATGTTTGTGGACGAAAAACGTGGTGATAATTTAAAGACTTGCGTATATATTTAGCTAACCAGTGGGTATTTTGTGGAATTCGAATAATCGTCTACAGCTACATTTCTTTCCAGCAATTGGATGATTTTAGTAGCGGCCGCGAGGCTTGTCTGGAAATTCGGACAGATCCTCATCAAATTTCCCGATATCCATAGACCGAACATCATTATTTCACAAACTCTACAACAAACGCGCCCGTTTCAAGCACATTCAGTTATAATGGAAAAACTTACATTATAACATCTCCTAAAAGAACGTGCTCGTTAACAATTAATTTCATTCCGTACCACAATCCTAGGGGATAGGAGAAACTCGGCCAACTTTTTAGTACTGCGAACAACAAAGCTCGAACTCGCGCTGTTCTAATCGATACTTTTTGATAATCTGACAGTTTTTTAGCGTAGTGTTCTAGAAAAGCTTCTTCGCACCCCAACGAGGCCACGGTTTTCACGTTATTTATCGCTTCTGCGGCCAACTGAATAGGAAAATTGAATAGATTTTCTTACTGATAGATAGTTTAACTTACTGTTGAGGCAACTTCGATCATGTTACTTTTCTTAACAGCGTCGTATTTATTCGCTTTTTTTTGGAAGTAAGAGATCAGAAAAAGAACTATCGATGGTACCATTACTACTAAAGCCAAGCGCCATTCGTAATACAACGAAAGCGTAAACGATAAGAAAATAATCGAGGACACCTGGCAGATCAAACCGACCTAAAACACAGAAAATTACAATTTACACGAATCGAATAAAAAAAATGGTACTCCTTGAATAGGTAGAGGATCTACAAGTAGTTGAGAGCAAAGAGCCCCTACGCCGTTTTCCTTTCTATCGAACCAACTCATTTCTTGCCTCAACATGGCATCAAATAACATTGTTCTGATTTTCAAGGAGATTCTTTCACCGGCCACTGTTAATGTAGATATCTGAAAAGGCCCTTCAATAACGCATTAAAACTATACTAAAAAACGCAACTTACTTGAAAAAACGCTGACGCACCGACTAAAATCGCCAGCAAAAGGAAGTACAAACTGTATTTAATCATTTCGTGCATTAGTTTTCCGTCATCAGGGATGGAAATTGCCTGGAAAGGAACGTATAAGAAAGTGTAAAATGAATATTGGATGAACGTACATCCAGTATCCCTCCGAGAATCAGTCCATAAATGGGTAAAGCTGTTCCTACAAGCATCGAAAATATACATCCTACGAGGATAAAGCGCCATTCGGATGAGTTTAGCCTTAAAAACTTCCGAAACACGTTCTTCGGTCTCGATTCTTCAACAACTATTTCATTATAATCGTTAGATGTTGATAAATTATCATCGGGCTTATTCGTTGTCGAGTAACTTGCTTCCGTTTCATTCGATTCGTTAACGTTGATAATATATTGGGAATTGATTAAATCACGGTAGTATCCTCGCTTTTCCATTAGTTCGGAATGCGATCCGATTTCCACCGCTTTTCCATCTTTAACGAACACTATTTTATCGGCTTTTTGAATAGTAGTCAAACGATGAGCGACGATAATCATTGTACAATCTTTCCTTAACTAAAAGAATAATTATACCTCACCAAATGTAGCTTCGTTATTTGATCAATAATTTTGAAATTATTTTTTGAAGTAATTACTTACGATATTTATAGTGTCTTGGACTTCACTCTCACTAGTTTTGTCCAAAGCAGAAGTGGCTTCATCTAACAACAAAATTTTGGGTTTCTTAATCAACGCTCTGGCTATAGCGATTTTTTGTTTCTGTCCTCCGGATAACTGGCCTCCTCTCTCGCCTATCACCGTGTTATATCCGTTGGATAAACCGCTAATGAAACCGTGAATTTTCGCCTTCTCGGCGGATTCTTCGATTTCTTCGGAAGTAGCAGAGAGTTTTCCGTACCGTATGTTCTCGTAAATAGAAGTACCGAACAAAACTGGCTCTTGACTGACTACGGCAAGGTATTGTTTCAACCAGCTCGGGTTGATGTTCTTTATATCCACACCGTCGATAAAAATCTTCGATAATACGAAAATGCGATGAGATGAATACTGTTAAATTAATTCGTTAAATTAACTACCTGTCCGTCTTGTGGATCGTAAAGGCGTTGAATTAATTGAATGTAAGTGGTTTTTCCGCATCCGGAGGCTCCTACTAACGCAACGGTTTCTCCCTTATTTACCACAAGGTTAAAACCTTGAAGGATCTGCATAAAATTCGGTAATCTTTAGAAAATATCATTTGAACTACTTTAAAATTGATTCCACAAAACTTGCTAATTAACCTTGCAATTAAAACGGTATGCTCACCTTGAGATCGGGCCTCGATGGATAATTGAACGAAACGTTATCAAAGACGATATTACCGGTGAAATCGTCAGGAATCTTTCCCTTATCTCCAAATCGCTCAACAATCGTTTCGCTGTTTAAAATACTAAATACTTTTTGCCCGGCTCCAACTGCATTAAAAATACTTTCCACCAAAGGAGGCAGGAACTCCCAGTTCCACGTAGGTGGTAATATCAGGAAAAATGTCTAAAATTATTGTATATTGTTTTTTAATAAAAACAAATAAATTAACTCTTACCGTTATTATAGTAGATGGTGTGTAAATTTGTTCCTCTATGGGTAAGCTCCTGTCTTCGATCATTAACTTCGTACTCAACCAAAATAGGAACCCAAATCCGCTGTATCCGCAAAACAAGTAGATTCCTTTACTCAAAGCGTTGAGGCATCCTCGTTTAATGTTGTTTTTCTGGACGTTGAGCAAGTGTTTTTTGTATCTGGTTTTCTCCTTCTCCTCGCCGTCGTAGGCCACTACTGTTCTGATGCAGGACAGGACCTCTTCGGCTACAGCTCCGGCTTTTCCGTAGGAATCCATTTCTTTCTCGAAGAATTTAGTAGAGAACTGTAAAAATCCCCGTTGAATGTTTGTAGGAAAATCCATTTTTGTATTACCTGTGTTATAAGAAGAGATGTTAAAACGATTAAAAATAATATTAGAAAACCTGCTATGGCCAATTTCCAGCCTGCTATTAAACTGCAAGCGATTCCTGCGATTATTGCAGTGGAATTGGAGAGGAAAATCGCTAGCAAATCGCCGATTCCATCTTCTATTTTGGATAAATTTCTGAAAAAAAAGCATTTTACCGCCTGCTCGCTGTAAAACAAATAAACTCACTGCATCAAAACTGTTGTTAAATCGCCAGAGTGGTTTAAATCGAACCAAGACATGTCTTTATACAATACTTTTTTCAAAAAAGCTATCCTCATCCTGAAAATCTGAACCAGTATTATTTAAAATTACTATTTATTCGTATTTTACCTGTTTATTAGCGCTGTAACTGAACATAACTGCAGATAAATATGCTGTTGTGAAAATAGTAATACTGATTCCCGCGGAATAAATGATAAATACAGAAAATTCGTCTTGCATTTTATCGAATAATGCAGTTCTGTTATCGAGGCTCATCGAAATATCGTGTATTAAATGGGAATATTCCGATAAAACTCCGAGGATGTTTCCGAATGAGAACATAAGAATAGGGATGCCTGTTCCACTGACAATGGAAAAAACTACTCCCAGTAGAACACATAATTTATCAGTGAAAGTCGAGTATTGAAACTGCAATAACTAAGATTAAAAGTTGAAAGAAAAATTACCAATCTTTCCTTACCAAATGAAAATAATTTACAGAGTTATCTTGTGCTTTGCTCGTCTTATCTTTAGCTCTAAAAATCATTTTACTATTTTTTATTCGCATTTATTTATTATTACTTACTTGTTTAGGCGAAATTTCCAAAAAACGCGCGAAATAGTTTTAAACATACTTTCACTTATTGCTCGTTTCCTGGCCACGAGTCCTGTTATGCATATTTTTTTAGATATAGTAAAAACTACTATTTAAAACTAATTTGAATAGTTGATAATATTGATAATTTAAATACAGGGTAGGGTCATTTTATTTTTATTAGTTTATGTGAATTCTGGTTCAAACTATATAAGTTGAAACTCTCCCTATGAAACACCCTGTATGTACTTTTCAAAATGAATTAAAAAAATGTTCCAACATTTGGGGGCAAACAGATTATTATAAATTAAAATATATTTTCTCATTTAAAACCTAATATAATTCCCCGCTAATTTTAATAATCATATAGTCCTTGTAACCACCGTTAATTTATTATTTACAATGGAATTTTTTTAAATAATTATTTCAATTAGAAACAACCTTGTTCGTTTTTATTTCAAAAACATACAATATCATCTCATTAAAAACTTCACTTATTTCTAAATTGTTCTTTTACTTATGTTCGTGTAACCGATACCCACACTTGTAAGCAACACTTTCGAGGCCTCGATTCCGTCATCATCCAGCTCACTCTCGTCGTGATAGGGCTCCAATTTAAACGAAACCCCGAAAAAATCCTTCAAATGCCTCAAGAACCAAATCGAATACTCCGTCAGAGGACCAGTAACTAATTTAGAGACGTCCTTATCGCCCAATGCCATGCATAATATAGCTAAAGACTGTGAAGTGGAATCCGCTACGCCACCGAGGGATATTTCGAACAGGAGCCTTTGAGCTGCGGCTATCCCCAAATCCTCAGGAATCGAAGGTTCTTCGTTGAAAGCAACGACATTAGATACCTAAAAAGATACTTTTAGCTACTTGGATAATTTAGCGGTTAAAACGTACTTGTTCGGAGGAATAATAAACACCTTCAGTTGTCTCTGCGACAAGATGGATGCCGAAACCGGGGCTGTTTCCGGACTGCTTGCCTCTACATTGATCGGTGTTGATGTAAACATCGGGTATAAAATTCAAGAGAACTCCTTTAGCTTTATCCACCATTCTGTTTGCTATGGCTGGAGACACTCGAAGAGCGAAAGCCGTGCCTCTTATCCTCTTCACCATTCCGTTCTTCAGCAACTGCACAGGTCTAGTTTGCTTCCTAATGGGGCATTTGAAGATAACCTCGCCTCCTCCGAGAGGCCGGAGTCCTCTTTTGGAGATTTTCAGGTCTAAATCATCGTCGTCTAGGACGAATTTTTTCAGCGTTTGCAACATGGAGGTTTTTATCAGATCTACGGAAGGGTCGATGTTGTTGGACGTGACCCCTCGTAGTTTCGCGTTTAGAGGTTGTTTGCAGAATAAACCAAACATAACTAGCGCTTCTAGGTAATAACCTGTTAAATATAATACGTTAATACAGCGAGGGGGGTTAATAAATACGTTTTACCTATTCCTCGTTCTAAGCAGCAATCATGCTCGATTGTTCCTCCGTAGAGTAACCCGGGTTGAAAATACAGGGACGTTCCGGTTTCGTTTAATTCTATCGATGTGCCATTAGTAACTTTATCCAGCAATCTAATTAGGTTGACTTCGAACTCCTTCAGGCCTGGTTCATCTTCCTGGGTTCTGATTTCGTTTATTTGGATCGGTTTTCCGCTTAATATAGACAGAATTAGTCGTTGACGAAGGAAATTACTGCCTTTGTATATCAGAGTATTGCCTCTTACAGTCGGCATGGTTCTTAATTTAAAAGAACTTGTTGGTTTTTATAAAATATTAAGCGATATTGCAAATGACCATACTTATGGAAAAATAGGGTTATGTCTTGTTTTCAGTTTTGACAATTCTTCTTTATTTATCTTTTTCGTTCACACCACTTCAGTTGGTGACCGGATATCTACATTAGCAAGAGGCTATATTAACATAGAAAAAGAAGAAGAATTTGACTTTTTACTTTTTATCCAATGATTCTAAAATGCAACGTGCATGTTGTTGTTATTGAAAAATATTCGATTTTTTAGCAATGGTATTAACAAACAGAATATTCGCAAAATAACCACATTTAATTTCCGCTTTTTCAGAATGCTGACGAAGACCTGGACGATATAGAGTCGAGATTATACAGTCACGTATATCATGGAACTTCCGATCCATCTGACGAAAATAACGCTGATTTAAATGAAACAGATAACAGTGTTGCATGGAAAAAACGTTATTTCAGCCAAAGGCCCCCAAGGAATTATTTACAAACACCATTTGCTATTACTAATTTAACAATCAACAATATCCAAGACAATGTCTTGCATAACCAACCTTCAGATATTCATTCTAATTTGATACATTCCAACGATGGTTTAGGATCGTTTGAAAGGGATGATACATCTCCTTATAATGCATGCCTTACACCTGATAAACAAAATAGGAAAAACAAGAAACGTAAATTGAGAACAAATGACAACGCTTTACCACATGAGGTAATAATTGATAGTATATTTACTGTTAATTGTATATTAAATATTTAATTTTAGAGAAATCAAGCTACAGAAAATAATGATTGTGCAATAAGAGAAGACAATAATGTCCCATCATCAGCTGAATGTTCTAATAAGATTATTGAAAATTCAGTATTAAAAAATACGTTACCTACAGAAGACATTAACATAGCTAAAAATTCTGCGAATAATAATAGCGATAGTAATTGGGAAGCTACTAACAATCGCTCCCAAAATATATCTACTTGTACTTCTATTTTTGCAATGGATATATTAAATGGGCCTACAAAACAGCGCGATTCCGAATTTATTTTCTACGACCAAAGAGAAATAATCCAGCTTCGAAAACCTCCCGAGTATTGCAGAACCGAAAACAATCCGAGTCCCAACAAAAGTGTTAATGATTCCAATGAAAACGCAGTTACCCCTAATCGTCAAGAAGTTGTAGTTTATGAGAATTCGCTGGATTCAAATAATTCAACTGCGGAAAAAAGGAAAAAGAAGAAGAAAGCAAAGAAACCCCCAACGATTTTGACTAGACAAGAAGTAATAAACGAAGTTTCGAAACGCTTGCAATTAAATTCCAAACAAACTGCACGTGTTCCACCGGAAACTGAAGTTACTCACACTCGCTTTGACGTAGACGAAGAAGTTATATTTGTTCCACCCCCTCCTGTAGAAGTGATCAATTTAGAAGATAGTTTCGAGAAAAACCAGCTAGACAGTCCGACCAAAGACAGCCCTCACATAGAGAACCCCGATGCGACATTATCGAACGATTTCTTAGACAATTCGAACATCGAAACCAATTCAACGAACTTCAACTTCAGCCTTCACGGCTCCGAGTTCAGAGACGGCCAATCTGACGTGGTTCCGATGCAAAAATCCACCGAATACTGCGAAACCGAAAGCAGCTGCAGCACCAACGAGCACCACAGCAAGAACTTCAGCAACACCGTCAAGACCATTGTCTTCGACGAGGTGGAGTTTCCCAAAGAAGACATATTTTCGGGGAAGAATTTAGAGAGCTTCAGCTCTTTCATAACGCCTAAAAGGAAATGTTCTATGTCGAAAGAATCCGAACAACCCTCTTCGAGTACTAACGATAAAGTTGATTTTGATTATTCATCGGATAGCAGTAGTTCCGAAAGCGATTATGGTGGTAAAGTTAATAAGAAAACGAATAATTTACCGCATTTAAGTTCAATTGTACCTGTCACTGTTCTGAGTAAACCTGTAGTAAATATTGATGAAGAACAAACTATGAGAATGACGTCAAGAACGTTGCCTTTTGACTACCCAAATGAAAGTGATATAAGTTTAAATGTATTAGAAGATAACTGCCCAACAAGCACGCCAATTAAACCGAAGAAGAAAAAGAAACCTTCAACAGAACCTAGCACTAAAGATCCAGAGAAAACTCTAAACGATAGCGAATCGGAAAAACCGAAGAAGAAGAAAAAGAAACGGACCAGTATGACGGAAAATTCAGATGTTACCATTGAACAAACTACTAATACCGATTCCCAATCAACTACGCTTAATGTAGAAGAGGAGAATAGTAAGAATAAAAAGAAAAAACGACAAAATTCGGATGTAAATGCGACAATAGAACCAACAGAAGTTAATCACGAAAATAGCATTAGCGATTTTATCAATAACCTTCAACTGACCACGGACTTATCCCGCAATATCGGAATGGAAACCAACAGAAGGTCCAAACCAAGCGATTCGAACGACGATAAAGACGCTGACAATAAAAAGAAGAAACCCATTAAAAATACACCAATCACTACCACATCGATAAAACCACAGTGTGTTGTAGAATCATCTGCGAATGAAGTTGAAGAAGAACCAATAGTCATCATTGCTGATGATTCTCTTGACGATCACATCGTTTTATCATCGGACTCGGAGTCTGACATTGCCATTTTCGACGATGTAGGTAATGATTTATCCTTTAATTATTCTACAGACGAAGCCAAACATCAAGATAATTTATCTTCGATTGCGAGCCGTTTCGATGTTGCAACTATTCAAAACCAACAATCCGGTAAGTTATTTTTTAATATATCTTTCGTAATACATGAGTTTTTGATTCGTACAGATGATCCACAAAAATGGTTGATATCTCACAAAGACAGGATGATTTTGCTGAATATGAAGACAGGCCCTAGATGTAGAAGGTGCAGGCAACAAGGACATTTCGGTTTGAAATGTCCCGATAAACCGTTTCCGAAGCCTTGTATACTCTGCGGCAGCTTAAGCCATCAAGAACCCAGGTGTCCTAATAAAATGTGTCTGCAGGTATGGTAACATAACGTAACTTTAAGTTGAGACATCCTCTATATGTGAAGGTTGAATTGGTTTCAATTATTTTGTTTATGTTTTACGAAGAGGACATTTTAATGGTTCGTTTTCAGTGTGGCAATCCGGGGAGTTATTCGACTACTTATTGCAACAGTTGTTTCAAATTCAGGAATTTATTGTGTAATATATGTCGAATGTACGGCCATGTTCAAAAATTTTGTCCGGATCTATGGAGAAGATACCATAAAACGGTAATTATTTACTTATAGTTTTGTTATAGAGTTATTTATATAATTGAATTTTTCAGAAAATCGGGCCGATAGTACCTTCTTCGGAAACAGTGAAGTCAAAAGAGCAATTGTGGTGTTCAGGATGCGCGAAACAGGGCCATTTGGAGCACGAATGCCTACGGCACATCAGGGAATTCCCCCCGACTACTCCGTTCGTTATGAGCTATGTGGACGTGTTAAATTCACCGCAGAACGCGAATTGTTCGATGGAGTTGGAAAGCGATTCGGCTCCCATCAGTTCCCCTTCGGTAAATGTTTCGAACGTTATGATTTCTCCTCAGTTATCGGATAATTCCTTTCATTTATCGCCTAACAACGGCGAGGACTTGGCGAATTCCGGCGCGAATATGACCATTCACGTGCCCAACGACTCGGCATCTACCAATTTATTTTTGCAAATGATGGTCAACTTTAATAACCAGCCTAATACTCAATGCGATGCTCGATCGCATCGTTATAAAAACGTAGATTTGAGTAACATGAACGAGGTTAAGAATTTCATCATGAGCAGACCACTCAGAGAAGTGTATAATTTCATATCGGATGAAATGTATTCCATAAAAACTTGCAATGTTGACCTAAACGTTTTAAGAGCTAAACTAAACAAGTATAATAATATAAGGAAAAGGAAAGCGCAATTGCCGCCTAATATTAACAAGGAGGCGAATTTCTGGTATAGGACGATAAACATGTATTTGTTTGGTTTTAAGCAAATGAAAGACGGTGGTTTACACGTGCGTTATTTGAGAAACTTTCTGATAAAAAGTAAGAACAACCCGATTATACCTGAAGCCATGAGAATGGCTTTATTCTGTGCGTACTCCTACATTTTCGCTACTACACCCCATCCGCAAATAAACTATAAAAGTCTCATGAATGCGCCGTATAAAAATAAGTTGCAAAAACGCCGGTAGTTATGTTTGATAAAAGATTAAAATATTGTTTTCAAATTTTAGCGTTTGAATGCCTCAAAATACCCTTAAAAGTTTCAATCGAAACTTTCTGAAATTTGCTCTACTCACCCCTACTTTAAATTATTTTGCTCCATTCACTCCTATTGAATTCGCAAATCCGGATCGTTCGACCTACAGTAGTTTACTTTCGTGACGTTGACATTAATGACATTTATTCGTGACGTTTGGTTATGGTTATTATTCAGTCAATCATATGTGAATGATGACCCTAAAAATGTAAATTTAAATTATATACATATTAATTTAGTGAAGAATTTATAAGTACAAACTAAAAATGGTCAGTAGACGTCGACCGATTCACGCAACAAATCTAAATTTCCGGCCGAATTTGAACAACATCAGCAGCGACCCCAAAGGCACGAAGCCCACAAGTGAGCCAACTTCGGTGAAAGAGATTCTCATTTTAATGGTGTTGCACGTCTGTAAAAAATCGTTATTTTTCGATACTAACTTAAAAGTGGGAATTTATTTAGCATGCCTTTTCGTCATATCTCTAATAGCCGATGTGTTAATGATACCGAAGACGTACCTGTCGAGATCCGATAACGTTTTTAACAAGGTGTTCGTCAAATTTGCATGGGGTTGGAACTTAACATTGCTGCTACCGTTTGTCATTTTGACGTCTTTGATCTATTGCTGTGGAAATAAGCAGAAAATATTGAAACACCACATGCCTAGGATAGCTATAGCGACGTTCTTTTGGTGGTTCTGGACTTCCCTGTTCAATTTCATCGAAGCATCGATGGGAAGATGCGCGAACGTAAACTTCACCACGAAGAGTTTATGTCTTCGAGAAGGCCACGTGTGGAACGGCTTCGATCTCTCGGGACACTCGTTTATATTAATTTATGGCAGCTTATTCCTCATAGAAGAAACTCGATGCATTGTTAATTGGGACAGCATAAAGGAGTACATCAGGTTGGAAGAGCACCAAAGGCAAATTAACGAGGAGGTGCCGAAGCCAAATCCACTCAAGAATCTAACAAATCAAGAACTCAAACAGATTAAACAACATTACGAGAAGTTTACACCTTATATAAGATTAATATTCATTTTAATTGCTATTATTCAAGTGCTATGGGATGTTATGTTGTTTTCGACTATGTTGTATTATCACATTATGGTGGAGAAGTTTCTAGGAGGGGCACTGGCTATTTTAACTTGGTTTTTTACGTATCGTGTTTGGTACGCACAACCGTCTCTCCTGCCGAAGCTTCCTGGTGAAGGAAGCTTTAAATACATTAAAAGCACGAAAATTACTCAGCCCTCTCCTACGGTTCGTAGCAGAAGAAAAGACAGCTTAACGGATATGGGTCCGTTATTTATGGGTAGACCAATTTACGCCAGCGTCAAACCGGAGGAAGTTCCTTCTTCATCAAGATAGCATCGATTTTGTACCTTAAATCCTATTCTGTTGATTTATTTCTAATTTTAAATTATTTTTTATATATAAAAGGTCGTGGGTTTGTTATGATTTGTTTGACAAATATTTCTTGTTAATAAGTATAAAAAAATAAATGAGAGTGCTATGAGGTTTGTTCAATTGCATTCCGATTGTTTTTATCAGTGCCATAAACAAAAAACATCAGCTTAAAGTAGTAATATATTTTCATTTTGTTTATAGTAGTATTATAACATACTTGCTCTTAAGCTAAAAAAACACTGTACATAAAAATGAGTATCAGTAAACCATCCTTAATTTCACATAGACTGCCAAAATGAAGTATGAAATGAAATTAATCACAGTTTAAAGAAACTTGTATACCTAACGCATTTGTGTTCTTCGTCCTGAGGAAATTGTATTCTAAATAAACGGAGCTTATTAGTGTTACGTTTGCATTTAGAAAAATTTGCTTAATTATACGTGTTAATGTTAATAATTCACAGTGGATAGGAAACGATTCATAACAACTAAAAAAAAGTTGGGTACTAATTTTTTCTAAGTGCCTCGCAATTAATTTACCAAATTTTTCCAAATTATTTTAACGTGAAACAAGCCAATATATTATCTATAAGCTATTAGCAATTACAAGCTGCCACTAATTAAAGTATACATTAAATATCATTCATTATTAGAGCTTATACTCTATTAATGAACCACATTTTCTAGATAAATAATCCACCATGAAATTTTTTTCTAAAGCAAAATACATAAAGGAACAATATACATATGTGTAGGTACATACGATTTAAAAATTTTAGTATACAAATTACAATGGCAAGAATTGAAGTAAACAGGATTCAATGAAAAATACGATTAAATTCTTATTCACAATGACAAAGGTTTACAACAAACTTACACTCGTATAAAAATCTGACATGAATTTGTACCTTGCAATTACAGCTGTTTTATATAATTAAGTCAACCATTTAAAAAATATACTTTTAAACTCGACCGATCTTTCCTCGACTTGCGATCCTTCAAACGCTATTTGTGTTTAGAAATCTAGTGCTTTGTACTTTATTTTTACTTGTACATCTTATTCAAAGCGCCACTAACACGATTAATATAGTTAAATCGCTAAATACTTCAATGAAAAATTATTTCAGGAAGATCGAGACTGTAAATAAATGATTGGGTATGAAAAACAACGGTTCGTAAATCGAGAAAACACCTCAAAAAATATTCTACTTTTCCTTTCGAGGGCTAAATTTTTATGTACATTATCAACAATAATATGGAGGTTTCTCTTTTATAAGTTTTTTTGTCGTTTTGTCAACTACGTACTGAACACTGAGACATTCTTGAGCGAAAAATAATTAGTTCAATGTTGCTACTACTACTATAGCTATTTTTTATATTATCATTATATCGTAAACTCTACTTTAAAATGGATTACATACTCCATTATGCATCAAATTTGATCAGAAAAATGTAATATAATTCACACAAAGCTCGATTATTAAATTAGAATGAGAATACACTATATTCCTCCGAGATATTTTTTTCCAATAGAATGCAATTTAAACGATGAAACGGTTTAATGTCTGCTCGATAAATCAGCGACACGCACGTTTACATGATAAACAAAAAAAAGGCGTAAACAGGCGATCAACCGCTTATCCCGCCGGTAAATTTAACAGTTGGTTGATCAGTCACCACTTATTAGGAAACCTCCTAGCGAGATGAGGCTATACAATGTTCAAAATTTATAACTCAAACATGAAAAAAATGGGCCAACTACATCAACTTACGTCGATGGTGATTGGTAACGGGAAAATTCCGCTTACTCGTTCAAAAAATTTGTTACATTTGCTCGCATTTAAATATTTATTGTATGAATTTCAACGAATCATCATCGACAATAAGAATACCTATAATTACTCAAAATATTTAACTATATACGTAATAAAACTAACTCAAATACGTGAAGTTAGTGCAGTAAAGAATTGCTTTGTTTTAAATAGTAAACCATAAATTCCTATTCAATGGTTATTTTTTTAACAGAAACTCTTATTGTCAAAATTAAAATTATTTCATTACAATTCCAATAACAAAATACTCGCAAAAACGAATGAATAGGAATTTGAATCGATTAAATAAATTAGTACTGGATGTCACACAAAATTACGATTTGCTGATATTTTATCATAAAATGATTCAATATGTAAAATTATTAGCTGGTAATTAATAGTCGATTAAAATAAGCTGCAATTAATTAATTTGTAAAAAATGAGGTAGATGTATTTCTGCAACACAGAAAACAGTACTTTTTTATCGTAGAATTAAGGTGACGTGTAAAACGAAAATTTCGTCAACACCCAGTAAAAAAGGTACAGTTATAATATAAATATTAGTAGAAATTTACAATATGTACAAAATAAAATATAAGTGTTAACAATTTTTTAAACTCGGAATTGACTTCAATTCACTGGGTAACCAAAAGGAACAAAACCTGACGCATTATTAAATATACCATATAAGAATTAACATTAACAACATCTAAGAGATGAAACAAATCGGATTTCGAATTCAAGACAGCTCAGTTTTTTACGAATAACGATGTTTTCATTCAAGAAAAATCGCTTTCGATGCTCAAAGAATCGTTAATTGTACAACCAGATGGAAATGGAACAGCATTTGTAATGTAACAAAATATAAATAAATAAAAATATCACTGGTGAACTGAGTAGTACTGCGCATATACAAATTGGAAACAAACAAACCGCTAAATAATTGTTCTTTTTGATAGTATTTCCAAAGCCCCTTCAATAAAATTAAGAACTTTAGTTGTGTTAGAAATTTTGTTGACCTAGATATTATAAAATGTCTGTTTCGAATTAAAGAGGAGAAGGTTTTATACTATATTCATTTAACTTTGGAAATACTATACGTCATTATCAACGAACATAGAAGAGTGGCTTAATCTTAGCATCTAATATTGTTAAAACAAGTTCTAACAAAACCATTAAATACACAATACTTTAAGCTCACACAAAATACTTAAAATTATAGTTCGTATAAAAGAACAGTCTATTTACTTTCACAGTCAATAAAAGAACTCGACTGTTTCGATAATATTCTCTCAATCGTAACAACCTAGAAGAAAAACTAGTTGAAATGAATTTACTCGTTAGCGAAAACCCGAAATATCAGCGAAACGTTACCCGTGATCACTACATCTTCAGCTTCTCCGAAGCCCTGAAATTAGAAAGAGTCTTTTTTATCCTGAGCGCGGTAAGTCTGGCAGTGGCGTTTTGATACCAGCATTCCTTCATCAATTTCACCATCACGTACAGCGCGTCGCAGCTCTGCCAACGATTCGGTATGTTCGGCCTTTGCTTATCGATGCAAACCACTCTGAAAAAAAAACGTACAATTAGTAACTCGGTTATAAGTTATAAATATAAATTATACAAACCTTCTCATCTCGTCGATGGTCGGATCGGGCGGTACGGCGTCGTAAAACGGCAACTGGTACTCGTCGTATATCCCGCCGACGTTGCACCTCCTGGCGATCTCCCAGAAAATCAAACCCAGCGCGTAGACGTCGGCCCGCTTGAACGAATCGAATTGCTCGACGTTCATCGTCTCGTCGAGCACCTCGGGCGCCATGTACCGCTTGGTGCCGACGCGGTTGTTCAACGGTATGTCGACGGTGTCGGTGACGACGTCGTGGCGCACGGCCAGGCCCAGATCGCCGATGGCGCACGTGCCGTTCGACTTCACCAGCACGTTCTTCGATTTGAGGTCGCGGTGCGCGATCGCCGGCTTGCCCTGCGTGCCCATGATGTCCATGTGCAGGTGGGCCAGCCCTGTGGCGATCGACAACGCCATGCGGATCATGTCGCCGGTGTCCATGGTGTTGCGGCCGAGGAAGTCGAACAGCGAGCCGTGCTCGTGGTAGTCCGTGATCAGCCACAGTTGCGTCCAAGTACCGTTATCTGCAAACCCGAATTACATCTCAAATAACTGGTTCACAGAACCAAATCTAACATGCAATAGCATAGCGAAATATACCTTTGTTATCGGCCGCTATGAAACCCAATATGTTGTCGTGTCTGAGCATAACCGTTTGATAGATTTCCGCTTCTCTGAACCAAGATCTCTCCTCTCGCGAACTGAAAATTTTCACGGCGACGTTTTCACCTCTCCATTTGCCTTTCCACACTTCCCCGAACCTTCCCTGGCCGATGATCTCCATTAATTGTATCTGCCTGGCGATGCTTCTTTGCACCAACAGAGGCAAGCCTGTAGAAGATGAATCGAGGTTACTTCGTGCATCTGTTATCTTAAAATGCATGTACCTGAACCGCTTCCGCTGGTTGTCATCTCGATCATGCGCTTCAAATTGACGCCTTTGTTCAGTATGGGATGATCGGGAGCCTCTATGCTGTCGTCGACGTGCCTCAAGTGGTGGTGCAAACCTCTCCTTTGATGCGAGGTGTGGTAGAAGTAGACGAAGCCGATGATCAGGCAAATGGCCAAAGTCGGTATGACTATGATGGCGGTGATTTCCAAGGAAGTGAGATACTTCGGTGCCGGTCCGGTTACTAGTAGCACAAATATCGATTAGTAATCGATTTGGATTCGATCGGATCCGAAAGTACTACTTTCAGATTCAATCAAGTTGTCTACTAAATAGTATTATTCAAAATATTATGCACACTTTAACTATATTTATAATCATAATAAAACAACTTGATATAACAACATTTTGAATAATACTATAAGTTATAGTAATAAAATGATTAGTAGGAAACAAACTACAAGCAAAAGCTCAACAAATGAAAAACATAAAGAGAATGCTAATTAATATTACTGCACAAAAAATAGTTATAAAGCAATTAAAGCGCATGCAAAACACACAAAATAACAATGCAAATACAACCTTCAACGAACGGGTAGTGTTCATTATTTTTTTTAAACATATTGAAATGAACCCTGAAACATGAATTGAATAATTATTCGGCAGACGAAAACACAATTCCGGTCCAAATCAAATTAATTAACAGTATTGTTAGAGATTTATCTTCGCAATACCACCTTCAATATATCATTTTATTTGACAATGGACCTCACAAGACATTTAATCCCAATTTGTTTTTAACGATTAACAATTCTAACCTGGTAGCAACGTTATTTTTCTATCATTACAGTAATCTCTTTCGTTACAACAATTAGATGTCATTGAGGTGTATTCAGGATTGTTTTGTAGGCCATATATGCTATCGTTACAAAATTGTATGCTTCGGTTCGACTGCACTATTATTTCAGGCAAATTGTACGTGTCCAAGCATCTATAAAAAAATACTATTTTTCAAAAAAAAAAATACCAACTAAAAAGCAAAACAAATACAGAGAGGATATCTAAAGAGAAAATAAGAGATTAAATGCAGTAAAAAATACCACCACCAATATGTACACTGTTCAACCTGGAAGTAACAGAAGAAAAAAAAGAGTAAATAATAAGTACACATGCTTTTTTTTCATTCAATATCCATATCTTAACATTCCACTCGAATAGCGATATTCTAAAAAATTCAATAATAACATATTTTGCAACCGATTACCCGAACACCTACAGGAATGTCCTTTATTATTTATATTATTTTTTTTTAAAACACGTCTAGATAATATGCAAATTATTCCGCGAAAGGGAAAGAATTTGTATAATTTACGTCATTCCGTATTTTTAGATTTTGAATAAATTTTCAGTACATACATTTACATTGTGTATCTGAAAAGTAATTTTGCATATGTATGTCTCCTATTAACCAACAGCTTTTACATTATTTAAAATAATATACAAGAGCAAGCGGTTTTAGAAAAAGGATTATAGTTAAAAATTTAGAAACAAAATAAGCAATACAAACTTCCAGAATTATTAATAAAAATATCAAAGCACCGCTATAGAGGGTGATTACAAAGTGATATCGTTTTTCGATATCATTTAATCTCTTTAAACATTGAAACATAATACACATTCTAAATAATATAACCCAACGTAAGCGCTTAATTAAACACATGTAGGTATATAATAGGTTAAATAGGCAGTGCTGTAAATAAATAGATAACGTAAGAAAAAAATCATAATATGTACAACAGTTTCGGAATTTCCTTCGATGTGAATTCCGAATTTCTTTACCTTCTGGCCTAATTAAAGCAGGCACTAATTTTTTATTGCAGTAATCCTCGTTTTTGCAGCAATCTATTACAAATTCATGCTTTAATCTCGTCTGATGACAAAACATGGGATTGCCTAACGGAAGGGACAAGTTCGGATCCATACATCTGAATTTTAAAAATCTCTTTTATAAACAACCACATCAGATTTTACAATAAAATTCCAATTCTGGCTTTACATTTGGTCGCATTGAAATTTTGGCAAATGCAAGAGAAACGTTTCCTTTAAATTAAAACACTTATAAAGAGGTAACTTTTTTTCAATATTCTTCGATACTTAATTGTGCCATAATAAAATAATTTTTCTAATCAGGTAAATATAATTTTAAGAATAATAGGTCTGCTCCTATAACAGTCACAAGTTAATCAGATCGACTGAAATTATGATTTGTGATTCCCATAAGACCAGACCGGATAAGTAACGGTATCCTAAAATATTATTTATTATTACTACAGTGCATGTAAAAATCTGCCCTAATTGTAAGTGCATTCTTAATAAGCAGGCTACTCTTTCAATAGATTCAAACATAGAAGAGGAATAATATCTAGAAGAGAAATACTAATCACAACCTATTCTTTCGTTTCTCATTTTACCTTCTGGTCTCGGTACCGGCGGTACCAACCGTTTATTGCAGAAATCTTCGTTTTTGCAGCACTCCATTATGTACGTATTATTTAGAGTGTTTTGATGGCAAAACATCGGATTGTGAACCGGAAGTGACATGCTCGGAACCAGACACCTATATTTCATCATTTACAAATCCAAGAAAATGCATCTATAACTTATCGCTCAGTTCGGTTTTAAAACAATAAAATTCCAATTCTGGCATGGATTTAGTTTCCCAAAATCAGCAAAAAAATGACATTACTAAAATCACAATCGTGTTGTGGACAAGAGGCTAGTAAAAGATCGATTCACTTTCATAAATACATAAAGTAACTAATTATTTACTCAGAAATTAAATTAGTTATTAACAATTTCCGAAATATAATATTTAATTAACTAAAAAACAATAGTAGGAGCTTTCGGATATTTCGTATGTATAGCGAATAATCTAAACAGTTAGTAAAAAAAATAAATCAAAAACTGTTAACAAAATAAAACACAAAAAAAATGTTACCAGAAAACATGAGAAATAATTAGATTTGTTATGAATATAGTGTAAATCGGGATGGGGGCTTCACACAGTTACCTGCACTGGTTAAATCATTGTAAATTAAAAGATGAGGTTGATTTTTATCCTCCGCATTACAAAAATTGGATTCTTTGCAGCAAATTTGCGCTTCCTTTGCAGTAGATTTGACATGACACCATCTGGGCTCTTCGGGTGGGAAAAAGTGTACTTTGTCCAAACAACTAGCATATTTTGTATACAATTAATAAAAACAAAATATATAAAGAAATACGAAAATAGCTCAATTCATAATATGATAATTTACTAATTGCATAACGCATACAATTATAATTTTAGATAAGTAAGTACAGCGTGCCGAATTAAATAATTTGATAATGCTTGATAAAATAAAATTTTAACAGTTTGTTTTTATCATGCCAATGTGTATTTTATGTAGATTAACCAGATTGAAATTTTATTGTATGCATTTAAAAATATTTTTTTTTTACTTTTTTCAAACGCAGTTTGGAAATTAATATTACAATAGCTTTTAGCATCGTACCTGTAACTATACTTTACTACCCCATCTTTCAGGAATGTCGAGGTGAAGCAGTAACCATCAGTCTCGCATGTGTAATTTGTGTCTTTGCAAATATCACATTTACATTTTAAAGCCCAGCCTCCTGAAAATGTTTTATCTTAATTAGGTCATAATATACAATAAACTTTAAAAAAATAATACAATACAAATTCCTCGAATACCTAACTTGTTTAGCAATATTTGGCAATAATTGCAAATATATCAGATTACTGTTAATGACCTCACCATTGAGCCATTAAAAAATCTACTACAATGTTATATTTAATGAGTAATAAATCGATACTTTAATTAGCGCTAATTTTCTGAAAATAGTTTTCCTTTTAATGTAATAAAAGCATTGTATGAATATACATATGTACGTTCAGGAATGTCTTTATTAACAAACACGAGTTTTCATTAAAAGTGTTTTCCAATGCAAATTGGTATTAAAAACTAATTGATGATTATTCCACATCTGATTACGAACCTAAACTGGTTATTTATGCTTAACAAAACAAGATATACTTATATATAGGTTGCGAATAGCGACTTACCGTAGAAATTTTGGCAGAAGTAGAGAAAACTAAGTACAAGCACGGCTTTCGAAATATTAATCATTGCGATGTATTTAATGAAACGAAATCACAAACGCGAACTTCAAGAAACCTATTTTATTAAAAAATGATCTGCCATTAGTACTTTTAATTACTTAATTGTTGACATGGAGAGTTCGCACATTTTAGAGAAATTCGATGCCGATTGCGTAGAGAAATGAAACACAGACACTGTATGGTACGTTTATAAAATGAAGCAGTTTGAATACTCATTAAACTGTATTAATAAATTTATAAACAACTTCCACTTTCTACGATCCACCATGTCTTGTCAAGTACTGTCATGTCAATCTGTCAATTGTTTCTAGTTATACCGAATTTGACATTTGACGTAAGTCAGTGCGGGACAATTCGAGGTTCGAGGCAGGTGTTCCAAATACACTGACATTGACATTAGCGACATTACGTCGTCAAACTTTTACTCCACTAACTCCACCTCCACTCCGTTATTACTCCATCATCACTGGATCATATTATAGAAAAAAAGGTGAATCAAATATTATCAAATTTCAACAGACGCTTAAAAAAATCTAATCGAATGTTCACAAATTATCAAGAGCAGTAATTTAACGTAGGAAAAAAACAAGGGGCGTTTGGAATAAAAACTTGACAGGTGTCAAGTTTACATTAGATTTTCCCTTGAGTTTTTAATGAATTCAACTATTTATTTTTGTACTTAGCATTAATCGAATAGATGTTCCTTTTTAGATGTTGTGAAAGTTCCAAATGAATGAAGCTCGTACCATTGAGTGCAAATAACGGAATGGTGTACAGTGTTAAGTTTAAAGTGTTGCAAAATTCGTAAATGGGATGAATGAAGAGGATTTAGTGAAAAGATCGGCCGAAGAGCGAGAGAAAATATTTTTAAGGTAGTCAAAACCGTAGGGTTTAATGGCTTGTAGTTGGAGTATTAATTGGGCCATTGTAGATATGAGCAAGGTAGAGAAGGTGCCGAAATTGACCCGTGGGAAGATCCGGGTTTCGAGGTATATCACACCACAGATAGGTATGGTTTCATTCATGATAAGAGACTGCCATCCAAAGTGGACCCGCAGGAAGCAAAGAGGCTGCAGATCGAAGTAGAAAGGCAGAAGAAATGGTTGAAGATGCTCAAAAACTGGGACAGCCCGATCGCTAAAGAAAAACTCCATTCGAGGGTGTACAAAGGCATACCCAATTCTCTTAGAACTGAAGTTTGGGCTAAATTACTACAGGTATATTATTTTTAATTAGATACATTATTGCTTAATTTAATTTAAAATTTCAATTAGGTCGAACAAATGAAGAAGCAACATAAAGGTGTGTACGCAGAAATGATGAAACTATCTAGAAAATATTCCACAGACGCTAGACAAATAGATTCGGATGTAAATAGGCAATTTAGGGAACATCTACATTATCGTGAAAGGTACAGCATCAAACAGCAATCACTATTCAATGTTTTAACAGCTTATGCAATGTTCAATTCAGAGGTAACTCGAAACTTGATTATCAATACATTTCGATTAATCATTTTTTAAATTATTATAGGTCGGCTATTGCCAAGGTATGTCAGGCTTAGCGGGTGTACTGCTTATGTATATGGACGAAGAAGATGCCTTTTGGGCTGTACACATTCTACTAACGAATCCTCGATTCGCCATGCACGGGCTGTACAAGGAGGGATTCCCCAAATTGACTCGTTTTTTGGCACACCACGATAAAATTCTCACTAAACTATTGCCCAAGATCAAGAAGCATTTCGACAAGCATGGTTTGGACGCCATATTGTACTCACTTAAGTGGTTTTTTGTTTGTTTCATAGAAAGGGTGAGTTCACCAGTTGTTCACATACACTCATGAGTCGTGTACTACTTTAGATGGGTTTTCATTTCAGGTTCCTTTTAATTTATGTTTGCGTATCTGGGATATATACCTGTTAGACGGCGAAAGAGTGATAACAGCGATGGCTTATACAATACTCAAATTACACAAAAGACAATTACTGAAACTCGGTGATATGGATTCGATCGTAAATTTCATACAGGTAAAGTATTTTCCAAAACGAAAACCTACATCTATATAATCGAATTAATCGTTTAGGTAAAATTGTACAAAGACTTCCAATACGACGAAGACTCGGCGATCAGGCACTTGGAAGCCTCGATGGAGGAATTGAAGAAACACAAACTCGACCTTCCCGGTCCGCCGACCAAAGACGAGCTGCCCGTAGGCCCGTTCGGGGTGTTCAAAGAGCCCACGTTTGAAGAGATAGTGGGCATCCGCAAGGATGCCTTCTCGTCGGACGAGAAACGCATGAACGAGATCGTCATGTTGGCGAGCGAAGCGGCCAAAGAGACATCGGCCTACGAAAAGGACAGGGATTGTCAGCTGTCGACGGCCGATTCCGTCGGCTTTACAGGTACCGATACCGAAAATAACAGTACGCTCGGTAGTAGCACCTCTTTAGCTAGCATAAGCAAGAGCAGTATGTTTGATAGCGGCGAGAATAGTAGCGTCGATGAATGCACAAGGCTTTGATTGTTTTTTTTTGTTACGTTTTCGTTTACAAATGGGTTATACGTTTATTTCTATCGTGAATTTAAAGCGCCCGGTAGAGCTTGTTTTGGGTAGGGAATTCAGCTTGTGCAGTCGACTCGATATGATGCTCTTATACAGGGTGTTCGATGAAAAGTAGCCCATTTAATCAGCTTGTAACGTTTAGAAGCTTAATCATAAAAATATGCAGTTTTCGCAGATTTATTTTATTATAGATTACTGAAAGATATACACTTCTACCTTTCAAAAATGTATTATCTGTACAAGTTATTCTACAAAAAGATGTCCCATTTCATAATATTTCATTAATGTCAATTGAAAAGAGGGGATTTTGATAAGACACCCTGTACATGTGATACAAAATGACTCTCTCACTGTAACAAGACTTGTAACAAAATAAAATGTATCAGGGAAAACCGCATGCTCTTATTATTTAGGCGTTTAAAAATTACGAGCCGGTTAAATGGGCTATACTTTTTGTTGGGACGCCCTGTATTATTCGATTCAGTGCGGTAATACAAAATTTTTTCGAATTAACTACTCTGTAAAGTTTCTTTTTAATTTTATCTGCACTTCATCACATTTTTAACATATTGCAATAAACTGTATGAAATCACCTTCATCGTTCACAATTAACAACGAGTAAAAGTTTCGATTTAATATTTAAGTATTTGTGATATTTCTGTGTACATATAAACTTGTTTTTCAAAAAAGCCTTGACCGGGCAAAGAAACGAACAGTAAGTTTTCGTGAACAAATAATGAGTTAATTAAATTATGCATGTGTAATAGGTTTTGTTTTTCAATCAATACTGATAGTTTTTTTAGTTTACAACGAATTTATTTATTGTTAGGTAATTTGCATGGTTCTTAAGATTAGTTTATTTTTTTATTATGAAACTTATTATAAAAAGTTCCTTGTTTGCTACCTTGAGATACTAAATAGCGCCTAAGCTAAATAAAATGTTCATTAATTCAAGTTTTTCGTGTATTAAGATAGTAGCTGTGAAGTGAAAAAGTTCCGAAATCTCAGTATTTGTACATTTTCCTGTTATTTTGTTTTTAACTGTACTTATCAAATATGTACAAATATTTAAGTCCAATGATGTATATAAGAAAGAAAAAAAGATTTTAGTAACAGTTGTAATATATTTTTTTATTTTATTTTGTATTATTTTCGCTCGTTAGTAGATAGAAATATTCGGAATATCTGTAAAATGAAAGACCAAAGAAATTTTTACCAAATCTAATTTATCGATTCATTATTTGTGGCGGATTTTCTCTTGATGTTTCAGTGGTGTGGTCTTTAATTAATCTCATATTCTATTTTTGTAACCATTCATCATTTTTACCTATAACAGAATTAATAACCCTAACTTCAACTGGGATCTTGTGCAGGGTTGTTTCAATAAATGTTCTGTACAAAGGTGATTTCTTTTGTTAATTTAAAATGAACAGTGTATACAGGGTGTTCCAAAAAATATTCCTATTCCCTAAGCATTCGGACATCTCATAAAGGGGAATGTTTTTGGCTAACTCTGTATGTATAAATTAGGGTTAAATTTTCGCGTTTTCAAAATTCCTTCCACTAATATCTAAATTGAATTGTAAATTGATGTTATTTTAGTATTGCCACCAGTCAGCAAATGAGTATGAATTTAAGAGGTGTAAAAACCGCCTGGAACTGGCTTGAACACGTTTTGGTAGGTCCGCATGAGCAAAGAGCATGTTATTCACCAGTTTTTCTCTGTTTAGATTTAGGTTTCCCCGTCCCCCATTTCCCGTTCCGTTGAGAATACATTCAGAAACGATACCTTTAATGGTGATAAAAATAATGAAAAAATAACCGGTAAGATTCGTTTTATTTATATTTCTTGGGGTGCATTCGCATTGTTCCGGCTAGGGGTAGATAAAACGCTAGTAATTATTTGGAATATTAAATATGTAATTTTATTTAAATTTATTCTAAAGATTACTTTGACATAAACTTTTCCGACGATTTCAATCAGTTTGTTAGAAGAGGGTTGTACGTTTTGGAGAATCGGGATATTTGGCGAGAATTTAACTACAAAGAAGGTAAATTTACACAACAATCAAGTATCGCTATTAAAAATTTAGAAATGAAACCACACAAAACGCATCCTGGAATCCATCCGTTCCTTCAAAATCCCCTACAACAACGCTTTTATTTCTTATTAAAAATTAACAAACCGACCCACGCTTAACACTTACTAATTGTAAATAGTTTTCTATGTAATTTCACCACTAGGTAATGTTAGAATTAATAATGCGTCTCGTTTTTATCCGAACATTCATTGGAATTTCTTGTTAATTGTTGTGGGAATGGATGTTTTGTTTGCACAAAAAATTGCTTCAAAACTTTAGTAGATGAATGTTGTAATGTCCTTAATACACTTAAGCTTCATGTTGGATTCAACTAATCAAAGTTGAAGCTAAGAGAAGAGCAACTTGTCTCAACAGTGAGATTCCAAAGTGTGTCCTGATAATCGGGCACACCCGCGTTTTGTATTTAAGTGTTGTAATCGAATAATGTCAACGTGTAATTTCCAGGTTCGAAGTTCTCCTTCGATCCGAGCATGGACGACGCCAGCTCGCTCCTGGACTGCGAGCACACGGGCTCGAGGCGCTCGCTGGCCGACACCAGCGTGACGTCCACGGCTGACCTGTCGGTGTTCTCGACGGTGACGCGCAGCCAGCAGCACGACAACAGCCTCGACACGCACAGCAACATGTCCGATAACTCGGCGGGCGGCGTCAGCTCGGCGGGCTCGGGCGTCGGCGCCACCGGCAGTCTGCAGCGCGCCGTTTCGGGGCGGTCGACGCCTCGGGCGGCGACGCGCGTCCCCAGCCCCGACGTGTTGCGCATCTACGTGCCGTACACGCCGCTCGACACGCCGGTGGCCAGTCCGCACAACGGCTTCCTCGACGCCAACAAGATCCGCATCCGGATCGACAACGACGAGCTGCCGACGCCGTTGGTCGAGCACGGGCAAATCAAGAATTTCAGATTGGATGCTGCTATCGAATACGATTTGACATGAACGCGCTTCGAGCGCGCGAAACGCTTTATTCGGATTACTAATACCGATATCGACAAAATAGCAGAAGAAAACCTGTTATTGCATGAGTAAAGTGCAAAATTGTTTGCAGTACGCTCAATTCTATGAGTTGAACAAAGAAAGATGGTATACAAAAATAATGGTTTGAGTGAGAAAGTTTCAATCAACCCACAGTATCACTCTTTCTTCTTCCTTTATATAAGACTAATGGAACTTGTCTTTGTTGCACCCATAGACACCATATTGCGTATTTATTTACATTTATCTGTATGTAATCGAATAAAGCGTTTCATATGAGACCGAATGTATTCGAACGAACAAAACAGCCGATGAATTCCAAAAGTTTGAATGAAATTCTAGTCTTTGTAGATATTTAAATGATTTTTGTCTAATAAATCCAATGAATGCAGAGCTACTGTACTAATTCCGCTAAGGGTTAGTTTAATTTATAATTGATAGAGATTAAATGAAATATATCCATACTCGCATACATTGAATAACAACTCTGATAGGTTGGGATATTATAAGATATTCCTGCAATACTGATTTTACTAGAAAAATATTGCCTTTATTTATTTATTTATTGTTTGTTTTTTTTTTTGTAATGACGAGGTTGATACGAGTACGTGGGTCAATCAGAAACACTGTCAATTTATCGATATCTTTTTTATATTCTACAGAAGCAAAATCGATCAATGCGCTTCAATAAAATTGTATTAGCAATATTTCGTATAAATTATTAAGCGTTATTTTGGGGTTTTAGGTGTTAGGAACTTAAGAGACGTCCTAATTTATTCTTTACATTGAAATTGTTCGAATAAGTTTTCCAACAAATTTTTCCATTATCGATTCCATTCCTTCAGCATTTATATTTATGTATTTATTTTTGTATAACGTAGACGTGTTAAATTATATTCAGGGTCGTTCGGGTGATTAATTCGCAATAAAAAAATACTCGAGATTGTAATGTGTTCAGCCCCATTCGCGAACCACCCTGTATATCCGATAATATAAAAGCCTAGTTCGTATCATGTAGATGCTAAGGAATTGTGCCATAGGAGGTTCCCATCTCGCATAATTTAATTTAAAAGGTTTTGACTTGATGAAATTTTCCAGTTATTTTTTTAATTGTAATAGAACTAAAACGTTTAATGATGGGCTTATCATTTCGCAAGAATACAACGTGTTAATTAGGTGATAAGGAGGATAACGTTTATTAAATATACAGGTTGTCCTAATGAGTGAGCAAATTTATCTCTTGCATGTAAATAAATCGTTTGAAAATTGAACATTTTGTAATTATGCGACTATATCACATTTATTTTGGTAAAATTTATATAAATATCGTAGGTGACGCTGTTGTTTTTTCAAAACGCTGTTTGTTAAATAATTCCACCGACGGAATTTTATTTATATTTTGTATTTTACAAAATAATATAATAATAACATTATATTATAATAATATAATATAATGTTTGGTTCGAAAATGGTTCGTTTATTAAGAGTTCTTGATGGCACTAAAATATATTTAAAATTCCCAATAGATTCAGATATTTTCTCACTAATTATATCATGAATGTTAAATTCTAATGAATGTTGTGATTTGTAAATAATTAACGAAATTTTCTCTAATGAATTGACAACATTTTTTATTAGTATGCAGATCGCGAAGAATAAGTGATTATTCACTACTTTTAGTTCATTTTCACTTACAGGGATCCAATTCAAGATAGTTGGTAACGGATACATAATTATATAAAAAATAGGTATATTGTTAGAAAAAAATGATACTCCTGAAAATATATAGTTTCTACAGATATTAGAATATAGTTTTAAAATATTTAAAAAACCTTTCATCGAACCATCGATAAAATTGTATAAATTATATTTTTCACTTTTTAAATTTATCACAGAAGTAATTAAAACTTAGCACTGGTTAGTAGTGGAGGTGTGAGCTATTAGCTTCTGTTTGTCGCAGGATTTGTACGAGCGTGATAAATGCAATAAAATACGTGTATTTCACTTTGATTTTAAGTATAAACATGTTGATCAGTCATAGAATGACTTCTAAATTTCTTAATAAAACTACTTAAAAAACGAATTGATTTATTACCAATCCTAGAATCTACAAAAAATTTGTGAATCCCCTAAATTACTACATAAATCGAATATACTTATTTAGGCAACCTATTATGCATTGGAAATGGTCAGTTTTTATGTGTCTGCATAAACCTGTAAGTGAAGGCAGGTATTGTACGAAACGTCAGTGTCACTGTCAGTAGTGTCAAATAAAATTTCACAAGAAAATCGTGTTGTAAAAGTTTGATGAATGGTGTAACCCTGACCATGGCTGATGAAATAAAAATTGTTCAGGAAAACGGGGGTGACGCACCCCCGAAATCGGCCAAGCAGCTCGCCAAGGAAGCCGCCAAGCAGGCGAAACTGGACAAATTGAAGCAGAAATTGGAAAAACAGCAAAACGCGCCGCCGAAAAAAGACAAGGAAGAGGTAACTAATCATTTTTAACATATGTTTCGGGCGCAATCATGCACTTAAAATATCACAATGAAACGAAAGAATCAGTTCGTATTAAAAAGTCCAACAAAAATTACTCGTTACTTTGATTGTTTAGCGAAAAAAATTGATCACAAAATTTATAACCTACAACATATTGTAGTTGAAGGCATGTAGATGAATAATTGCATTTGTTTAGAAAAAAGAAAAGAAAAAGGAAGTTAAGGAGGCTGCAACTTACGATATTCCCACGGAAGAAGGCGAGAAAAAAGATACTCTTTCGCCCTTACCTGATGCTTACAGCCCAAAATACGTTGAAGCAGCTTGGTACACTTGGTGGGAAAAACAGAAGTTTTTCAAACCCGAGTATGGAGTAAGTTTTACCACAATAACCCAATCGAATGAGATTAACTACACCAACTTATTTTATAGAGAAAATCAATATTGGAAGACAATCCGAAAGGTAAATTTGTTATCGTCATTCCCCCTCCGAATATCACTGGTTACCTTCATCTAGGCCATGCTCTAACCAATTCAATACAAGACTGCATTACTAGATGGTAAGTTTATCTATTTGTTTTAATACTTCCATTAATCTTGCACTTTAATAGGCATAGAATGCGAGGTGAAACAACCCTCTGGAACCCTGGTTGTGATCATGCTGGTATTGCTACCCAAGTTGTGGTGGAGAAGAAATTGTGGAGAGAAGAAAAGAAGACCAGGCACGACATCGGAAGGGACAATTTTGTGCAGAAAGTGTGGAAATGGAAGGAAGAGTATGTATTTTATTTACTACAATTTTTTCTCTACTAATTATTACCTAATGTAATAGAAAAGGTGTAAGGATTTACCATCAGTTGAAGAAGATGGGTTCATCTTACGATTGGGAACGCGCCGCATTCACCATGGATCCTAAGCTATGCAAAGCTGTAACCGAAGCTTTCGTTAGACTGCACGAAGACGGAACGATTTATCGATCTAACAGACTCGTAAATTGGTCTTGCACATTAAAATCCGCTATTTCTGATATCGAGGTATTAGTCTACACGTTTATCTCTTTTATGCAATTATTAACTGTCTTTAAATAGGTGGATAAAGTGGAGATACCCGGGAGAACTTTCCTCTCTGTACCGGGATACGAGGAAAAAGTCGAATTCGGGGTGCTGGTACATTTCGCTTATCAAGTCGAAAATTCCGATGAAAAATTAATCGTAGCAACCACTCGAGTGGAAACTATGTTGGGAGATACTGCCGTTGCTGTGCATCCCAAAGATGAGAGATACACTCATTTACATGGAAAGTACGTATAAAATCACGTAATCGATCATAAGTATTTACAATAATTGCAAATTTTAGGTACGTCATCCATCCGTTTTGCGATAGAAAGCTACCGATTGTTGTAGACGATTTCGTGGAATTAGGATTCGGTACTGGAGCCGTAAAAATCACCCCCGCCCACGATCCTAACGATTACGAAGTAGGAAAACGGCACAATTTACCTTTCATCACTATTTTCGATGAAGAAGGCGTCATTATCGGAGACTATGGAAGATTTACAGTAAGCTACAATTACCTCACTTGTCGAGATCAATTACTAATTGAATATTTCAGGGGATGAAACGGTTTGTGGCTCGAAAAGAAATCGTAAACGAGTTGAAACAAAAAGGTCTTTACATAGAAACTAAAAATAATCCGATGGTTGTTCCCATTTGTAACAGAAGCAAAGATATCGTCGAGCCCATGCTCAAACCGCAATGGTAATGATACTTATTATTCAAACGTATTCGGGTTATTAATTGATATTTTTTAAGGTATGTGAGCTGTTCGGATATGGCGAAAAAGGCCATTCAGGCTGTGAACGATGGCGATTTGAAGATAATTCCGGAAATGCACGTGAAAACTTGGCACCATTGGATGGAGGGCATCAGAGATTGGTGCATTTCCAGGCAACTCTGGTGGGGACATAGGATTCCCGCCTACTTCGTAACTGTTAAGAACAAACCACAGCATAAACTCTCACCAGGAGTAAGTCATGTAAAATATAGTAATAAATAAAAATTAATAATGTAATTTTAGGGCGACGACGGTGATTGTTGGGTATCGGGTAGAACGTACGAAGAAGCTCTACAAAAAGCCACGAAGAAATTCAATACAACGCCGGAAAATCTCGAATTGTCTCAAGACGTTGACGTTTTAGACACGTGGTTTTCCTCAGCCCTGTTTCCGTTTTCGATATTCGGTTGGCCAGATAACACCGAAGACCTCCAAGCTTTCTACCCGACGTCCTTATTAGAAACGGGCCACGACATTCTGTTCTTTTGGGTAGCTAAAATGGTGTTTATGGGCCAGAAATTACTGGGAAAACTGCCGTTTAAGTAAGTTATAACGTCCTACACTGTTTCGATCTCGTTAAAAACGGTTCTTGTAGGGAAATCTACCTTCATCCGATCGTTCGCGACGCGCACGGAAGGAAAATGAGCAAATCGCTGGGCAACGTGATCGATCCCATGGACGTCATAACCGGTATAGCGCTGGATGACCTCCACAAGCAATTGTACGACAGCAATTTGGATCCGAAGGAAATCGACAAAGCCAAGCAGGGCCAGAAGCAGGATTATCCGGACGGGATACCGGAATGCGGTACTGACGCTTTGCGATTCGCCCTATGTGCAATGTGCTACGGACGAGACATTAATCTAGACATCCTCCGCGTTCAAGGCTACAGATTCTTCTGCAACAAAATATGGAATGCTACAAGGTAATAGTACAATATTGTAGCAACGGAGATTATATTGGATATTTGTAGATTCGCTTTAACGTATTTCTCTACCAATTTCCGAGCGCCCGATGATAACAAACTAATCGGCAACGAAAGTTTAATGGATTTGTGGATGCTGAGCCGACTGTCCACTGCCATTACCGATGCCAATAGAGGTTTCAGCAACTACGATTTTTCTACCATCACCACAGCTATTTACAACGTGTGGCTGTACGAACTTTGCGACGTATATTTAGTAAGTTAATTACTTCGTTTAATTTGCAAGATGATTTATGTATTAATTACCAGGAAACCCTCAAACCGGTGTTCGCTGGCGACGACGAAGAGGCCAAAAACACGGCTCAAATTACGCTGTTTCGAGCCTTGGACGTGGGGCTTCGCTTACTTTCGCCTTTCATGCCTTTTATAACGGAAGAGCTGTATCAGAGATTGCCGAGACCGGCGAAACAGGCGAAAGAAGTTCCCAGCATATGCGTGGCTTCGTATCCGAACGAAAAGGAGTACAGGTGGAAGAATGAAGATATCGAAGACGAGGTGGATTTCGTGCAGAGAGTGGCGAAAAGTATCCGATCCGCCCGCAGCGACTACAATCTACCTAACAAAACCAAAACCGAAGGTGAGATACGCGAAATTGTTTGATTTATTGTTCGTTGGTAAATGGATTTTATATTACAGCTTATGTCCAATGTGATGATGAAATGACGGCGGATATCATCACGAATTATAGTTTGGCGTTGCAAACTTTGGCGTATTGTTCGAAAACGCTTGTCAACGAACAACCCCCCGACGGTTGTACTATTTTGACCATATCGGATAAATGCCAAGTCTATTTATTGTTAAAAGGTAAAACTCGCTAATGCTCGCATAAACAACGTTTAATATTCGATATTTTCGTGCAGGACTCATAGAACCTTCCAAGGAGATCGCCAAAATTCAGAAGAAATTGGATTTCCTGCAAACCACCAGAGAGAAGTTGAACAAAACCATCGGTGCTGCCGATTACGAATCGAAAGTGCCGGAGGAAGTAAGACAATCTAATGACGATAAATTGAATCAAACCAGCGCGGAGATATCGCGACTGGAAGCCGCTCTCAGTTCGCTGAGGTTAATGTAATGGATTTTTATACCGAATTTTTATATGCAAACTAGCTTATCGCAATGTCTAATTCCAATAACTATTTATTTAGTTGGTTTTTGTTTCATGTAGAATGTAAAATACTATTTATTTCTTACAGCTAAGGTGTAATAGTCGCTTGAAATATTGAGTTAAAGTCACTTTTTTGGATGTTATATTGTTTTGTTATAGTTTTTGTTACTTTTAATTGCATTTCTGCGAATGTTCGTACTTGCAGAGCCTTATAACTAAACACATTTCAGTATTTCAATACCAAAAACAACTCGGCTTGTAATAAAAGATAATTAATTGCTTGATTAAATTAGTATTTTATTAAGTATTCAAATTGCCCAGACTCGAACGTAATCGATGAGAAAGTGAGAATCCTCGCTTCCGACGTCCCACGTTGGCAGCCATTGTTCCCTGCCTTGCCAGAAGGTCGTCAAGGCGTTGGAGGCCGAATTAGACCAGGGTTTACCGCCAGGTTTGTTATCAGCATCGTCTGGGAAGTAAGCCGTCCCTCCCACAGCTAAATTGAGTATCAAATAAAACTCCTGGTCGAACGGGGCCATTCTAGTGTCCCGTTTCCACGGGTTGTCCAAACCGGTCGCGTCGAGGTGCCCCATTTCCCAAAAACCCCCGTCTCCGGGCTTCACCGTGCCGATAACCGAGTCCTCGACCGAGAATTGTATGTGATCGGGCGTCCATTCCAATTGGTACCTGTGATAATCGGAGTTGTAGCCCTCGGATAGGTTCTGCTCGAAGTGGGTGTAATTGTATCGGTTGTAGTTCGGGTTCGGGCCCCAATGCAGCGTGCTGCCGATCTGCTGGACGCCGATGTTGACGCCCGAGGGGCTCACCAGTTGCCTGTTGCCCCTGCTCTCCATGATGTCGATTTCGCCGGAGGACGGCCAGCCGGAGTACTGGTTGTATCTGGGCATCAACCAGATGGCTGAGCAAAACGGTGGGAATTTAATACTTATTAGCGCGGTTTGGATGGTGTCGAGTTACCTGGCCACAACCAATCCCCGGCGGGTACTTTAGCTCTCACTTCGACCTTTCCGTATTTGAAGGAGAAGGAATGGAGCGACCTCAAGCGGGCGCTTTTGATCGGATTGACGATGTTTGTTGCCGTGCCGGTTCTACTGCAGCCGTACCATTGCGGATTCGTGCACCTGTGATAAATGCATTATTGATGTATGCATTAAACAAACAATGGGGTTCTTACTCGTCAGCCGGGGATCCCCCGTTGATGTCCAAAGTTCCCGAATACAAAAAATTTTCACCGTAATCGTCCGCAACGAAGGTCGGTCTGATGTGAAGAGACCCGTTCTCTACGTAGCTGTTGGATCTGTTGTTTGTGTACCATTGAAATTCCCAATTCTATAGGAATTTATGGGTTTTTACAACACGCATTAAACGCGTTATTGGATTGAACTTACCCCGTTGCCTCCCAGATTCTGTTCGTGCTGCCACTTTCTCAAGTCCAGCTTGTCGAAGTCGTCGTCGAAGATTAACTGCTGCGAGCAGAAGGGACCTTCGGGCGCGTGGGTGCCACTCACAGTCGTGGGGGAGGTCTTAGGGCAAAAGGCACAATCGCCCATTCGGGCGATTTGCAGTAAAATTGCCAATAAAGTTACTCGTTTCATTTCAAGTCGATATATTGAACTGAAGCGAGTTGAGTAAAATAACAGGTATAAGTGCGGTTGTTATCATATAAAGCATTTTGTCCAAAACCACTTGAATTGATGAGATAAGTTTGTCTATTTTTACACGTTATTAATATACATTAAAAAAAACTCGAGATGGTTTTTTGCCGGAATTTAAATTTATTAAAAAACAGTTTCGTAACGATGCTACTAAACAAACAAGTAAAATTATGAATCAATATTTGATATTTCATAACTAATACAACATATAATTACAAGACTATTATATTACAATCAGAAAATTGTTGCTATTAAAAGAAGCCTCTATGAAGACTTAAATTCAAAGACAGAGTTAGTTCATTTAGAGTAGGTTTGTCAGAAAAATAAAACAAATAAATTAGAATCTAAATTTAACAATTGCGTCTAAATAATCATACCTTGTTCAAGGCAATTTTAATCCACTCTAATTTGAAATTGTGAAGTCAATTATTTTCTAATGCATAATAAGTTCATTCGCAGGATCAAATTGTTTTCGAATTGTACCTTTTGTGGCTAAAATACGTGTGCAATATTTACAATTTTCAGCTTCACAAGGCCCAAATTTTGATGTAATCGATTATCATGGAGCTTCCTTTCTTCCAAGTAGGGAGCCACTGGGCTCTGTCGTCGTAGAATTTTTTAACCTGCAATCTTTCCCTGTTCCTCCACGGCTTCGTGCCGTCGGAGCGATCGTCGAAGCTGAACCCACCCACACCTACGCCCACCTCAAGGCACATCTGGAACAAAGTGTAATTTAAAGTAATTTACCTCTTTCTTGTGATAACATTTTCCTACCTCTTTGTCGAAAGGAGCCAAAGGAGATCCGTTGATCCAATCACCTGAATTATCGATTTTTAATTCATTCGCTAACGATACAAACCCTTCTTTCGGCGGTTCTATTCTGCCGTATTCTGTACCGTCCACACTTACAACAAATTCATCTGAAATTAACTGTTAGTTTGTAGGGTTATTAGTTTATTTGGAACAAACCTGGGGTCCATTTCAATTGGAAATTGTGGAAATCGTCGGCCCACGCTCTCTCGCTGGTTACGTTCCTCAATCCGTAATTCCTCGCCAGCTCGCCTTTGCCCAGAATGATTCCGCCTTTGAGGATTCTGTTGCTCATAGAGTTGCCTTCGGTGAAGGCGATTCGAATTTGCCCCGATTCGAAATCCTTGCCGTACAGCTCTCTCATGGGGTTTAAATACAGTACTGCAAAGAGTGAAGTAAAGAGAAATTGGTGGGATTCGAGTAGGTGTACTTACTGGGATATACCCAATCGCCCGCGGGCAATTTTGCGCGGATTTCCACCCGTCCGTATTTGAAGGAAAATTTTCCTTTTGTCGTCAACAGAGCGGAGGCTACTGGTGGTACCATAAATCCGGCGTCGGATACCATTTTACAAGAAGATTCCTCTTTTACGGTGCAACTGGAATTATATTAATTATTTTTTGCATGAGTCCGTATTTGCGACTTACTTTTTCCCCAAATCGATGCCCTTCTGCAATGTTTCTCGCCCGAATAATTCCTCCAGCATTACTGGTTTGATTTCCAATCCTCCTCCGTTTATGATTTGCCTAGTTTCGGGGCGATCCACGTAAACTACGAATTCGTAGTCCTAAAATGAAGTTTCTAAATAAAAAAATACATAATTTCCTTTATATCATACCGGCGCCGTGGCGATTTTCTGCTCGATTTTCCAAACATTGTGCCTGAGCGACTTGAAATTCTCGTTGAAGATCAGCTTGTCTTGGCACTTGGATTTTCCTTTGACGTGCGTAAGGGACGGTTTGCACTCTTTCGTTTCGGTCTCTTCGTCTTTGGCGTCTTCGTCGAAACTTCCTTCGTTAACATTGGGATTCGTTTGAAAGTTCTCGTGGCGATTGCCGGGCTGGAAGAACGGGTTCGGTTCGACCATGTGATTGGTATCTGTCCAGTCTGCTGGTTGCTCGCTGTGGTGGTTGTGAGTAGGTTGATGGGGGTTTGTAATTTGGAAAAATTCGTTCAAGTTTGCTGTTTGCTCTCCGTGGTGGTTGTGAGTAGGTTGATGGGGGTTTGTATTGTGGAAGAATTGGTTTGGGTTGACATTATGATGATGGTTATGTGGTTGATTGTGGTTGGTAATTTCGAAGAATTCGTTGAGGTTCGATGGATCGACCACGTGTATATTAGTAGCTGGTTTGTTAGGGTTGGTGAGTTCGAAAAATTGGCTTAGATCGGCCGATTCTACTTTGTGTTTGTTACCGTTTTGATTGTGGTTGCTTAAATCCACCCATTCGACTGAAATTTAGTTTTTATAAGGGTAAAAGTTATTAAAATTTGATGGTTACCTTTTGAATTTTCGTCGCCCGCGCCAAACCTTGCATTTAATAAAGGGATGGTTGCGACCGGTCTGATCGCGTGCACCACCACTGGTTGGACGTTGGGATGTTTCTTGTGTTCTCTGTAAATGTTGTCTATGAATTCCTGGCCTTCCGGGCGTATAAAGAAACCTGGAATGACCGAAATGGGTTTATATTACATCGTTTCTCGCATCAGTAGTAGTAAAAGGTTAATTTGTTATTGGCCTTAAATATACTAGACTAACCTTCATTATTGCGGTGAGTATGACCATATCCGCGATTATTTTCATGGTACACATTTGAGTATTCTGGAGACGTTAATTGTGTTGCTCCATTTCCTATGGAAATAAAATCAACAAATTAACCTTTTGTTGCAAACATAAAACGATGACTAAACAGGACATTTTGTGTGCGGTTTTTGCTTTAAATTTTATCACCAAACTACAGTAAAATTCAAAACGATACAAATTACTTTTACATTCGGTCCAGCACGACTTACCAGTTAAATAATTCAGGAACATGCCCGGAATATTCGTAGGATCGAAAGATGCAGCAGCAACGAAGGCAACACTCCATAAATACACCCACAACCTTCTCATTTTAACTAATATATTCTTCTGTAAATGCTGGTTCGGCAGGAATAGGTTGGTTCCAGGTACAAACGTTTAGCCGGAAAAATACTATTACAATTAAAATACAATTAAAGAATAACTGGTAGCAAATCGACTAGAAGACGATAAATACTACCGGTTAGACGATTGTTAAATGTTTATCAATTTTTTACTAATAAAATATACCTGTCCTTAGGTACTCAAAAATAATTTAGGTATGTAGTATTTTCAAATCGATAGATATCTACTCTGTAGGAAAAAGAAGCACAACATACGAAAAATAATTTATTACAAAATATTTATGAATATAAAAAATTATCCTAATATTAGCACTAATTCTTCGTTACTTTAATATAATCGACTTGTAGAGCGCTTTTCTCGCTCCAACTTGGCAACCACTCATCTTGTGCGTTGTTAAATTGCGTCAACATGTTTCTTTTTCCGTTCCTCCACGGCTTGTCATGGGAATCTTTGAAATTAAACCCTCCAACGCCCACTCCTAACACCAAATACATCTGAAAAATCACCAATATTAATATGTATATTGCCCGAAAACGGTGGATAATTCACTCACCTCCTGATCAAACGGAGCGATTTTAGAGCCCGTTCCCCATTTATCGGCGTTGTTGATTCTCAAATTATTCGCTAATTCAGCGAAACCGTTCGATGGAGGAGTTATCCTTCCGTACATTCTGTCATCAACGCTCAACGTAATCTCATTAGGCTGCCAATTGACGACGAACTTGTGGAAATCGTCTGACCAATTTTCGAACGCCTCGACTTTCTTAATGCCGTAATCTCTAGCTGCGTTACTTTGACCCAAAACAACACCGCCTTGGAGGAGTTTGTTCTGGTCGGAATTTCCGGGAGAGAATGCTATCCTAATCTGTCCGGATTCGTAGTTACTGTGTCCGTAGACGCTGTGCAGTGGATTCAAATAAATCTCTAAAAACCGCAGGTTATTATAGTAATTAATCAGTCTTCGATGGTGTGTATTTATTTACCGGGGTAAATCCAGTCACCGGCAGGCAATTTCGCTCTAATCTCCACCTTGCCGTATTTGAAGGAGAATTTGTTTTTAGTGCTGATTTGCGCCGAAACGACGGGAGGCAGGAGGAATCCTCCATTGTAGCTTCTTCTGCAACCCAAAGTATCTGAAGCGTCTGCTGTGCAACTGTAAAAATTAATTTGTGTATATTATAATTGAAGAGAAAAACTATTCATTAAACTCACTTCTCGCCAAAATCATAGCCGGAAAACGAAGTCAGAAATCCTTCCCCGAAAACCCGTTGAGTTAGGACCGGATTTATCTTGAGTTTGTTATTTTTAATTTGGATAGTCTCCGGTCGGTTAACGTACATGACGAATTCGTAATCCTGAAATATGCCACAATAATTTACAGTACAAAATAAAATTAGTGAATTATACCGGTTCTCCTGCGAATTTCTGCTCGACAATCCATCGGGCGGGGTTGAGAGAATTCGAGGAAAAGTCGTCGAAAAATAAATTTCCCGTCTCTGTTGGTTTGATTGGATCTCTCACAGGTGTTTTGTTGATGTCTTGTCCTAAACAAAACAAACTTATTTACACGGGCCTTATATTTTACTCAGTACCATTACCTTTAACAACGAACATCTGATCATCTTTGGGATATCCTAAAACCCTTTCACCGTCATCGAAGTCCACGTAGGTCCAAAAGTACAAAATATCTCCCGGTTTTAACTTGGTAATTTTATCAACGAAGGTCCAGCTGCCATTTTTAGGCTTTAAAATATCCCTGGCGAACGTGCCAGCCTCTCTTCCATCGAATTCCTCGTTGATTTTACCGTGAAAGGCGAATAACTTGATGCCCGGGACATCTACAATGTAATTACTTCAACGAATATGGAAACAACAAATTGGTACTAAAGGAAAAAAAGGAATTTTTGGGATGGAAAAGATGGATAAGAAAATGCGCAGTATACATAATGATTAAGAATAAGAAAACATGTGAATAATTTGATAAAATGTATGATTAATTTTGTGAAGGAAATAAGCGTATTTACCTGGTATGGAAACCTTGAAGCCCCTAGGGCGTAAAACTTCAACGCTAGCGTCAGGAACTTCAAATTGAGCTCTAACGGCTGCAATTGTACACAAAAATAAAAACGGAAGCATCTTTAATAGAGAGAACAAATTCCACATAATATGCGTAAACACGCAAACTTGAACTTAATTTGAGCTAAAAACCGGGATTTCCATGAATATATAGAAATCGAATTAAAAATAGTCCGGTAAACAATAAGTTGTTTACTGTGTAATGCGATTCGTATAATTAGATGTATTGTGGGGGCAATCAGTTATTACATCATAAATTTACCAGAAAAGTTGCATAAATTTATTAAGTTGATAAGTAGAAAATGTAAAACCGCTTATTTCTCTAACTGTAGAAATTCCTGGACTATTTTAAAGGGAATTTTGCTGCGATAAACCAACGGATAAACCAATGACCGCTTGAAATCTCTACAAGACGTACACAGAATTTTTATTTTTATATTTATATATCTTTACAAGAATTTTTATTTTTATTTTCAAATCTTATCTCTTATTTCTTATATTCATCGATATGTATGCTACTTAATAGTGATATTCTCCGTAATTTAAATACTCCTATTTTCAAAATGATGCAGCATTAAATGCATTCAAATTATAATTAATAAATTGTTCATGAAATTATTAAAGCGAATATTTAGGTGTACTCAACCCACGGTTTGTAGGTTATTCTACAAACCGTGTACTCAACCTGCTTCTACTATGACAGTTTACCTGTCACATTTTTATTTAACATAATTATATGCAAACTCCTAATAATTTTATACTAATTTGTATTAATTTTTATAAATGGTCAATAAAAATCGCTATTTTCGTATGTACTGTTGAAAATTGTTATATAAAAAGATTAAAACATAGAAGCAGTAACTGTAAACTAATACAGTTACAGGCCATATTAGACAAATTATTTGACAGGATCGTAACAAGTTCCACAAGAACTGTCAAAAACGTAGTTCCTTATAAAAGGTTTACATTTAAATTATAAAATTTGTGTAAAATATTTTATTGCTTACTAAATAATGTATAAAATGTAATAGTGTACAAAATTTTCATTTATTATAATTCAAAATATATGTATCTTATTTGCTAACAAATGAAGCCGGTCCTGATTGGCGAATAACGAGAAATATTTAAATTTCCCAAACGACATCAAGTAGTTTTGAAATTGACATTTATTTAAATGACACACAGTCAATTTCGATTTTCACCTCATTCAATTATCTTACTTTAAACAAAATCTAAAAAAGCATTTTGCTTTGTTTTACCCAAAATATCGCATATTTTGTTTTAAAAAAACTGAAACAACATAATAAAAAACCAACACGATTTAAGCGCGATAATTCAACCAGCGCTAAGACATTATTGGTTTCAAATAGCCATAAAAATTCGAATCTTATCGCTTAATCGAAGGACATCCCAACAGAAAATATGAATTTTGAATCCTTGAACGATACCAGGTGAGTTATTAACAATCGATTTAATAATTTGGAAAATACTTTGTTAATTTGACAATAATGGGTATTACTTACATAATTATAGTACCTAATACAGGAAACTGTGTAGGTACTTTAACATATTTAATAATAAATTTATTTACTTACAATTGTAGTTCTTCTATCTATTAATAAATATTGGTCAATTCTATGAGTTGAACAATGAAAGAATATTATAACATACTGGTTGGAATGAGAAAGTTGCAATCCCACAATATCAATCTTCTTTTTCCTTTATATGAGACTAATGGAAGCTGTCTTTGTTCCACCCACAGACCACACGACCCAACGACCACTTATTTCAAAGTTTGCTTTCTTCGTGCTTTCTTCAATTTGTTTCTACTCTCCTTTTCCGTGCATAGCAAAATCAAAATTATCAATGAGTACTCAGATATATATTCAATCTGAGGAAACTTATTCATTCCCATCGTTCCAGCACGATAAAAAACGAAGACCTGAAGGACGAATACGACATATTCCTGTTCGCCCACTTGGACAACATCACCAACAACATCGTCAACGGCTCCAACGACCTGCCGTTCGGCAACCAAATGGAGGCGGCGCCGTTGCCGCCGTCGAAGCCTCGCGATCACCTCGACCACGACATGGCCTTCGACGAGAAGGAGGTCGCCAATCTGGACGTGGCGGAGCTGATGAAGTTCGAATCGGAGGACGCCGACAACGGCACGACGCACTTCGTCAGGCACGAGATCCAGAACGGCAAGCAGGTGAAGTTGTGGGAATGCGGTGTTTGTGAGTAGTTGAAGGAATTGTTGCCAGCGCGGATTCGAGAGGTTTGTTGCAGGTCAGAAGGTGTTTACGCATCAGTACACTTTGATGCGGCATTTGCCGACCCACACGGACGAGAGGAAGTTCCAGTGCGTTACGTGCGGGAAAGGTAATTTATTTCGTTCAATAAATTGTGAGACTGTATATAGGAATCCTGTGAAATCGTTACAGCCTTCCGGCAAATGTCGACCCTATCCCAACACCGGGCTATCCATTCCACCGATCGTCCTTACATTTGCGAAATTTGCCAGAAAACCTTCAATCGCGTATCCACTTTGATTTCCCACAGAAAAACCCACACTGGTCTCAAACCCCACAGGTGCCATTTGTGCACTAAAGCTTTCCATCAGAAAGGTACTATTGCATCCTCTCACATCTCTCATAAGCAGTACAATTTTTTCATGCGTTTCAGGAAATTTGCGCAATCACATTTTCACGCACACCAACGAGAGGCCTTACAAATGCGACATTTGCGGCAACGGTTACAACCAAATGTCCAATTTGATGTGCCATAAACTGAAAGTAAGAGAAATACAGTGCACCATTGTATCTACAACTATTGGTAACAATTGTGATGTAGCTGAATATATTGATGTTTTTTCGATAGGCTCATCAGAAAAGCGAGAAACTTAAGTACGAGTGTCACGTTTGCTTCAAGTCCTTCGCTAAGCGCGTTAGTTTGAGACAACACGAGCGGTACACTCACGTACCGAATACCACCGAAGCCGTTGTTCAACCGACGTCCACCATACAAATACCAGACAAGATTAGGTAACCATTTCTTTTATGGTGGTTTAGCAGGAGAAAATGTTGGGGAGATCAAGCGTAAAATGATCTATTAGATATTCACTGAACAGCTTTCTAAGCGAATATCAAAAATGAGAACATTTTTTTGTGTTTAGTAACGCAAATTCGATAATCGTGGAGCCGATAAAAACTGAGGCGATGAGACTAGCGATCGAATCGAATCAAACGCCTTTCGCCCTTCTGCGTCCCGTCTCTGGAATTCCCGTGCTGGTGAGAGTCCTTCCAGCTGGCGATAAGCAGATGTTGGTTCCCGCGTCTGCCGAGGATTTGAAAAAGCACAGCCAAATTTCCATTATGGCCAAGGATGACAAAATACCCATCACCCGTGAGTTTATCTTCCTCTACCCTCTATTAGCAAAAGCGTACAATAGGTCAATATCAAGTCATAGGTAATAGTAAAAAATATTTGTAGAAAACCAGCAAACCGGTTGTACCGTTCAAATAAAAATACCCGTAGTGGCGACTGTGATTCAACGAAGCGATCTCGCCGGTCAATTGTCGATGTCGGTGATCAGTCCCGGTCCGAACGGGGAATTGGGCGATCAGATCGGATTGATGGGATCTAAAATTAATAACTTCGTCTACAGTTCCACTTTGACGCAATGCGGCGTCGCCGGATCGCACGATTTATCCCAAAATGGTACTCTATCGTTCATAAATCAACAAGACCTAGGTGTTAACGGGGTGGAGAATAATCACATACAAAGTAAGATGTGATGTTTGTTTTGTGCATTTGCCATTGCTCTAATAAAAGACTTATTTTAATTTTTAGTTAGCATGGATAATGGAATCGCCTATCAAACGATACCGGTATAAGCTGTTACTTGAAGCTAAAAGTATTTCCACTATAGTTTGCTTGTATTTAATTTAATTCGTTTCAGTGTTTTAAAAAATTTTTGTTCGTCTAGAGTCTAGAGGCTAATGTGCAAATTTCAAATAATTTAATTTCGTTTAATGGCTCGATCAAACCGAAATAAAAAATCGGTCGAATAAATTATTTCTTTGAATTTTCGTTATTATTTCTAAGAAAATATAATCAAATGGCAGTGATTTTAACGTAATCGACGAGCAGCTCTCCACCGTAAAACCAGCTCGGCTCCCATTTACTCCTGTTTTCGTAGAATTTCTTCACTTGGTTGATTTCGGAATTCTTCCAAGGTTTGTCGTAGTTGCCTTTGAAGCCGTCGGGGAAGTCCGTGATTCCTCCGACGCCTACGCCCAGCACCAGGTGGACCTGTCGGAAACCCATAAAAACACAAGTGAGTACCTTTATTTATCAAATTAATACCTACCTCTACCTACCCTCTTCGACCCTACTCTACCCCTCCCCTACCTCTACTATCTCTTAACTAAGGACTTTCTACAACTTCTTATTCAACTTCAGTTTACAGCCAGAAAACTTACCTTGAGAGGATCGCTGGAAAATCCAGTTGATTTGAGCACTTCTTGTCCTATCGAGCCGTACTTGTTGTCGTTTAAATATAATTCGAGTTTTTCTAAAAAAAGAAAACTTTGTACCTATGAGAAATAAACGACTAATGCTTCGACATACCCGCGGTCCATTTTAGTTTGTACGTATGGAAATTGTAACTTAAAGGTGTTGGAGTTTTGTAGGAACTCAAATGGCTGCTTCTTTCCGGTTCTCTATCATTTACAATCGGCCCGCCGAATAGCAATGTTCCTCCTAAATCGTTCGATGCGTCGTTTCCTAGTAGAACTGTGTTGCCCCTAGCGTAGGCTATTATTAGTTTTTGGTTGTTTTCGTCTTCTAAATATATTTCTACAAAAACGGGGGGTAGAATCTACCTTAGTAAGGGTATATTTTTACCTGGATACATCCAATCTCCCGATGGTAATCTAGCTCTAACTTCCACCTCTCCGTACAGAAAATTCACTTTAGATACTAATCTAGCGGAGGCGATCGGATGGTGCAGCATATAGAGCTTGTTTCTGCATTTAGCCCTTCTGGATGGAATGCGAGTACATCTAGAAATATTGTTGACTAAAATATTTGTCAAAAGTAATGAAGTATAAACAGATTTACCCATCTGATAGATCCAACCACTCTTCCTTGAGATCTTCATTGCGAATTTTCGGCCTGATGGTCAACCGATTGTCATGAATGCTGGTTACTGAACTATCATTAACATAGATGTTGAATTCGTAATCCTGTTCAAGTAAAAGAAATTAACACGTTTCTAGTTATGTTATGGCTTGAATATTTCGGTAGAAACAAGATTTTATGATAATAACCTAGCAATGCATCTTTATGTTCAGATTTCATCATGACCTAGTTGTTAAACTTACTGGCTGCGTTGGAATGTACTGTTCCAGTAGCCATTTATTAGTGTTGAGCGAATTTCCGCTGAAATCATCTTCAAAAATTACTTGTCCGCTGCACACACTCTTTCGATTGGACACCACTGTCGCGCTAGCTTTACACACTAGTTCATTCTTCGATCTCAAAGCTGCACACGAAAAAAAAAAAACGTTAAAGCAACTTGGACGAATTCGATGATAATTTATTTACCTGTGACTCTCCACGTTTGGTTGTCCAATCTGAATCCCAAGCCGTCATGCTGGATGTATATCCAATAATACACCGTATCGCCGACTTTCAACCGCAAATCCGGATTGTCGTAAACGAAACGTCCGTCCTTTGACGGTTTTAGAATTTCGCCGGAAAAATCGCCGGGCTGGTTCAACATCAACTCCTGGTTGATACTGCCGTGGAAGGCGAACATTTGCACACCCGGCGTCTCTACAAATGTTTCCCTTATTTATTATTTTGCTTTACTATGTTAAAGAGGTATCCTGCAGTGACTTGTCAGAGACTAAATTCTGTACCTAATTATTTGTTTACTCACCGTCCAAAGCAACCCTGAATCCCGCCGGTTGGAAAGCTTCGATTATGAGCTTGGGAATGACGAATTGGCCGTAAATCGGCGCCGCTATCGACAGTAAACACAGCCACAAGAGGAACATATTTTTTATTTGGAATTAATTTTAAGAACTACAGAACATCTCGTTTACTTATCGACTGTTTAAAGCAGACTATGACTATACGATTCTTGATGATATCTTGACCTCGATGATTTCTTGCCACCGTTCAGTGGCGGGTTTCTCGATTAACGGATTTTGATAAGCCGTTTCCGAAAATCCGAAGTTTCTTCATATTAGTGCTATCTTATACTTTCATACATAGGTAGATCCGTTAAGCGTTTATGTTTTTATTATCTGTGTAAACTACAGCACGGAGTGTAATCTGGTAATGTGGAAATACCGTGGTATATTTTTAGCTGACATTTTGGGGACATTCCGCTGTGAATTTTTAGGATTGATCGATTTATCGAAGAAGAGTTTATAAATACGAGATTAGAAAAAATCAATATATACAATGCATGCAATACATACAAATGCATACAGTATTGATAGTATTGTTCTATTTAAATACAGAAAAATAAAAATAATATGTAAAACAGATAACTTAATGATTACAGGGAAAAATGTACATATGTATCAACAAAAGTGCTCATTTTATGACCGAATTAAAATGCAATTTGAAAACAGGAATGAATAACATAACATACATAGCAGGAACATAACAATTTCAATACATCAAATGGTTAACAATAAAACAACAACAGAAGAGAAATGTTTCATGTAGTAAGTCGACTTGGTGAGATGCAAATTGCATACACATTCTTGCTTCATAATAATTGCTAATATTTCATTATAAAAACTGGAAAAGCCCCCATAAATTTAACCAAAAACAACAACAAAAATACTACCAAATAAACTAAACATACTTTATAACAAAAATATGACAAGAATTCTGTTCCTTTATGGTTATTCACCGAAAAAATTCCATGTTTCATCGCTGTTACTACGCAGTTAACTCGCTAATCGATAACCAACCGAAAAGCCCGGCTCGAAGGACGGACCAATTGGCTCGTAGCGTGCTAGAAAAGGAAAACGATATTGTTTCGAGAATATTCTCGACCTTCTATATTTCTAGAATGTTCGACGAGCCATCGAATAACCGACTGTGTTGTCAAGTTTTCGAATTTATCCAAGAACACAGAGAAATCGCTTGGACTTTGAGAGAGAGATTGCTTAGAGGTGTATCTGAAGAGTTATGAGAATTTAGGAAAGATTTAAGAATTATTTATTTTATACTGTTCAAAAGTTGTTAAAAATGAATGAGTCTTGCATATTTTTCGTGTTAAAACTAAAATTACAGTATTATTAACTCGTGAGAGTTACATTATTTAATGGAAACATGTAAAGAAATGTTATAGGTAGAAAATGGATCAGAAATTATTGACCAATGATTATGTGATCTTGATTTGTATTGGAAATTATGACGTGTGTATTTCCCCACGTAGGCTTCATCGAAATCCAAGGATTTAGTTGGCTTACGCTTGGCAACACTGAGGTAAAACCAAGTATAAATACCCCGAACAAAGGACGTTGCGACGCAGTTCCAGTTCCAAACGAATTAGTGCAGCAGCTGCTAGTGTGGTGTTGAATCCAAAAATCCAGATGTGAATAGAATATTCTGAAAATAACCATAAGCGCACAAAAGGATTTGTATATTGACGAGTATCACAGTATATTTTTTACGTAAAAATAGTAGCAAAAGCTTGCGCAATTTTGAGAAATTGGCCGAAGTTTAACCTACTTACGCCCGGCCAGCGTAAGTGGGTTAACACGCAAAATGAGCAAGTTTCCTCAGAATTAAAATTTAAAAAATAATCATTGAGGAGTAAATTTTGGGTCCAAAAAAACTTAATTAATTTCAGAGTAAATCTTCGAGTAATTCTAACTGCGTAATCCAATATGGCGGTCGAAGGGTGCGGTACGTCGTGACGTGTTAACAATAAGAATATCTCCCGACAACGTTCTAAGCGAAAATAGGTTTTTAACTGAGAAACTGGTATGATTTGATTGAATATAAAATGAAATAGGATTAGGTTTTTTCGTTAGATAAGTTTGTGTAGCCAACTAGGTTGGCGATATTTTTTTTAACAAATTTTCTAGATGTTGGTTGCGAGTTTCACCCCCCCGAGTTTACCCTTAAACGAATCGAAATCGGATTATAAATTATCGGAAACGAATTAAAAATATGTTGGACGATTTATTCGAATTACGGAACTGTGATAGTAGTTATTTTTTTTAATTAATTTATTGATTATTCACCTTTTTTTATATACAATTTATTATTCCATGAAGGTGTTTTACAAACGAACATTCCTTTTTTTTGTATGTATTTTGAATTTTTAATAATCTTGAAATTCGTTATACCTACCGTATAAAAATAAAAACATTAATTAATCCGGTTGTACTGACTAATTTTATTATTCCACCTTTTTAATTAATACACTCATTTTTGAATTAAAATGATTATTTGAACGAAACTATAGAGTTTTCAAAGCAAGATTTTTAAATAATATCCGAATTTTAAGAGAACCTAACAGTAAGTACATAATTCAAATTTTTAACAGCTATCTTTTTACTTAAATTTTTACGAAAACGTGAGATTTAACTAACACGAGTTTTGTCCAGTACAGAAAAACGCGTCGTTTATTTATCAAACAAGGGTGAATAAAAGTAGGGTGAACAATACAATAATTTATAAATATGTATATTGCACGTATGAACACACGTTTTCCAGTACAGGGTAAAATAATTGCAAAAATTTTACAAAACACCTCGAAAGCGTTTTATAGTTAAATAAGTAAAATTCATTTTTTATCAATTTCACCTTAAATTTTTACAGTCTTTTTTACATTCCCCAGCGAACACATTTAGTCGAAATGCGCAAGAGAAGATGACGAGATGTGTAGCCCGAAATATTCGCGATTAGCTTTCCAAATTCCAATAAATAAAGCGCATTTAATTTTAAGAGGAATCCCCTTTGTTCATTTCTGCTGTATTTATTTAAGGTGTTCTCGTTAATTAATAACATCGGTTCGTTTTGAAAGTTAACAGGGTGTGTTTGTAAAATCAAAATGTCTTATTGTATTGTAGGCTTTCCCCCTTAATAAGTAGGCTTTATTCTGTTTTTGTTGCCATTAAAATTACTGAATTATCAAACAATATAAATTAGAATAACATAGAACAGAAACAGATTAATAAATGCCGTTTTATTATGGATAAATTGCATGCAAATCACGTTGATAGTTTTTAAATGTTTTCGAACTTGTTCTTCTATTGCGTTGAAATCTGATGAAATTCTATTGAGGATGAGAATTAATCGAATCGACAGGAAATTGCTTGGGTTTACAATCAATATGAGTGTTTTTATCGGTAAAATATGACAAATATATTAATATCGGCAATGGTAGTAAGAAGAAGAAAATATTGGAAGTAACAGAAATTACTGATGGACTGGCCTTAATACAATGGATTAAATCAACTGAATTATTTATGTATATAAGAAAGGTTTATAAAGGTATTGGTTTAGGTATTACAAGGTGGTTAATTATGAAGAAACTGTGTGCCCCAAAGTTAATCGACTTTAGCACTTAGAACTAATATTGTGAAGGTTTCATAAGGTTGCACAATATACAATATGATTGTGAGTCATTGATTTAATTTATAAATATAAAAAATATATTCCCCCTGGAAATACAAAAATAAAATATGAAAAGTTGCATATTAACAGAAATTACTGATGGACTGGTTTTAATACAACGGATATTTTTAAATCAACTGAAATATTTATGTAAAAAAAGGTTTCTAAAGGTATTGGTTTAGGTATTACAAGGTGATTAATTATAAAAAAAATACGTGCCCCAAAATTAATCGACTATAGCACTTAGAATTAATATTGTGAAGGTTTCATAAGGTTGCACAATATGATCGTGAGTCATTGATTTGATGAACCCCCCTTGGAAATATAAGCTAATTATAAATGACTAATGAATAAAATTTTGTACAAGGTAATCATAAAAAATACAAAAATAGAATGGTTTATTACAACAATTAAAAATATAATTAGGAGTCTGAACTAATATTTATTGGTCTTATAAACATTAATGAATTACGAATAGATTTTAGAGGTAATGAAAGTTCGAAGCGTATGAGGTTCTTCACATAGTGTGAACAGCAGTAATTGACCTCAATAAAGAGGTAGTAAATTTTGACCCAGAATATCGTAATTATCCCAAATCTATTTTGATCTAGTAATATATTAATAACCCTGTTAAATTTTCTAAAGTTTCTAAAGGTTTGTTCCATTTAATAACATAAAGTTTTTAATTAAACTACTAATACTTAACATTTAATAGTACTCGTATTTACCATAATGCGATAATCAAGAATTTACCCTGGAGTAATTAATAGAGTTTTTATAGTGTACCTATTTAATAAAATTTTAGTTTATCCAAGTTTCTAAACAATAATTCTAAATGTTGTTCAAAGTAATTCCGACTAAAATATGTATTTATTAACCCAGTTAACTCATCTATCTAAAGGTATTAATTATAAATTATAAGTATTTAATTGCATTAAACGTGTTTATTTTATTTCCATCAATGGATAATAATAATGTCTACATGAGTTTTAACAAAAATTAAATTTATAAAAAGGTATTAAAGGTATATTTTGTTCCATGTGATCAATAGAAATGGTCTCGGTATATCCTAATTAATTTATAGACATGTAAATAGGTCGGGTAATAGGAGTATTAAGAAGGTTCTTCGAAGGTTTTCAAAAGGTTTTATAAAGATGTATGAAAAATAAACAAAATGGGTTTTCTTTATACCACATATGTGTTCAACTATTATTAAATTTGATGAAATTTCATATGAATTTGAGGTATTTTATACAAGGTTATCTGTAGAAACTGATTTTTATGTCCTGTTTAATAAAATAAATCGTGTTTATAAAATAATAAAATCGTCCTAATAAAATATTAAAATCGTGTTAATAGAATAAATTGTCTTAATTAATATTTATTATTGGGTCAATTAATTATAAGGTCTCGAGGGTTAGAAAGTATTTAAATTGAAGATTTTATACTATAAATTGAAAAGAGTAATAATCTCAAATAAAAATAATAAAATAAGATAATAAAAAACTGCAATAAAGTTAATGAAATATTTAGAAAGTTCAACAATAAACTGGGTTTTCTTATACTTTATACTACTATTATTTTTTTAATCTACACAATTATTACATTTATTTTTTAAAATATAATAAAATATACGAGTAATGAGTAATTGCCATAGTAATGAGTAATAAATTGCCAAATGAGTAATTTTTTATAAGGTAATCAAAATAAATTTATTAATAATTTATATTAATAGATGTGTAATAATTGAACGATCGTTGCTTACTAATATTTGCCTCATTTAGTATTGAAGTATGAATGATTGGTTTATTTTGAATGTTCTATGATATACTTTTATATTGTATGTTTATGCTATGCCTACGTTAAATTTGGTTGGTGTTAAAGCTTTAATTTCACTCAATTAATTAAGATAAAACTGGGTTCTTTGTTCGAAAACGTTATTTATTGTGCTAAAATATGATTATTAATCCCACTTCTTTTAATAAAGTATTTTTGGAATGCCCCTAAACCACATAATTTGTAATAGATATAAGGTGTATTTATTGAATGGTAATTTTTGTAAATTTTTTAGTATTTCATTCGCAATAAAATGAATTATTATCCACCCTATCTAACCCACAAAATGTGTAAATTGAATAAAATAATTAATATCTATTGATATAATTAAATGCTATTTATTCACTGCAAAAGCGCACTTTAGGTAGATACTAATAGAATTCCATATATCATACAGGACGGTTTTTTATTAAAACTATATTAATAAAATGAATGTTGCAAACTTTTCTTGATCATTTCAAGCTTCGCTCACAGCAACACATCTAGCTTGCTTAATAAATTTGATAAATTAATTAAATTTCGGAATCACTTATGAGAAATAGCAATCCCTTATTTTACAAATAAGCGAAACATAACTGTTGTACAAAATTCATGAACTAGGCTCTACGAGTACGACCAACCTAAGTTGTTTTAGGGCACACACAAACGAACCATGTACTGAATACCATATACAAACAACGAATATGTTAGACCGAAATTATCGCGATTAGCTACCACGAATAATTAAAAAAATAAGTATAGTCCGACGATCTTTGCGAAGTACATGCAACGAGGATTTTACGACGTCGGAAAGTAGAGTCCTTTTCGATATCTTCACTGTTTTTGGGCTTCCTTTAAAAACGCGCAGTGCGAATTTTCCTGCGATATTTCTCCCCTTTCAGCTGCGTAAGCATGCGCTACTGCAGATGTAGATCGAAATATTCGCGGTTAGATCGCCCAAAAAACGTCGACGAATAGCGCATGAAAGTGTACTTAAAGGACCCTTTCGAATTTTCACGCATCCTTTTCCTGCGTTAAACTGCACGTTTTTAAGGGATGTTATTCGCTTATTTGTGAAATAATATTGTCGCTATCGAATATGAGGTTTGGTGTTGCGTTTGGTTTAGTTGGATAATAGAAGTGTTTACTAGAAAATAACATATATTTAGAGTAATTATGTGCCCTTAACACGACTTTGTCAGTACGGCCAACGTAACTTAAATGCAATAAATGTTTCGAATAGCCCGAAATGATCGTGAATAGATCGAGTTGAAATAGAATAATTAAGTCAAATACTTCGATGAAATGTATAGAGTAGCATGAGAATTTTCGCCAGAAAGCAATAGAGTCTTAAGGGTTGTTGTGTCGTTTATTTTCCTTAAAAAAATGTGCGGATTTTTTATGTAAATAAAACGAATAATATGTTATTTAGATATAATTTGCTTTAATATGGAATTAATGGAAAGCTTACTGTATGTGTAATGTGTTCTGAAAGGTAGTGCATTTTGTATAAATCGGAATAATGTAGATGTAATATTCAGAAAATCATTGTTTATTACAGCATATGCATGATTCATTTTTGCACCGAGTTTGTGGTTTACTATATATTTTTTAACAATTTTATTATATGTAATGCTCGTAAAATTGGGAAAAATTGTGTGAAAATGTTACTAAAATGTTTGAAGTAAAAATAGTAGTCTATATAAGGTGGTAAAATCAAACAGCAGAGTTTTAGAAGTAAAATAATGAAAAGTAAAGTAATAAATAAAGTATGTAAAGTGTTAAAAATGTCTATAAAATCAAAATGGTAAAATGAAGAATGAATATGAAGAATATGAAAGAAGAAAGAAGAAATTTCCTTATAAAGTATTTTAAGAGTAACTATCGAAATTTTAAAATAAGGTTAATTAATTAGTAAAAAATCCCAAAGTACGGGTTAAAGTGTCAATCATTAAACTTCAGTACTTAATAGTAATCGTGGTAAAACAGAAATAATATGTATAAATGTCTCATAAACTGATAATAAAATACATTGAAAAACTAAAAAGACCAAATTAATATCTGACTTAAATTATCTTAATGAACCAAAAATGTTATAGAAAAAATAACAAAGGTCCAAATTAAATTAAAGCTAAAAAGCTTTGTAAAAAGACTATTCAAAATAAAAATGATCCTCTTAATGATCAATAAAGTGGTTTGAAAAATTAGAAAAATGAATTTATGGTAGAAATGCTCAAAAATTGGTTTGAAAAATTAATAAAAAATATAAAATTAAAAGGTAGAAAAGGTAAATCCTGATCCGTAAAAAAACTAATCAAAACGAAAATGTGTTGATCTTAATGATCTAAAATAATAACTTATATCAAGTGGTCACTTAATAAAGTGGTTTAAAAAGTTTTAAAAATGAATTTATAATAGAAATGGTATCTAAGAAACACGTAAAATTAAATAGTCTAAAAAATTGACTTAAGGGTTTGTAAAAAACTATCCAAATTGAAAAGTTGGTGATCTTCTTAATGATCAAAAAAATGGTTTGAAAAATTAAAAAAAAAATATGAAATTAAAAGGTAGAAAAGGTATTTAAGAAAAGCGCAAAATTAAATAGTTAGTCCAAATTGACTTAAAGGTTCGTAAAAAAACTAATCAAAATGAAAAGGTGTTGATCTTAACGATCTAAAAAGTGGTTTTAAAAATTGCAAAATTATAAAGTTAGGGTAGAAAAAGTGTCTAATAAAAACGAAAAATCAAATAGTCCTGCTTCAAGTCCAAATTGACTTGAAGTCTATAAAAATATTAATGATCTTCTTAATCAGAAAATTGGTTTAAAAATTATAAAAATTAAGGTATAAACGGTAACTAAGAAAAGCGCAAGTTTAAATAGTAAGTCCCTATTAACTTGTATGTTTGTAAAAAACTAATCAAAATAAAAAATAGTATATTTTTTAAATAACCAAAATAGTGATGAAAGAAACTATTTAAAGGAAATAAAGAAAAGGTGAAAAGGTGTAATGTAAAACGTGATCTTCTTAATGATCAAAAATGTGGTTTGAAAAATTAAAAAATTATGAAATAAAAGGTAGAAAAGGTAACTAAGAAAAACGCAAAAGTAAATAGTAGATAGGTAAGTCTAAATTGACTTAGTAAATGTTCGTAAAAAACTAAACAAAATGAAAAAATAGTATTTATAAAAACAAAAATGTGATAAAACAATATTAAAATAAGGTAGAAAGAAAAAGTATCTCCAAAAGTACAAAATAAAACAGTAAAAACTCCAAATTGAGTATACCAAATTTATTCTAATTGAAAAGGTCTAAAATTAAAATGAAATGTTTGAGCGTTACCTATAAACTTCTTGTGTAGAAAATACATAAAATATGTAAAGGCTATGAGAATAGCTGACGCAAAAATCAATTGAATTAACATTTATTATTATCAATATTTTGATATTAAAGATATAATAAAAAACGAAAGTAAATTTAAAGAACTTTAATGTACTATTATTATCTACGAATTCCCTGGTAAATAAATTAGAGAAAGTTTATGTATAGAAACGTTAAATTGTATAACACAGCATATAACTAACATAAACGAGTTTTGCGCATTGGAAAATAAATTACAATTATTACCTGAACCCGGTATATCTACCTATTAGGAAAAAATTAGTGTGAGAAAAATAATAAAATTACAGAGAAGAAAAGCGGAAGGAAAAAATTAAAAGTGCCTTATAATAAAGTGTTGAATGATGCGTATATGCATAAAAGGTTTAGTAAGAGTGTACAAAAATAAAGCGGAAAATAAGAGGAGGGCGGAGGGCAAGAAAATAATAATAAGGTAAAAAATAATAGTGGTTTCAATGAAAAAAAGCTGGTATAAAAATTCCCTGAAAAGGTAAATAAGTAGCGTTAATAATACAATAATGTATCAATAGGTAATATTGTGATTTAAGGTATTTCTAATACATCCACATTCTTTTAAATTCCCCTCTAATAAATTAAGAAATTCCCTGTTTCTTTAAGAAAAATAATTGATAACGGTTGATAATAATAAAATATTAAGGTAAACTGTTTCAACAGTTATTGCGGTAATACATATATTTTTAAAAACGAACGAATAAGTACAAAATATCACGAAGAAGGTAAAATAAAAATATAAACAGGTACATTTTGAATACTTACATAACAGTATTATTTTAATCTACGATATTCAATTCCGTGTCAAATAAAGTAGAGAAAGTTATTTAAGGAAGACTTTTATTCGGTTATAAATTCTTGTAAAGGTAATTTCATGATTTCCTACGAATAAAAACAATACACTATTTTATGAGGAGGGAGGAGGGCATAAAATTAAAGTGTAAAAGTAGGTGAAGTAAGTGTGAAATAAGTACAAAAGAGGCAGGTAGAAGAAGAGCGGATGCCAAAAAATTAGTGCGTTTTGAGGTAAAATATCATGTATGTGTAAAATTATTCTAAAATTTAGTGTGAGTAGAAAAATACAAAAAATAAGAGGAGGGAGGTGGGCAAAAAAATAAAAAAATACTTGAAGTATTTATATAAAGTTTAAAAAGAATTAAAGGTAAATTGTAACAGGTTTTTTTGGTGTGAAAAAAATGACAAATCTGCTTAAAGATTTTGGTTGATTTAATAATAAGCATTTATGTATTGTAATGCAAATTTTATAGTGTGTGTAACATCAATAAAAAGTAACCGAAAAGGCTGCTAACAAAAATCAACACTGCGTTTAAATTAGCTAATTTTTTCTTTTTACCTTTATCTTCTTTTACTATTGTAAAGCACGTGCTTTGGGTGTTAATTTAATGGCTGCATTTTAAGTGTTTTATGAACGTGTTTTACACTTTTTCTTCGGGCTGTTGTCTTCATGGCTATTTTTAGTGATTTTAGTATGCAAGTGAACATGTTCCATGTTGTGCGGATTTTTTGGTCATTCCAAATATATTTTTACTTATTTTTTTATTAAAAAACCAAGAAAGTGTTGATAATAAAGAGAATAAAGAGGAGGGAGGTGGGCCAAAAAAAAACACAAAAATTGTGTAACTAATAATAACGAAATGCGTTAAATAAGTAATATTATTGAAAATAATTGAAAGAGGAGGGAGGAGGGCCAAATTATATAAAATATGTATATAACAAAAAATAGCGCTATAAACAAAAGCAATTGCAAAATAAAAATCATAAAAAAGAATAAATAATTTATGGTATAGAATTATTATTATTATTCTAAATAAAATTACATTATATATCTATCTATAGAGATGATGGTTATAAAAAAAAACTTAGGTACTAAATTAATGATTTAAGCTAATTTGTATTAGTTGAGAAAAGTTGATATTTGTGAAGCTTATGTATAGAAAACATAATATTTTGTAATAAATACGTCCTATTTTAAAACAAAATAAATTTTATAAAAATATATGAGTTGTTTTATTTACTTACCTGCTTACCATCGATTGAGCAAGACAATATAATCAAATTTTGAATAATTTATTAGAATTTAATTTCAATTAATCTACTCTTTATAATCGGTTTTCATTCCACGTTTTAACTCTACAAATAAAAGAAATTTAAATGATAAAAAGTCAATGTGCATTAATTAAAATCCTCTTTAATTTTTCTTTACATTTTACGTTTAGTACACAAAATTGTTTATATAATACACAAATTAGTATATGTAGATAAACGAGAGTTTCAAAAGTAGTCCAAATCTTGCTAAAGCACACCGATAGCAATTTGGTAACAAACAATAATTGGGTACATATTACAGTAACTAAAGTTGTTATTTACAAGTGATTTTACAACAAGAAACTCTTCATTAAACTAATATAGCACCATATTATTCAATTGATGATTTCATTTTAGGAATGTTTATTAATTTTTACAGTTTACAGTTAAAAATAGAAAAAAATCGAGGTGCATCCTGCAACCCGAAGCTTCCACCATTTTCAAATTGGTAACGATTTGGTAACGACTTTCCCACAAATTTGATTACTTTTAAATTTCACAGGAGTTACAGGAAACACCTATTCGCGATTCGGGATTAAAATAAATTCTAACTATAGATTGGAAAAAATCCAAATTCCCTTTCACTAGGTTCTCCGGCGTAACGAAAGGGAAATCAAATCTTCCTCGCGCGTCATATTTAATTACACGATTAAAATTAAATAACTAACATTGTTTCTCTTGTACAATTTAAGCCAGTAAATGTGCGAGAATGGGAAAATTCCGGTAAAATTTGAACGGTTATATTTTTACATTAAAATTAATTTTAAGCGAATTCAATTGATGTTCAGACTTTATCGGGTATTTGTGTTGCATACAGCATTTATTAACTCGTTAAGCAAACTTTTAATTTTTTTATCTCACATCCCTTTAACTTTTTTTGTTGAATGTAGAAAGAACTTTTTATTGATTTAAAATTTAAATTAACAATGGGATATCAATAATTATAATAACCTACAGGATGTGATTAATGCGAATAATAAAAGTTTCCTTATGAATACTGTATAATAAATGGCACGTTATTTCAGTGGCGCATAGTGTAAAATAAATCTTATTAAATATAAAACACCCCGATAAACCATTATTCTCTAAAATACACAATTATTTACAAAATGAATACTCATTTCGAAGCAAATTAATCAGACTTGGTTAGTTTTTTTTTCAATTCCTTACGTAAAATACGCCACTGATTCTACTCGAGTACTTAACATTACTTTTTATACCAGCCGGCCGATTTGTCCGGATTCCTAGGCATGGATACCGATCTGGAGATTTCCCTCACGTCCCTGTACCGCCTTTCTTGCCCTCCCAATGATTCCGTCGAAAGGCTCTTCGACGCCAATTTCTTCTCATCCCTGTCTCGATTGTACCGAGAATTCTCCTTGGGCAGGCGCTCCTTTTTCTTATACAAAGTCGAATTAGAACCTACAAAAAAATCACATAGTTAAAACATATTGGTTAATAATTCACGAATGTACCTTTAGACAGCTCATCTCTGGACCTGCCCAGGCTCTCCCTCGACTTGGACAGCTTCAACAGCGTGGACCCGTTCTGGTTCCTCTTCGACTCCTGCGCCTTTTTCTTCAACGTCGACGAGCTCTCCTTGCGGCCCGTCGAGCTCCTGCCGCCCTTCTGCTCGAACTTGCCGTTCCTCGACGGCGGCGGGGCGTAGTCGATGTCGAGGGCTTCGCGCGAGTGGCGCGGCCTCCACGGCGCCAGCACCGAGAACGATCTGCTCAGCGTCTTGACGTTCTGGACGCGGGCGCCGCCGTTGGACGCCAGCTCCTCCCTGGAAGCGGCCCTGCGACCCGACTTCAGGTAGCCCGGGCCTGGGATATCACCAACTATCATATAAGAATGGAAAAGTTACTGCAGGAGTTCTCGTGGGAGGTTATTAGTGGGTTACCTGTGGCGGCGTGAAGGTAGACTATGCTCCTTTGGGATTGCTGGCTACTGTCGCCTTCGGTGGAGCTCTCCACGGAGCTGACTTCGTTCTTCCGCCTCCTGGTGCGCTCTTTGTCGTGCCGGTTGGTTTCCCTGCTGGGCGTGCGTCGATTAGGCGACGCCGGCGGTTTGGAGATGAACCTGGAGCTCTTGTTTTCTTTGTCGTGGTGCTCGGAGACGTTGGTCAAGGATTTGTAGTAGCTCTTCGATTTGTAGTCGTCGGGGAGGCGGCGCAGCTCCTTGGTGGATTGACTCTTGGGTTTGGACGGTGTGCCCGGGCGGGTTTTGGAGGCCGATTTGCGGCGCAGGCTGTCGTTGGATTCCTGATCGGTGTCGCCGAAGAACCGGAGGTTTTTCGTCGGTTTGGTGGCGGGTTCTTCGTCTGTGACGGTCGTAAAGTCCTCTTTTTCGCCCTGTATTATGAAAAAAAAATGTTTAAGAAAGAACCTGTTATAATATTGAAATATCGAGATGGTTATTCAAACATTGGGTTTGAAAAAATTGGGATTTGTCGGTACCTTTTTGGACTTTTTCCTGGATAGTCTGTCCAACGATTTGAACCAACTACCGTGCGTCGATTCGCTTTTGACGCGTCGGGGGTGGTCGCGCGTTGGACTTGGACTGGGCGTCGGTAGGCGTCTTCTATTCGAATAATCGAAGTTCTGCAAACGAAAATTTCACATAGTATAATACTTTTTATGAGGTTTTTTCCAGAATTTTCTAGCTTTTTTCATTATTTTTGAGTGGTTATAAAAATAATTGTTGATAATGTTTCTCAAAATTGTTCATATTTAGAAGGATTTCAGTTGAAGATTTCGGAGCATCGGAATTCACCCCCATATTTTGGATTCCTTTAAAAAAAAATCCTTCCTAAAAATGGATAATTGGAAAAATTACGGTTATTTTGTAACAGTCGTTACTGTACCTCTATACCAAAAAATATTCCCACCTCTAAACTGCTGTCATACGAAATGTCACATATGTCAATTTTGACAGTTGTATTTTATGTATCATCCAAAGCATCTAAAAGCCTCACTTATCGCGTGCAAAGCGATAAAAATTTAGAATTCATAGTAAAGTAGAGTGTGGTGTGGAATTCCTGCGTGTGATTAGTGCAACAATCCCGGGATTGTTGCAGCCTGCGTTGGGAGCTTCAAGATTTTACCTCGAAGATGATCCAAAAACTACAGAACACGTAAGTCTTCTTTCATATCTCCAATATGTAAGTAGGTACACATGCAATAAATAAAATGATTCTTTTATGCAGTGTGCAATAACAGTTAAATTGAAAGAAATATAAACGTTTTGGCTCCGTTTCGATTCCTGCACAGATGACGCAGCAGGACGTTCCGCGGACGAATAAAAAAATGTAGGGTAGAAAATAATCGCCTTAAAGAGAGAAGAGGAATTAAAACCATAACTCGCCCGGCGTTAATTATTTATCCAGGTGTTCATATCTCACCATCTGAAGCCACCAGGTAATAAATACACCGTTTTTCTTGCGCCAGAGGCGTACTGCACACGCTTTTTCGCAGGGGTATCATTTTTGTTTTTATTCAAAAAAACATTACTTTAGTTGGAATTTTGTTATTATTGCGAAATTTATCATTACTGCAATTAAGATAATTTCAGCATTGCTCTGATATTGGTGCAAAACAAGTTTCAAGGTTGAATTCTTACTTTTGCATTATACTAAACAGGACCGTATTAGTACTAAATCAAGCAAGAAGCCCTTTAAAAAAATAGTTAAAGAAGCAACTAAAAATGTCTTGGAAATAAAGAAGAAGGCACCTTACAGACTTTATGTAGCCAATTCCGAGATTCCAATACATAAAACACATGTTAGCTACTTAGCAATTAGCGGAGAAATTTATTACAAAGGCATAAACGGCGTTATTAAAATTGTTTAATGAAGCATCGCCAATCGTAAAATGCGCTTTATGAACTCAAACGATCCCGAAAAAAAAATCGTTCCCGATCCATAAAACGCTTCGACATTGTTGCATTCGAACGGTATTTTATTCGTTTCCAATGGGACCGAATCCGGCGAGCGCGGCGGCCGATTTGAAGAATCTCCGCGACGCGCGAGGTCACGAGCGACTTCAAATAGGTATATAAGGGCATTAAAATTCCTAGGATACCGCCCGGCCGGAGGGGTGAGGTGGACGAGGAATTATGAATTTCGAGAGAGAAACAATGATGTTGTAAATTGACTTTACAATACTGATTAGAGCGAAAGATTGCAGAAAAATATCTGAAACTAACGCACTATTCTATTGTTCGAACGTTTATTTGTACAGAAAAAAAGTAAAGGAGAAGAGTAGGCTGGGCAGCGAAATTCCTCCGGATGAATAGTAAAGTAAGCATGAGTTTCGTTTTTCATTACACTTTTTTTTTTGTAAATAGTGTTAGCTTTTTTATATCCATTGACAACGTTGGGATTCTTGGGGTCTTTTTAAGAACGAAATAGTAACAAGAAACCTAAAAAATCGTACAAATTACAAACGTAAAGATTGCTTTGTAAAAAAAAAACAATCTGTATACCTCATTCAAAATCAAGTAGCGTTATTGAAAGAGAAATATAAGGATTTATACGTGACCTTGTTACACGCACTTACACGGAGTGATATTAAATTCGTGACTTTGCAACTGCATCTTCGCAAACGATCACAAAAGACTGTAATAAATCTGCGATTTTTGCCCCTTTCAGTTCGAATATTAATTAAAAGCGACGTGAATAATTCGCATAACGTTTCGCCGGCGACGGGAATGGTTGGGAAAAAATTTAATCAAATACAGGGCGAATTTCATTAGCAGCAAAAAGTTTCGATGTCACATTCGGGTTTGTTTGTATTTGTAAAGCAAATATTGCAGTGAATGAGACGGTAAAGAACTGATACAAGGACGTGCATGTCTTACTCAACCTACGCTCGCCATATGGTCAAAGGTCGCACAACAGGTTACACACATTCATTCGTCACTTGCTTATTATACAGTGAGCGATACAATTGCAGGAACAAATTCATTCCAATCGAATGCAAATGCTATGGACTATCGATTTTTTTTCGTGGAGTTGTGAGAAATTTTTGCAACGCGGCAACGTTGCTATATTTTGATTACTGTGACGTCAACATTCGCTTATCGTGAGGATATTTTAAGAGTTGATTTCGTTTTCATTAAAAAAATCGATTAAATAAAGTGCATTTTTTAGTGCAAATTTTAGTTCATTAGAAGGTCAAAAACTCTAGAAAATTAATTATTAAAGGAATGTAAAATTATCTCGAATTAAATTTTTACATATTTTACGCATTAGGCGCCTCCTATACCAGTTCAAATCGGATCTAATTAATTTCAAATTCGTTCCTGATTCGATATCAACACAAAAAAACCGGTAGGTAAGTGAAAGTAAGCAAAAAACGAGGAGAAAAAAAATACCTGGCCAACGGAATTACGTCATCGTCGACGGCCTAGGTCTGGAGCCCCTTATAAGGCTAGGTTGAAGAAGTGGCTCTGCCGCCTCGGAACCCGAGGTCGGGCGATAATCGATCGATTCGCTCGCTCTATATTACCTCATACGCGCGATATGAAAAATGGCCCGGCGAAATTTCCAAAACGAATCGATTCGATCGCCGAGAAGCGGCGTAATCGCAACGACGATTACACGAAATTACGTCCTATTTAGATACTCACCGGTTGCTTGTCGATGTCTCCGTTTTTGTATTTGTGCTCAACGGGCTCCCTGCCTTTGTATTCCACGTATCTGGCCCTCAAACTCTCCTCTCTCACCATACCGTGATTCGCCAGGTTTTTCTCCTTTTTCTTCTTGCTGTCGCGCGTGAAAAGCGATTTCACCTTCAAAGTAAAACAGATTTGGTACCACCTATTGGTAAAATTAGGGGCGATATGGAGGAGCTCACAAAAATACCAATTTAGCTCCCCAAAAGTTAGAACACAATTACCTTCTCGAGGCTGCTTTTCTTCTCGGGCTTGGGCGGCTTCTTCTCGCTCCGCCGCAGCGTGAACACCTCCACGTCCTTGTCGATCCTGGGGTCGTAGTGCGAGCCGTCGTCGATGCTGCGCTCGCGGGGCGCGTAGTCGCCGGACACGCGGCGCTCGTGCTCGCGCCTGTAGCGGTCGTCCTCCCTGGAGGCGGCGCGCTCGGAGTCGCGGTCGCCATTCCGGCGGCGGTTGACGCCGTTCTCGGTGTGCTGGCGCTCGCTGGCGATCAGCAGCGAGCTGGCGAAGCCCTCGTCCTCGCTCTCCGCGCAGAAGTCGCTCTTGTGCTTCGAGCGCGACCGGGAGTTGTCGCCGGAGTCGCGCCGGAAGTCGTTCTCGATGCCGGAGTCGGCGTGCAGGTAGTCCGATCTGCAGTTGGAGGAGGCGCGCTGCAGCGAGTCCTGCCTGGAGCGGCAGTAGATGTCCGGCGTGGACTTGTGGAAGGACTCGCGTTTGGGAATGTAGTCCGGGGTTTCGGGCGATGGCGTGAAGCTCTTCATTCGGGTTTCGTATTCGGCGTACTTCGTCACGTACTTGTAACCTACTGGACTAGAGGATCGGCCTTTGTAGAAGTACTTGGAGGTAGTGTCGGGGTTTTTTAGGTATTCCGGCGAGGTGCGCAACGAGTTGTCGTTGACTCTTCGGTTGATTCTCGATTCTAGTTGGTCCCTTCTGGCGGACAAATCCTGCCGGCCGGTGTACGAGTTCGATGCGAAATTATTATTCTCGGTGAAGCTCTCCCTTCGCTTGGAATCCATGCCGTCGCCGCGGCCTCTCGCCGAGGAATCCACGTATCGCACCTTGCGCTCGTAGCTGTTGTAACCGGGGTTTCTGATCCTAGGCGTGATGGGAGTTTCTTCTTCGAATTTATCCACTTCGTCGATGTGCGTGATCGATTTGAAGACGGAGTGCTCCTCGCCTCCGAGACCCTCGTCCGAATCCGATTGGGAGTGTTTCTTGCCATTATAAGCCGTGTGGATGGTTTGTTTGTTGGCTCCGCCGCACACTACTTGAGCATAGATAATCGGGCTACCCGGAGTCGGGGACGTTTCGTTCAATCCCCGTGTATAGGAAAACGGTTGGTTATTGTTGTGTTGAACGGACCCGTGCGGGGTGATCATCACGTTAGAGGTGAGAGGAGGCGGTGAGGAGGATTCGTAGCTCAATCTCTTCACCAGGTTGTTGACCATTCGACCTTTGGTGAGAGGTAGCTTCTCCGGCGGCATTTGACTGCTATGAATCATCTTGGGAGAGTCCTTGGGGTGTAGTAAAGTATCGATCGTTTCTTGTACTTGGTGACCAAGAGCCGGATCTTTTTGATGATCTGGAGTTAGATCTTGCGGTTTGTTGTTCCTTTTTGCTTCATTTGATTCATTTGCGTGCTTCTTCTTCTTCCGTATGGCGAATTTCAATTTCTTGCCTAAGAGTGAGTTGCGGAATTTCTTTTTCTTTTTGTTTATCTGCTCGGCCTTTTCCACGTCGATTATAATCGGCTGGGGCGCTTCGGCTGGCGCGTCCGGTCGAATTCCCGTCTCCTTGTAGAGCTCCTCGTCGACTTCGTCGATGAACCGCTTCAGCTGCGCCGTCACGCTATCCTTCTGCTTCTTCCGAACGAACGACGTCGGCTCGATGTTCTCCTTGTTTTGCACCGCGTCCGAAAAGTAGTCCTCCCGCGGCGTGACCTCTATGATGGGCGACAGCTGCTTCTTCTCGCTCCGGTTGCCCCTCACGAAGTCCTCGCCTTCGCTGCCGGCGCGCCGTCGGAAGTTCTCATCGGCGACGTCCGAGCGCTCGGAGCTGGCATCGCTGGCGCTGCGACGGAGCCCTTTGCCCTTCTTGAATACGTCGAATATGGACGGCTTTTCCGGCGAGGCGAACGTGCGCGGCGGTTTCTTCGGTGGCGAGCCGTCGGCGGAGTTTCGGCGCTTTCCGCGACGCTCCAGCGACGCTGTGACGGTGTCGGTTTTGCGTCTCCGGTGGGGTAACGTGTAGAAACGATCCGTGGAGACGCCTGGAAACGATATTTAATAATGTATGGGTGTAAAATTCAATGCGATATGTGTATAGGAGTGTAGAGGGTGGTCTATAATATTTGGGAACGACATTGACTGTCTGCTACAATTCGTTGTTTTAGTTGGAGAAAAGTTGATCAATTTCACAAACATTTTCTTGTTGGTATCAATCGAACAATTAATAAATATCGAGCTAATCTGACCCAGTATTCGTGCATACAGGATGCGATCGAATGTCCAAATTGGTAACTGTACCGCTATATCCCTTTATTTATCGGGAGTCGATTTCGCTCGAGACGCGTAGGTCGAAAAATTGCAACGAAAATGGCGAGTCGACTCATTTTTCGTGGGAAGTAGCCGTTTCCTTTTACATCGAATATGTAAGCGGAACGGGCGTTAGAGGGTTAAGTGGCTAAGAAACCATTCGTTTTATCGCGAAATTAACGTTACATTGTTATTTATTTCCTTGTTTTGAACCGCATTCGTCTCAATTATACCGATAGCCATTAGAAAACCCGTCGTAAATTTATTCACAGAAATTTCTTAATTATGGAAAACAATAAATTAATTCCTTATAATGTTATAGAAAACAGTTTTTATTGTTTTTTTTTTCGATAGTTTGGTTTACTTTTAGTGGAACTTCCATATTAATATTAAATCTTTTAAGCAAACACAATATTAACATGTACTCGCCAACGAATTTATTAATTGTTTACATCATAATTTACAGCTACTTAGAGCACCTACGGGACGTTAATTTGGCACCTAAATAACACCATAGCATAAAACCAACAGTCGAATGTCCAATCAATTACAACTACAGCCGATTTCGATGCCGATTAATCGCGCATAGGCACGAAAAGCGCGGATTAGCCGCTATAATGCGATTAATTAACAAATTAATTGTCGCTGTAAACTCGAACTTAATTAGACGAAAATAAATTGTAGAAAGAAAAAAAATAAATAACCGGGCGACGTTTACTTACCGTCGCCAGAAGTGACGCAACCCACGCGATCGACCTGATGAAGGACGCGTTTCGCTTCTTCAGACAGTTCTTTCTTCGATTTCTTCAATCGCTCTTTCCTAACAGGCGACGCGACCAGTGGCGTCCTGACGCCGTCCCCGCTCACCGCACCAACGGGCGAATTTTCCCTCGGCACTGAAACAATTTCATTGGCCTTCAATTTATCGGCAATACAGTCATTTCAATTTATTTTGATTAATTATACATTAAGTGACACATAAGTCACCTATATCTTTCTCTTATAATAATTGAAAATAATTTCCTTAACACTTAGTATTTATCGTACACTTTTTTAGTGAAATGAATGAATAATATAATTCATCCATATACAAGAGTTAAATAGTTTTGTAGTTTTTTTTTTGTCGATTTGATGACAGATTGTGCAAACATATTCTTAGATAATGGCCAATTGACATCATCTTAGGATGTTTGTCGAGCATTTTTGTAATGTTTGTCGAAGATTTGAGGACGCAATAAACGTCGATTCTTGTGATGTTATAATCGTATTAAGTGTGGGGGAATTCGCATGGTTGTTTAGTTGTTAAAGTTAATAACTCTTTTTACATTACGTACGTTAAACGTGTAATTACCTGCGAATATAGCTGCAAGGAATACAAAAAAAATGTATAATGTTCGACTCAAATCGTTTAAACCAAAGGCTGTATTATATGAAAATGATTTATAAAATTGAATTGTCCGGCAATTTACACTAACGCTAATCCTGCTTTAAGGCATATACGAGACAGTTTTTTTCACAAATTTAATCGCCTTGTTAAATGTGTTAAGTAAATACGTGTCATTGCCGTTTAGTTAAAAAACTTACGAAACTAGACAGTATAATTTCAATGAACATGAACATAACGATCCTTTAAAACTAAAAGCAAAAAATTACTCGAAGGTTAAAAATCGCGAAAATGTTAGTGCCTACTGAAAGTACGTTGACCAGTTTCAACGAATTCGATGTCTAAATACTCAAACACCATTATTTACGCAGTGTATTCAACCGAAGTACCTACACGTTTATCTCTTCAATATACCCAACGACGAAAATTCCGTATTTTCCTAAAATTCGAGGTAATTTGAATAATGGTAATTATCGTACACAATTAAAGCAGTTTACCGGAAGAACGACCGTGAACATTTAAAACCGCAAGTTAATTAATTGCCTAATTATGCTTGGAATGAGTTTTTTAAATTCCTTGACTTAATCTTATTCAAAATAACTCATTTTTACAGGGTATCTCAAAACAAGTGTTCGAAAGTTAAAGATCTTTGAACATCCTAAAAAAATTCTTCTTCTTATTCACTCGAATGCAAAAATTCGAGTATATAAAAAAGTATAGGAATTTCATAGAATTAAGCAAGAAACACCCAGTACGGAATATACCACAATTCATATAGTGCGTTGAAATCTTTAGCAATAACTACTGGTTTCTGAGAAAATTATTGTATTTAATTACTCGTCACGGTTTCAGTGGAACAGCCGGTGTAATTTTTATTATTGTCGTATCGGATGAAATTAGTTTTTAAACAAACCTACGACATTTTTACGAACCCGAGTGGGCGACATTACCTTGAAAATCGATAAAAACATACCTAACAATCATCTTTAGTTGGCAAACAAAAACGTTTAGATGAAATTATAACTTGTACTTATGCCATAAGAATTTCCGGTTCTGTTCTCGGAATATTTACACACGAATTTGCCCAGAGGACATATTTAACTGGCAATTCTCCGGAGTCGTGTAAATAATATTGTATTCCACCATTTCCAACAACGCATTATATCCACACACTAGTTAAATTAATTTATTAATAAACTATTATAATTTCGCAATTGGATATTAAGTGTAGAACGACCACATTTGTTTTCATGTGCACGCTACACAACATATTTATTTTTATATTTTGCTCAAATACCTATTAAATTCTACAACAACCTTGAATGCACGGACGCGTTAATTGAAATGTACACCTCAATTAGGAACATAGAACACTCACTTTTTAACAACGAAATCTAATACAGATAGGGAGGAAAAAAATACGACATCGATACAGGGCAAATTTCAAACTTCGAAGTTCAACCGACCCACGTCGACATCGCGACTAAGTAAAGACTAAACTCCAAATCTCGGGTTCTTCTCGACAATCCGTTTTTTACTGGAAGATTTGCATAATGAACTGTCCCACTCTAACACTCACACTTTTCCACCACGTTGCCAAACTCATCGATTATATTATACATTACGCTAATTATAATTATCCATAATTATATTAAAATAATACATTGTGATTTTTTTGTACCTAGCTAGAAAAAAAACTAGTCTTAAAGGAGTTCCGGTAGAAATCCCAGAAAAAAAGTTCCTTCGGAAATTGGGTCTTTTTATGGAAAACATAGAATGTGACAAGAACACAAATTAAATCCAGTATAGGTATTTTTTAGGATTCTTAAAAAAAATGCCAAGACTATTTTATGCCGATTCTAAAATGCTAAGGGTAGTTCTTCTTTTTTAATTGGAGTTCTTCGTCGAAAAACAATTTCATAAATTTCTCAACGACTAGTGACGCGTTTAAATTAACACGGTATCTATTCAAATTTATTCAAATTAGATTTTTTTCGCTAAGAAAAATGCGCTAGGGAGGCGATAAATTACCGAAGGCAATCATCGGCTTTTCCATTCCATTTGATATGACACCCGGAGTAAATTTCGAACGAATGTTTTTGTCGAAAGCTGGGACTGGTTTTACAACATAATAAATCCGTTCCGTCTGTGTTTAGGCAAGCGGTCAAATTAGGTATAAAAAACCAAAAAAACAACACGGTTTATTCCGCCAAAATAATGGCTAATTTTAGAAGTTACGAAAGTGCTCCACATACAGCAGATATACTGTGGATGTAATTTTTTCGACAAGGGCACAGGATAAAAACGATGCTAAGGTGTCAATTATAGACAGAGGTAGGCGAAGTCGCCGATTTATTTTATTTAAATGCCCGCTCGTTTTGCGCATATATCCTACTCCTTTTTATCGACGCCTACGGGCTTTATCTGAATATGACCTGTATGGATGATGCGTTGTTGCTACATCATTTACTTTTAATCAAACTATTACAAATAAGTTTACCACACACGTGCAATCGAATAAAAAATAACAAGCTACTATTAACGTTATATACTTGAAGCATCGCAAATAACAGTAGAAAGTAAAAATAAATGATTCCTACAAAGGAACGAATGAAATCAGTTGGGGCACAATAAATTGCTAAATATATTAGCTATTGGTTCAAATTATAAGTCAATAAATTAACTTCGGGAAACCCCACTTAACAAGTAGAACCTCTTAACAAGAAATATGTACAGCGGCATTCAAAATAAAGGACATAATAAATAAATACTTAAAATTCTCGAAACTTTAATCTCCAACTTTAACCAAAAATAACATTAATTCACCGTTTAAATGAACTGCGAGAAGCCGCCAGTTGACAACTAATATACCTAACTTAACCCTAAATTAATTAAGATGTGTACAGTTGCAGTCAAAACTAGTGTCGAAATAAATTATTTTTTTTAAACGCGATTAACGGTCGCTTGTTCATCCTAAACAAGCCGAAGGAAACTTCTTGTGGAAACGACCTTTGAATGCCGAAGTCGGTGGGTTGGACGTCCACACATCTAGTGCACCGGCATAAATACGTCGAAAACAATGGAATTATTTCTTTTCGTTCCATTTGTATGCAAATGTTATTCATATTTTTTTTCTTTTGTATAGTATATTCGAATGAATATATATTTCAGAAGCTTAATCGCATACCGTAATGTCGTCGAAATTGGATTAAATGATGTAATGTGTATCCTTTTTGGGGATTAAGAATTTATCTACCTGCCGGAAGATTGCTAATAGACAAATCAATAGGATTTTTGACATTTTTGGCCAACTTCTCGACACTCACGTGCCTAATTTTTCAGTTACCCGTTATTTATTCCAATTAATTAGCTGCATAATTAATAACAGTAATACTAGGTACTTATATTATATTTGTTCTAGCAATTTAGAAAGTCGTATGAAATAAGTACAGCTAACTTAACTTAAACAAGACGACAAACTTCCCATTTCGTTGAACTACATACTCAAACATAACAAGATTATTTTTTTATCTATTTTATTTACCAATTATCGCCTCGGCGTCTCCATATTTAATTCGCACAATAACATACGAAATGTTACTTACACTCTGTATATCGTATAAATAGACAAGCATGTGTTAAAACAATCAGGTTAACTGTAAGTCAGTAATCGATCATGCATACAATCGATTATAATTCGAGTATCTCTCGGACAATCGCACGTCATTCATATTTTTTCGGCTCGTGATATATCAAATCCCGTTAAAAACGTCACTATAGAAAAATTCGTTATTGATTCCACCGATCAAACGGTGTCAAATCTGGCAAGCTACCAGGCTGTTGGAATTTAATTTTTACGACCTTACCAGTTGATTGAACATTCATTGTTTGCTTTATTTGCAATACAAGTAATTAAAGCAATAAAAAAACAGAGTAATTATCATATTTACTGAATTAGCCGAAACGGTCTTTTCAAAAAAAATACAAACCTTCGATATTTATCGTTCGCCTTCAGTACAAACTCGAAATAAGTTGTGGGAAATGTTGGTACACTTTTTTTTAGTTATTTATTTGCGCTGATATGATCTTCACCTTGGGGTTTACGGTATACCAAATACCGCAAGAAATTCGGCTGAATACATAACAGCATTTATCCGGCAACGAAAAACTGTGTGAAAAACGCTAATTACCGAGTTCGATAAGAGCGTAATTATAAAGTTATTACGTGCGAGTTTATTTGGGGAATTCGACGTTAACGAATGCGTTTTAATTAGGTCAAAGTAATGTTGAAGGAAGTAACCAGAAGATGGTAAAAATTACACAAATTAGTTGAAAATTTGGTGGAGGTCTATGAAATTATTGAATCGCCCTGTACATGCAGCAATCGACTTAGATCGATATCGATAACTCTTTTGTTCGATTTCGTTCGATTATTTCGGCGTTGTTGAAGGAACGCAATTCGGAGTCGACGTGGGTGCGCCCTCGTAACATTTCAATTTCAATTAGTAATTA